CGATCAAAAGCTTATTCAAGACTTACGCGCCAAGTTTGGAGAAGACGCCGTGTTTGTGATGGGAAACTGGCCCGCTCCCCATGCTAAGTATCATGAGCCCATCCATGGCCTTGGTTTCCGAAGACTCCTCAAGAAACATGGGTTCCAAGTCTATCTTATAGACGAGTACAAGACCAGTAGGTGCTGTCCAACATGCCACAGCGAGAGCCTCCACACGTTCCGTCGTGTTCCAAATCCACGACCGTATCAACGTGAGCGATATCCTACTGTTGTCTGCCATGGCCTTTTAAGGTAATAATACGTTAACTACTTGTATGACTTTATACTGATTGAACATTGCTTGTAGATGCACCAATCCATACTGTAGACCCGCCATGGCAGCTCCAGATAGATATCGCTTATGGAACAGGGATGTTGCTGCTTGTCTCAACTACATGCACATCCTTCGTGGGCTTCGACGTAATGGCATGGTTCCTCATAGGTTTCGCCGGGTTGATGTTGCTCCTACAAGACGTCGAAGAAGAGTGGACGATCAGGAGCAACCAAGAACTAGAATACGTTTAGACGATGATTCTCCGTCCTAGTTATCGCTAGGACACATCTAGATGCCTTCGGGGTAAGTTATTATATATAATAATTTTCTTACATAACTAACTGTATAATTCTTTATATTCTCTCTTTGGTACTTATTACTCTTACTTGTATGTCGTCTCTTTTGCATGCATTTTATTTTTAACCTTTGCGTAAATACTTTTTTTAATATGCGCCAATTATTTTTTTCATACACGCCATAATTTTATCCTCTTTCTGAAATTTATTTTTAATAAAACAGTAACTAGTAGAGCCATCCTACTTCTTAGTGGAATTTCTGACATACCTTTTCTAGATAGTACAAAATGTAGATCTCTTTTACCTGAAGTATTTGATGAAGATGTAACAAATATGGTAAACAAGTTTCTCTGCGTAAGTCCTATTTGCAACAATAGTAAACCTAGGAACGCCGTGTTAGTATGCCCAGCATCGTGGAAACTGATCGTCCTTTACAAGCGTCATCTTATCAGTATATGCTTTCAGATCATTGTTTTTTAACTTTTCGTAGTCTTTCGTTGTTGAATATAAACTATAGTTAACTTTTGCCATTAATAATTTTCCCTCAGGAACTTATTTCATTTCACTGTACTAGAACGCATTAAATGAGTGATTTCAACTGCGAAAGGTACACTGCTGGCTGTCAGATATTTCCAAGCGGTAGAATGATACCAATGTTGGGGGCCTAAGTTTTTTAGAAAGAACCATTGCTTGACAGCCAGATCTGTCTCTTCAATAAATGCACCCAACATATTCAAAAACCGCAGAGTGTCTCCGAAAAGGGTACTCCTCGTTTCAAATTTCCCTTTTCCTCTCTCTGTCTCTATTTCAAGCCAGAACATAAACATACAAAATGGCAAACGCGCTTTTATACAATGAGAATGAAGGTTATATCGATGGCATCTTGAGAGGATACTACTCTGGTATTTTGAATTCTTCACAGTATTTGAACTTTACGCAATGTGAAACACTTGAAGGTAAAGTAACAATAGACAGCTCATTTGAAAATAGAACTCATGTTAATATTTGTAGACCTTCGTCTTCAGTTGGGTGCTACTGATTACGGTACTTTATTGCAAAACGAGCCTTCACCGATCGCTACTTCTACCATCAATGAAAAGCTGACTCAAAGTCTTGTTGAGGAATTTAATTATATTCGTAGTAATGCTGTTCAGCCTCTTGCCAAATTTTTGGACTATATCACGTAAGTTTCTTCTTCTTCTTTACAATAATATTAACTAACATATATAAAAAGTTATCAATACATGATTGACAATGTTATCTTGATCATCACTGGTACTCTTCACGAACGTGATACCCATGAACTGCTCGAAAGATGTCATCCTCTCGGTGTATTCGATACTATGCCTGCTTTATGCGTTGCTACTACAGTTGCTGAGTTGTATAATACGGTTCTTGTTGAAACTCCATTAGGTATGCAGCTATACTTTTCAACTTGTTCAGTCTATTAACTTCCTTTATCAAAAAAAAAGCGCCTTACTTTGCTAATTGTCTAAGCGCTCATGATTTGGATGAACTCAATATTGAAATTATCAGAAACACTCTTTACAAAGCATACCTTGAAGACTTTTATGAGTTTTGTCAAAAGATCGGTGGCCCTACAGCCGAAGTGATGGGTGAAATCCTTCGAGTAATAAGAATATATAGTCATTTATTTTTGGCGGGATGATTAACCTCTTTTTGTATAGTTCGAAGCCGATCGTCGTACGATCAATATCACCATCAATTCTTTTGGCACTGAATTGCCCAAGGAAGACCGTAGAAAGCTGTTCCCAACTATTGGTCGTCTTTATCCTGAAGGTAATGCTCGTTTGGCCATTGCTGAAGAAATTGAACAAGTAAAGGCAGCTTGTGACGTATTCCATGTAAGTCTTTGAACTTCTTCTTCTTCTTGATCTAATAGAACAACATTTAGGAATACAGATCCTTCTTTGATACCACAACCAACAAGACATTAGAAGATAAATTCTTTGAAACTGAAGTATTCTTGAACAGACAAGCTTTCCAACAACAGTTTAACTATGGTGTCTTTTATGCTTATGTCAAGTTGAAGGAACAGGAAATTAGAAACATCGTTTGGATCGCTGAGTGTATCTCTCAGAATCAGAAAGAGAGAATCAACAACTATATTCCCATCTTATAAAATAAACACAGACAGATATAAATTGTTTTATTACTATTATTATTATATTTTCATTACTTGTATATAAATATATATAAAAGGGGGTATTTTATGAATGGTTTGATACTACTTCAGCATACATTTGTAAAGCCTTCATGATATGCATTGGATCCACTTCGATCGTCTCTCCTAATTTCTCTAACACATTTGCAAATCGACCCATTTTCTGTAAATAGAGAGCAGATGTAGCATTCTAAAATAAGAGTAAATACTCGTTACGATATATTTTAACATGTCACCTTACCTCTACTCTTGTTACGCAGTTCTCCATCATCACCATAAGTTCTTCATCTGTTGCTTCTTCACGAATATGTTTATCGAGCATATGTCCTAATCCTGAATGTGCAGCGCTAACAACAGGGACATTATCTTCTGATGAGTTTTGATAGGTATAATGCCCGAGAATAGAACTTCCTGCCATTGATTGAGATAAGACATGACCAGATGTTAACCGTTCCAAACGAATAGCAAGGTTACTCATTGCACACACCAGATTTGGATCAATCGTTCGAAGCGTTTTGCGAGCAGTGGGTCGAGTGGTCAAATAATCAGGAGAAGGGGATAAGGTATTACTGGTAAGTGCTGGTGTTGGAGGAATAGTAGAAGTGGTATCATCTGTAGATGGTTTAGGAGATAGTGATGCATCTATTGCTGGCTGTGCTGCAGGTGCCATCATTTGGCTCTTATCAACTTCGATACGTCCCAAGAGTTGCTTTGAATATACCAAACTGAGCGATTCAGGGGTTTCCAGACCCTTAAGCCTCACTTCACCAAGCTCAACCACATGAAAGCCTAGTCTTTTGAGCTGCAATAAATCACGACTGACAGGGAAAGAACCTTCATCAGCATCCAAGGTTTCATCGCACTCTGCATCTTCATCAAACATACTAGGGAAGTTACGCAGGGCAGCAATAACATCGGATGATACACAGATTTGACCACCATCTGCAACATTACAGATACGACTGGCCTTATTGACTACAGGTCCAAAGTAATCCATACGCTGTGTGATCGGGTTTCGCTCAGACACAGGTGTGCCCCAATGAATGCCCATACGCACTGATAGACCCTTGTAGATGACAACGCCGTCTTTTTCGATTTCTCTTCCTTCTTCAGTATCTAGAATGCCTGCTGGCCAGTCTGCTTCCAACAGTTGTAGTTGAACCGTGAAGCACCAGAGCAGAGCAGCAGTGATGTTTTTGAAACATACCATGAACGCATCTCCTTCTGTCTTTACTTCATAACCACCAACACTACGCAATGTACGACGCATGATGGCATCATGAATCTTGATAGCAGCACGCATATTTTCAGGCTGTGTTTCCCAGAATTGAGTAGAGCTCTTGATATCCGTAAAGACCAGAGCCAATTGACTTACTGGTGGAGCTACTTCTCTCTCTAATCGGGCAAGCGTCTACAAGTAATCATTAATGCCCTTGCTTTTATATTTCGGCACTCTGTTTTCTTACCGAATCACCAGGAATTTCTTCTTTTCCTCTTCGCTTACTCTTTACTAGTATTCCTTCTTCAACAACTCCATCAGCACCACCTCTACCAGCACCAATGTTGTTCTTTCGTGGCAACTTTCTACGCTTGTCAAAGAGATCACCAACACCAATCACCATGACCATCAAGTTATCATTGGCACCATACGTAATAGCAAAATCGCGAAGCTTTTGAGCAGCTGCCATCAAGTCGTCCTTTTCTGTTCTAGCAATATCAACTGCAGTTTGATAAGACATCTTATCCCAAAGTCCTCTGGAGGCCATAATGACAAATTCGTCATTTTCAGACAAATCGATAGTAGACACGTATGGATTACAATTGACAACAGGGACAAGATGGAAGTGACCAAAGCTTCTGGACACATTCAACTCGTTGTTCAATAAGCCCGAATTAGACACGTATCCTCCAGCCGCACGGATACGTGAGACTTCACTTGGGTTCAATGGGATATGTTTCTGTGTGATTTCAAATGCCTGTCCGTTGTTTCGGGAGATAACCGCTAGTGCATCACCAGCGTTAGCCACATAAAGCTTGTTGCCAGCGATATAGCACACAGCAGCGGATGCACCAGAGTCCTTATCGATATGAGGAGAAGTGCCTAGACTTTGTTCGAGACTTAGGAATGCTCGGCGTACGGCAGAGACAATGGTATCTTCACTCTTGATACAAGCCAATTCCTTTGCGAGGTGAGAGGTCAACATATCGTTCAGCTGTTTCGTGAGACGACATCCTGATTTGGGATGCTTAGATCCGTCAAACAAGGCAAAGATACATTCGTCTTCCTTTGATCTGAAACGAGGCATGACGAGATCCCAAGTAGAGAGATGGTCAGAAGGACCAAGCCAGTCAGCAACACCATAAGACATGCCGTTGACTTCAGAAGGCGATGTACGTACACGACGGTCATGGAATTCTTCAGGAATAGAGACACCTAGAATGGTAATATCCATGAGACCAAGCATACGAAGCCTTGTGAGAGCACTGAAGTCTGAAAGGTCCTTTTCTTTGGGGTTGATTGGGTCAGGATGAGTCTTTTGAATTTCTAATCGCTTGTTGCCCGAAAGATTCAGATACTTTAATCCCAAGTTCCAGTTCCTGAAAAAAAAAGGGGGGGAAGGACGTCAGACGTCTATTTTTCCAGATGTTTACACAGCTTACCAATTCCAATCATACGGCCAGTTGGCAATGTTGTACTTGAGGACGTTATTTCCAACATCCAAAACGAGCAGTTTTCGCAGCTTTCCGATTTCAGCAGGCAGTGTCTGCAACTTATTGCCATTGACAGCCAAGATACGCAAGTACTGGAGTTTTTCAATATCATCTGCAGGCAAGGACGTTAGCTGGTTACCAGAAAGATAAAGTTCATAAAGATGTTGATGGCATAACCCCTCAGGCGGTATCTCATAAAGATCATTGAATGATAAGTTGAGCGTTCTCAGTTCGAGGAATAGGGAAAGAGGTGACCAAATGTCATCGGTAAGTCGATTGTCACCAAGATACAGATAACGCAAAGAGAGTGAAAGCGGCGGAGGATGATTACGAGGACTGGCAAAGAAGCTAGGAGGGTTAAAGTTGGGTGGTTGAGATGTCTCGAGTGGTGTCTGAGGTATATTGCTAGTTGCCATTATTCCTGGCTTTTGGATCGAATCTATTCGGGCAATGGTGCCTTGACCTGCATTGAGTTGGCTAGGTAACATGCTTAGTACAGCATCGGTATCGTTATCCTTGCGTGGGCTACTAGAGTGCATAGCTGTACTAGAGTTGGGTGGTGTCGTGGTTGAGAATGGCTCGGGGAAGGAATCAAGTAGGTTAGATGAACAGTTCAAGGTCTGAAGAGAGCAACATAACCAGATCTCTCTGGGCAATCCCTTTAGATTATTCTTTTGTGCATCCAGTGCTCTTAATTCTGATAGCTTTCCAATCTCGCTGGGTAAAGAGTCCAAATAATTGTTTTGAATAGAGAGTTTGACGAGTTTTTGAAGTGAACCAATACTTGAAGGAAGTGTACTTAGCGTATTGCTATCTAACACAAGACGCTCGAGTCCCAATGCATTGTTGAATAATTCTTCAGGTAAACTTGATAATTTACAGTTGGAAAGATTCAGCTCGGTCAAGCAGTGTCCTCCTGTGGCACTCGTCAGGTTGAACTGTGTAAGATGATTCTTGTACATCTTGAGTTGCTTTACGTTCTTGATTTCGAAATTAATGATACTTGTCGAGTTATAATCCACTAAAAGAATTTCCAATCTGGGTAAATGAGATACGACATCCAAATCAGTAATACAGTTTTGACGAATATCGAGCTCCTGAAGTTTTGTCAAATTCAGAAAGCTTGGTGGTAGGCCTCCTGTGATTCTGTTGGCAATAGCAAAGAGTCCGATGAGATTAGTAAGCTGACCAATTTCGTCAGGAAACATTTGGATCTTGTTGAAACTGATATCGAGATACGCTAATGATCTGATTTCACAAATCACAAGGGGGAATTTGGTAAATGAATTGTTGGATATAAACAGAGATGTCAAGTGCTCAAATGAGGTTGCAAAGGATTCGGGTAAGAATTCAAGTCGGTTGTTAATAGCTCGTAAGGTACGTAATTCGGATAACCTGTCTAGTTTGGCATGATCCAAGTCTCGTAGTCTGTTACCGGATATATTTAAATGCTCCAAGGAGGATATGTGTTGAGTCGAAGGCGGTAGCATAGAATATTCGTTATTGGCAAGCCATAGTTGTTTTAATCTGGTGCACATCTGAATAAAATCTATGGGAACTTCAATATGTAAATTTTTAGAAATGTCCAGTGATACAATTGATGAAGCATGCTTATACAAGTAAATTGGTATAGTTGCTAGCGAGCGTGATTGAAGGTCGACATGTTGTCCAAAGTCTTTATCATCTGGTGGAATGGGTTGTGATACATTTGGCATGAGTTGAAATCGAATGAGATAGCTTATATCATCAATTTTATCGTCATCAGTATAGCCCATTTGTTCCTGTAGCATCTTTTGAATCTGCACAGGTCTTTCATTTAGACCCAATACGCGTTCTAAGGCATATAGTCAGTCAAAGGGAGAGAAAATGAATTGCATAATGTATTTACCATTGTTATAACGCTTCATCACCAGATTGTACTTGGTCATGTCGGGCATGAAGAATTTGTTTGCCAACTTTTTAAAGATTTCCAACGTTGTTGTGTTCAAAGGTACATGAAGTGTATTATAAGTTTGATCCGGTCGATATATTTTTATATTGGCCTAGGACAAAGTGATAAGCATACACTGTGTAATTAGCCATGACTCCACTTCAGCTTACATTCTTCTTTGGTACATCCCATTTCTCTTGAACGTCCATTTGATAATCTTCAAATTCGGCATGATCCTCGTCTAAAGCTAAATTTGCTGCAATCGAAGTAGGTTGAACACCCCAACTATCAGGAGGTGCCCAAGACTCGAAATCAAATCCCTTTTGGAGAAGTGTGTTATTGGTGATATGCTTGTGATTTAATATATTCAAACTTACATTATCAACAGCCAATTGTGGATGGGGTGAAGCAATCTTGTAATATTCGGGATTGACAATGCCGTCCAGTGTGTCAAAGTTTTGATCCACTAAGAGATAGTTAGTATAAATGGATAGTATATAAAGTATTCAAAAACTTGCATTTTAACTGGAACAGCTGATCCTACATAAATAAATAAGTCCATGTATTAAAAATAGTATAAAGACTACCTTTACATTATCTGATTTTCCTTTTTTACTTGCACTCGAACTTGCTAATTTCTTTTTTTCTTCCCTTGATTGGTAATAATGTCTTTGTACATCATATGGTGTATTTCCATCTAATAAGGATTTATGATCTATATCGTTAGATCGTTTACGTGGTGCTGGTGTCGGATTACTGAGGGTAATTGAAGATGACGTGTGTGATGATGATGCATTTGTAAAAGTAGATGATGCTGAAGATGATGCTCCTGTATTGGCTTTGTATAACGATGAGTCATGAATAAGATCAAATGGAGTTCACTTACTCTTTTTTTTGACCAGTCTAAAGAAATGTCTCTTTTTCGGTGCATGCTCTAGAATAGGCGATGAATATTTAAACTCCGTTCAGGGCCAAACAAACAAATATATCCTTACCTTCTGGTCGAAATTGATTACGTTCAATTGAATTGCTCCTTCGTATTGTAGATGCATTATTATCATCATTTGTTCCAATCTGTCTTCCTCCTCTAGGAAATGGTATTGTAGTTCCTTTTACACCTCTGGATGGTATAGGACTGGCTGCCACTCTTGCTGATACCGAAGCAACTGGTACAGGCTTTGGTTTTAAACTTTTTGAGTCAGTTGTTTGTCCATCAAAAGAGCGTCGTCTTTGCATTTTAGCTTCTGCTGTTACTATTTCTGTACCTGCTGCTGTTGGATAGGGTGTTACAATAGAAATGGGTAGAGTTCCAGTAGATGAATTACGAGAATGACGCGAGGAGGATTTTTGTAATAATTCTTGTTTCGAAGGTTGGTGATGTAATGGTGGCGGAACAGGCGATCCAGCTATAAAATAAAGAAAGAAAAGGGAAAAAAAAGAAAAAGAAAAAGGTATAAAAAAAAGGGGATAAAAAGATAAAACATAAATAACACTCCTTACCTCTGGATGATTCAGATGAGTGATGACCAAATACTCGGTTAAAAAAGGAATCTGTAGGCTGGTTATTAGGTAGTGAATTAGCTATTTGGGTATCCTTCTTTCTTCCATTATTATTGTTGTTATTATTTGACTGATCCCAGCTAGGAGAGTGCATGTGTCTAGGATACTGAATATTCATAGTGAGAAAAAAGCATAATTTTCTTATTAGAAAAAAAAATGTGCAGGTAATAAAAATATTTTTTAGTGTAACAGGAGTCTTAATTGCTCACAAGGTCTTTTTCTTTCATTAATCAATTGAGCAAATCATTGAACTTAAGAGCTCAGTTTGTTTACAATGACATCAAAGAAGAAAGAGGCTCATTGTCTTCTCTGCTCTTTACTAGTTTATTCTTTTCTTTCATCTTGTTTATAAATTGCGGATAACAAGCTAACTTTATGCAACTCCGAACTCTATATTGGAGTCATTTGTCGGCTATGAAATGTCACATTTACCACATCAGCCATCATTTCCTTCATCCCCTTAAGAGCACCTAATTAACTGAGCGATTCTATCCTTTATAAAGACCCTTAAACTTATCCTCTTTCTCTCTCTTTTTCTTCCGATTCCGTTAATGATGTCTACATTATGCTTCCCCCTTTTTTTTATACATTCCTATTTATGCATTTATTTATACGCCTTTCTTCTGTCGTTGTCGTCACTTACTTTTCTCTCCCCTTTTAAAACGCCTATATTAACTTTGTTCCTTGTTTATATTACACGTATACGTTCTATCAAGTCAAGGTACTGCTTTGAATACTCGTTTATGGCATTTTGACTCATGAATCTATCATAATCGATTATATATCTATATTACACTATTTATTATGTTGACCATGGATATTCAGCTAGTCACGACTCCTGATTTATCAAATTGACAACATATATTCATAGACATGAATATTACTTATATTCTGCTACATATATTAATAATATATCCATTGTAAAAGAGCCGAGATAATTTGTGTAACAGAAAAAGTTATCCTAACAAACTCCATTTAATATAGTGCAGCTGGTAAATTTGCCCGTTTTGAAAAAATAAGTGTCAAGGCCTTTCTTTCTTCTTTCTATCACTTTCGGTACTCTTCGCCTTAATTGGAAAATGTATCCATGCTATGCCAACGTTGAAGCAATTACAAGCAACACTTGCTGCTGCTAAGGCTGAAATAGCTTGACTCCAGCAACAATACGCCTCTCTCCGTGAGGGTCTAGCTCAGGTTTCTCCTGCCACTGAAATGCTCGCCGCCAATCCCTCCACTGCCACTCGTCCTCCTGAGTCACCATGGCAACGTCAACCCTTTCAAAAATGACCTTTCCCTTCAGATTGTGAGTTTCCTCCGCCAACTAAGGTGGCAAGACCAAATGCCACCAAGTCTCTTCCAAGCCAAGCAGCTGCTGCTCGTACATTTAGCCCTCCTTCTTCAAATCAAGATTTTAAATGCCTTTATGTTCCTGCCCAACGCCATATCCCAATTAGACAACTACGTAGCCGACTACAACGCTTGTCATTTCAATAGCAGCCATGTTCTCGATATACATTATCCGGATTGCCACCTTGCTGGTTTCCTTGCCCACAGTGACCATGAGTCTGATCCCCGTTCGCAATTAAATAGGTTTGCAATTACTGTACGCGATGAGTATGATTCTCGTGATCCTGCAAACTTTTGTGTATTATGCTAAAGTTGGTATTTGAGTTATATTCTAAGGACATATTGCCTACTTCAGCAATTAAGCTGGGATGACAATTCCAGCATTTATGTTATGGACAGAGAGGCTCATTTGTAAGATATACATGTGCGCTGTATGCTGAAGATGTGTTGAAAGAAGAACTTATATAGTATTTGAGTGCAACAACAATGATACTATGCATTTACATATTAAGCTGAAGAAGAGAAATCACTATAGAACAAGCAAGGAATATATTTATTTACTGTGGTAAATGGAGTCAAAAGAAGACACTGTGGGGGCGAATATGGGACTTGTGAGGGCCCCAGATGCTCTGACAGCCGCAGCCTTCTGCTCTCAAAAGCAAATTCGACATTTGGCTCTATATATTTATAAGCAAGATTACGTAGTGGGCCCAGTAAAGAGGTGAGGTATATTGACTGCACCGTATTTATCTTTTTCGCGGCATCTTTAAAATCGGTCCAATGTTTCCTTAGCTGCAGATGATGCACCATTTAGTTATCTCACCTTATTAGAATCAAAAGCTGAGCAATAACGAAGTAGTATGATCTGTGTATAAAAATGCCATCCATGGCTTTCATTCATGCGTTCCCTTGTTGCTATTGGCTGGTTTTATCTCCAAGATAACAAAGGCACTGATACACTTTCTTTTTATGGAAGCTATTCCTTCCATTGAGCTCTGTGAGCGATTTGCAAACACTACATGCATGTTTATTTTCTATGATCGAGCCTCTTAGGACTCTGTCAATATTTCAAATACACATTTCATCTAATTGCCGTCTTTAAAGGAACCATAAGCTTTTATAAACGTGTATATTTGTAGAGTCTTTCCTCATTTTTGCAATATCTTTATCCAATGTATCTAAAACAGTAGCCTTCACGATCGTCAGTTAAGAGAAGTTTTGTTATTAAGTGAGAAGTTATACATTTTGATGTAGAAGCAACAGTTGCAAGAATAAAGTCCTGAGATAGGCCAAGAATCAAAGGCCTTGGGGCTGCTTTCATTGCAGTTGATAAGGAAGCAGCAGAAGCAATGGAACGTAACATTTTATGATCAACAATAAAAGAAAGGGCAGAAAAAGTGCTCTTTATTTATGTTTTTACATAAGTTCTTTGTTATATAATGAAGACTGTTTTAGTCAAAGCTTATCAATACAAGTCATTAACCTGCTTTTACTGATATACTATTATTTTAATAGTTTGATACTTTAGCTCATAGCTTGCATATTATAAGTTCCTTAATTCAATTATTCCAAGATGAAGCTCACTTCCTGGAAATAATCAAACTGGTCCAAAAAGCAGCCTTTCGTTAAATAGTATATTAGCTTTAGCTAACGATAATGAAATCAATCAATTTTCACACATGACCCTAACACTCTTTGGTGATATAAATGATGAAATATAGAAGTACTATACAAAAAAGCATTTTATTCTTATATCATTGATGATATTGATTGCAAGATAGGAAAATGCTGTCAGTTTCTAATTTTCTTTAGCAAGCTACCCGAGCAGAGTGTGGTGAAATTTGTTTCCCATTTATAAAGATCTCTATTAGATGTCTTTTTGGTAAAATCGACTCCTTGAAACCTTTTCAGATCAAAAGCAATACTTTTGTTATATGTATTGACTTCAAACATTCCAATTCCTATAACATTTTGCTGTACTTTTTGCATGAAATCTTTTATACTTCCACAATCTATCACTTTTTTTTTCAAGATCTCCCCATACGACAGCCTTTGTTTCCTGGCTTAATCCGACATTAAACCAGACATGATCTTGACGTGCTTCGTCAAAATATATCAAGTCATCACATGTAAACTTGTATAAATTAATGTTAAGCCAAGAAACAACGTTTTTCGGCATTCCAACAGTAATGTAATTTTCAAGATAGCCTGTAAGCGTAATTATATCCCCAAAAAAAGGTAATACTAAGCCTGCTTCTTCGTAACACTCTATTATTACATCGCTAATAGGGAGGACAACAGTGGAGCTTTTATCCGGATAACTCATGCATATACGTGATTTATTGTTTCCATCCAAAGCCTTATAAAGTGAGTATCCTATTTTGTCTCTAATATCCTCAGTTATAATTGCGCGATTAGTTAGTCTGTGTTCTTCGCCGTCGTCCTCCACATAAGCCCCATCTGGAGAAGGCTTCATACCAAAATTAGGCATTATCAGGGCACTTTCTTTAAGTTTATACGAAAGAAAAAAGAAGAGTTATAGCATTAGATGCCTTTTTATGCTAATGTATTAATGATAGAACATCTCTAAATGCGCTTGCCAAGCTTGAAATGACCTTGTTTATTGAAAAACCACAACTGTTATATAATTCAAGGTTTGTCACTCTTTTGTCCATGCTCAAGAAAAATTGTACGCTTCTTACAGACTATCTTTTATTCATAATAATACGAATGTATAAAGTCATGCAATCAACCATTAAAGAACATTAAAATTATATTTATCAGTTCAAACAGTTCAAACACTTGATTTATTGACTAGACTAGATTCCTTGCCAGATAAATTAAAAAACAGAGTTCGTTTACCTTATCACACAAAAATATCTTTACAGGCATAAAAGGTGTTGGTTACAGTTTACACTACCAAAGGCATTTATTCTAGTGCTTTTATATGTGTTTATAAAGGATAGCTATACAACGGTTCTTCATAAGTGAGTTTTTTTAATTATCAGTGCTTTATGGGTTATCAAAACAAGCCTTGCATAGTAGATTTTCCTTTTTTGTCCATTTTTTACTTTTTACTTTTTACTGTGACACTATTAGACACAACTTTGTTTTGCATGTATATAATCGCATTCGATTATTCTACAGTATGCTCTTACAAAATAGCTGGTGTAGATGGATCTCTGATATTACTATCTTGCTTATTAGAAAGAAACTGACATTTTGATAGTTTAACCATTATGTTTCAATCAAGCTGTGACGTTTGTCATACATATTAATTATGCTTAAATCGCGAGTGAAAGAAAGGTTACTCTACAAGATAAAGTATTTAATATGGCCACTATCCCTTTATCAGCTGATAAACAGCTTCTGGAGTCGCAAAGCATATTATAGATAGAAATACAGTTTGGTTATTGTGATCTACTGCTTCTTTTAACGAGATTTATTTTTTACATATTAAATACACGGATTCTATAGACTTCCTACACTGTAAATTTAAAAACTGCTCAGCATAAACCTATCAGTTGATTGTACTTCCTATTGTAGAGATAATAAGCTTTTGAGGCATTTGTGTACATCGTTCCCAGGACTTTGTTGTACACATCATTTCTATGAAGTCATGATACCATCTAAGAATAAGAAGATTGAGACGTACAACGATATTGATATCCAGTCAGGAATTCTGTATAAATACTAATACCATATCATATTGTTCACTTAAAATAATATTTTTATACGTTATAATGAAATTTCAACTCATAATCGCTGCTGCTGTTGTTGTCTTGGCAAGCTATGTCTCTGCTGCTCCTAATAGGGAACCTCCTCTCTGCCCTGGCTGTCCTCCCACTAACCGAAGATGCTGCATGTAAACTAGGTCTAGCGAATCTATAATACCAAGACTGCGCTTATAATAAAACCGTTTGCCGAAGTATATTGTAATATGTGAATGGAATATCGAGTTGTGAGTTATTATAAACGACCATATGCATAGTTGTTCCTAGTATTTGGAAAGGAAGAGTGAAAACCTACGTGTTTGAGTCAATAGAATATCTCTTCCCTTTAAAAAAAATTGATTCAATAGCTGTGCTTTATATATGATTGTTAGAGCAACTGTACTTGAACACCAAAGAGTTGGCTGTCTTTCAGACGCATCCTTTCAAAAAAACAAATGGCTCTTACTACTGTTTGTATGTGTGTGTGCGGAAATTATTGTCATATTGAGCGCAGATACTTCATATTGAGTCAACTGCGGTATTTCTCATGAAATAACTGTTTGATTATTCAATAGAATGACGGTGATGTAGGCTATACACAGCTTATACATACTTTTTGAAGAAAAAGGCGATGTACTCTAACAATCAAATTAATTAAAGCTATTATTAAACAAGCAGGTGTATACTATATGCATACCATTATAAAGTCTATTCCTTTGAGCTGGTATTTGAGGAGATGTTGTTGACTCAGCTGCTATAGTACATGCTTATATGCCAAAAGATGAACCCAAATGTATAAAAAAGACCATTGAGAGCATGTTACACCTTAAGAGCTGTTACTCATGCGCTTATTACAACGCTTCCGTCGGCAAGGATAGAGGGCTTAAGAAGTTTTTTTTTTTAAAAAAAAAAAGAGGTATACTAAAGGTATTTTAAGTTGACAGACTAAAAAATGCTTTGTTAAAAAGGAAGGCTCAGATACTGAGCTTCTAATCCAGTCATAGTCAAAATGCCTTTTAGGATCAAAGTTGCTATCAAATTCCATTGGCCGAAAGACCTCTTTTCTGATTTGTGTTGTGCTATTCTTATTAAAGCGATTTAGATAGTCTCCTAAGGTTACCGGTATCTTAAGAGTCAGCTTTTGGTTGTGTTGTTTAATCTCGTCCAACTCCTCGTCATTAAAAATACCGTAGTTTTTTTTTAGATTTTGGCTGTTTGCATCAATAATGAAAGAGTGCGACTGATACTCTTTGCTGCATTGTATACCAAAGTAGAATAGTTCATCTTCTACGCACTTCCCGGTAGCCAAATGACATTTTTTATCATTTTCTAATTTATCGTATGCCTTTTGAAATCCTTGTTTCAAACTATCGATATATGAACTAGCATCAACATCTCCGAGAGATTCAGCATTTCTTCAATGACCTTCTTTTCTTCTTCAGAACCATTCTCCTCTTCACTATCTTGATTCAAATCGTCAATAGATTTCAGTTGTGTCATGATATGATAGTCTGTTTGTTTAATTAGCAAGGGCTTTCTAGGTTGGTTGTAGAAATGCTGGTTCATTGAAATGGTGCTAAACAGCTTTAAAAAAATATGTCAGTGAGCTTTAAGCAATAAAATATGCTGATATAAATTGATTTACCTGGTTTTATTTCGGCTTTTTTGCAAGCAGTACAAGCCCAGAGAATCAAAGGCTTGTTACAGCTTTTAGCTTTCATATTTCTTTTTGCGATCTAATTGACCGATGACTCAAACTTAGAAACCGCTTGTTTCTTGGACGTAATAGAAAAGTTCTGGGAGAACTTGAGGGCAGTAAACTTTGTAAAGTTCCTTTTAAGGTATTCAATGCACTGGGTCATTTTTTGGCTTGTAAAAGAAAACAGCTTCCTTTTAGGTGTACACTACATACACGAGAAAATGCACCAGAAGTTAAACTAATACTATGAGCGCTACTTCTACCCACTATCTGTGATGCCTTCAACAAAACTTTCCAATGTGTAGCGTCAAGCTAAACATGACTTTTACAAAGTCGCTATCTTGGTTTGTTTCTTTTCACGAAGAAGAGATAAAAAAGAAATATCGCTATTTATTAATTATGTTGTCAGTTTGATAAATCAGGTACAATTATGATGACATCGTATTTTATATCAGAGAGTGAATTGACAGCCTTAGGTTAGGCAGAAGCTTTGGTAGTGTGAAGTTGTATAGTGACACCGCATGTAGCGCCTCAAGGAAGCGCCCGTAGTATTTACCTATTTTCTGGTACATGTAGTGCTCACCAATAAAATCAAGCCTGCAGTTTTTTGTTCGTCAGACAATTGCTTTAACCCCTTCAAAGTCTTGACTATCACAGATTCGCATTCGACACTATAAGAAATAAATGAAAAGATAAATAACTGCATGATGAGTAACCAGAATCCTTACCGTTTACTTTAGAAGAGGCTGCTTGTTAAAAACAAAAGATCAAAGGCGTCGCTATACACATTTACTCGATACCAGAATTCAGTGCTCTTTTTTCAGATGACCAAATTTGTATAAGATGAAACTATTGGGATAAAGCGATTAAAAAAGAAAATTACGAGGATCGATTTCCTACGTCAGTACTTACAGTTTGTTGATCAACAGTTTGATGGAAATCAGTTCATCATTGCTTTGAAAAATGCTGATAACATCACTCATTGTTTTAGTTTGTAATATTTGCTTTAAGATAGGATGCTCTTCTGCCTTTAGCTTTGATGTCAACAATAGATGTAGCTTCTTCATGAGTTTATTAGTAACAGTTTGTAATCTTTGAGGAATGTTTCTTGATGTATAATACGACTTTTATAAAGTTTCAAAAAGAAAGTGATAAAAAGAAATGTTGCTATTTTATATTCTAATTTTATGTTGTCAGTTTGATCAACAAAGAACCAAGGTCATTCACGTGTAACTAAGTGAATTATATTATGTCAAAGGATATCCTATTAGATAGCCTTAGGTTAGATAGCGACCTTGGTAGTGTGAGGTTGCAAAGTGATGTCATTGGTAGAGCCTGTAGCATTAGCCTATTTCCTGGCGCATGTATTGTTCGTCTTGGTTATAAATCCAAAAAGAACCACTTTTTCCCTTCTCTTTATTTCTTCTTTCTACAGCATGTTTATAAGGCATTACTCTGCTACTTCTGTTGTAGTACTGACGCTTACCTCTACTGGGTATGGCATTACTACAAATGCAAGTAACATAGATAGTGTTTAGTAAAATAATAAGTAAGCACCAATACCTCCATCGTAGAACTGACGCATATCTTTACTGAGTATGGCACTGCTATACACGTAAACATTACTGACTCTACTCTATATTGAAAAAAAAGAGACTGTAGCTTTTTCTGGTATTGCTACCAGAAAGAACTATGCTTTTTTATATATTATAAAACTGGAAATGAAAAAAGTTACATTCTATGAATCTCATTTGAAGGATTCTCGATTTCTATACGTGGACTACACAGCATAAATTCGAGGAGTGCTGGTTGCTTTTAAATAACGTGACAGCGTATACCCATAGCAGAAATGTACCTCACACTATTGAATTATACTAGCATTATTGGTGAGTGGACGCATACTTTTGGTATTGTTCGCCTTTCGAAAGTTGAGCTAATAATTTAAGACTAGTTAGCAGAGAGCATGGCTATAAGCTTCGAAATAAAAAGTATTTGTCCTTGTAGATACCTCAAAAGTTCGAAAAAAAAAAAGGAACGACAAGTATTTAAGTAGTATTTACCAAGAACATCTTTTTGAACACGATATATCTATACATGTATCATATTGCCCAGATGAGATCAAGGTATCAAAAAATCCCTTAAGGGCATTAAGGTAAAGTCAAAGTTATTAAAAAAAAAAAAAAAGAAAACTATTAGTAGCAGTTTCCATGTCTGAAAATATGACTTTAAGAGTAAGTTACTATTTTATTATACTTGCACTTCCATACCTTGACTAATTCATTTTTAACAAAATAGACATATTATTCAAACTTTTACAGCACTGAAATGAGTTGATAGTATCTTTTTGCAGAGTTACGTTGTTTAAACCAATCTTGCAATACCTATAAGCGACAACATAACATCTCACTTTGTTTAATGATTTAAAACATGAGTTTATTTATTTTCAACATGACTGTTACAATAATAATAATAAAAAAGACTCTAGTGAGCTGAAATAGCCTATTCTATTCTCAACTGATCAATATGTTTCATTGTATGCCCAACTCAAGAAAGTATAAATACGTATTCTTTTTTCTTTTAGTTATAAATAAATATATAAAGGACTTAAACTGTACTTCCGTCCCTATTGTTTATTTACTGATTTAATTATTTTTAAGACTATCCACAAGATTTGATATTCTGTTCATTTAGAGTACTTTTCTTAGCTTCTCAAACACTAGTTTGATACTAACAGGATTAACCAACGTAAAGGTGAAAGTAGTTAGATCCCCGACGATGGCCCCTTAGACAACATGGTGTTGTAAAGAATGTAGAAAACAGAGCAGTTAGAATCATAATCAACCATAAGTAAATTCACTAAGCATTTAAGTACAAGTTATGTAGCAGGCTTTCAAAATATTGACTATAAATACCCTTATTCTAAATATCCTTTTAGCGGGAGCTTTATATTATCGAATAAAAGAATCCTAAAAGTATTGACCTGTCTTCTTGATAATATAAAACAACCATCAAAGATGCCTTCTCTTCCATCTTCGAGATATAAAGTTACTTCAGAACCCGTTGCTAAGTTTAAGGCTGCAGAAAGAACAGCATTTTGGCCTTGACTAACTCAATTTTGAAAAGTGGCCTATTGATTTTCAAAAAGTAGATCAATTGATTTCAAAAAGCTGACCAATTTTTCCGGCAAAGTGTAAGTGTTACTTTGATAGCAATTACAGAACGCGCCATTTGTTTCGTGTAACTTATTCAGCGGCATCATTTTATTCCTGCTGAATAATTGAAAACTATGCAAGAGTGTGAAGCAAGAAAGTATACCCTTTAGTAATTGCTTATCTTTAGCTTTGACTGTAGCCACCTTCATTATTAGCCAGCAGCTCTATTTGGATTGAAGATCAGATCATTCTGACATTCAAGACTCTCACGAACACCTTAAATTGTCACCTCATCAATTAAAGAAAAAGAGAAATCTTGTTTGTATAAACATAAACTTTGATCGTCAGTTGTTGATTCCTATGAGAAATTATTGAATCTCCCCGTTATCAGCCATTTAATGCCTATATTTATGACATTTATAAACAAGAGTATTATATATATTCACATCTGTCTGTTATACAAGGAGAAGGTTACACTGGTGCCATGGCCACAATGATATTCTAATTATATTTTTCTTATGATTTTTATACAATCCAGTAACTACTCCATGAGCCAAAGTAACTAATGGCGCATTGAGAGCATCACATGCACACATCATTTATAGAGTAGATCAAATAGATCAGTGTAACTCTTTACTATAAAAGACTCTTTGGCAGGCTTGTTTTTTTCCGTCATTTTCCATATTTTATTCTTTTCATACACAAATGATAACTTATACAGTCGAAGTTGGTCAAGATCAGCCTAATGGTGGCAGAATTCGACGTAGCAAGATAGCGGCTGAAGGCCTTGTTCGCGTACCTGAAGTAGGCATTCATACTCTATACGATGTGCTCCAACATAGTGCCAAAAAGTATCCAGAACTCAATGCGTTTGGTTATCGAAAAGTGGAACGAGTCATTGAGGAGGAAAAAGAGATTGTCAAGGTCGTGGATGGAGTTGAGACAAAACAAGTAAAAAAATGGAAATACTTTCAAATGTCCAAATATTACTATATTACCTATGCCGAAGCAGCTCAAATAACCCTAGATATCGGTGCTGGTTTCATCTATTTAGGGCTTCAAGAGAAATCAAAAGTGGAAATATTCGCACCGACAAGGTAATTGATCAAATGAGTAAAAGAATCATGTTCTGATTACTTGAGAGAGCAGTATGCACTGGTTGTTGACTGCCCATGGACTCTTTACTCAAAACATGACAATTGTCACTGCTTATGATACCTTGGGTGAAGAGGGTTTACTGCATTCCATGAACGAAACAGAAGTAGAAGCCATCTTTTCCTCCGCCGAACTCTTACCCACTGTGAAACGCGTTGCAAAATCGTGCCCCTCACTCAAGCTTATCGTTTATCAAGGCATAGCCAACCATGAAGACTTGGATTCTTCAGAGATAGGATCAGTCAAGATACGCTCACTAGATGAAGTGATCAAGCTTGGAAAGGAGCATCCTATAGACCCACGCTTGCCAGAACCTGAGGATCTCTGTTGCATCATGTATACTTCTGGAAGTACGGGTAATCCAAAAGGTGTGATGTTGTCTCATAAGAACGTGGTGGCTGCTGGTAAGTCTCTCTCTCTCTTTTCTATGTGGGTAGTTTTCTCTTTTCTAACACTTTACCAAATAGTTGCGTCATCAGATGCTATCCTTGGCCGTCTTATCTCACTGACAGATTCTATAATGGCGTATTTACCTCTTGCCCATATCTTTGAATTTGTAACTGAGAACATGAGTCTTTACTGGGGAATCACTATTGGCTACGGTTCGTTCCGAACCCTGACGGACATATCTGTACGAAACTGTAAAGGTGATATCAGGGAATTCCAACCAACACTGATGTGTGGTGTACCTGCTGTCTGGGAAGCTATCCGCAAGAGCATCGTCACTAAGATCCAAGGCGCTTCTTCAAATGCGCAAGCTGTATTTAACAGAGCCTTCCACACTAAAGCCTGGTTTTTTGAACGAGGCTTGCCCACGCCATTACTCGATCGACTCGTATTTAACAAGATTCGCGAACAATTTGGTGGACGATTAAGATGTGCCATCTCAGCAGGCGCGCCATTGGCAATCGAAACACAAAAGTTTTTGACAATCACACTTTGTCCCATTATTACAGGATATGGAATGACAGAAAGTAAGCATAGATGAGAGCTTTATCTTTTTCATTCAAATGCTAATTACTCTTTTTTCGTTCTTACTTTATTCATCTTTAGGCACAAGGTAAATGATAAAATATAATCTCTATTAATTGACACACGCTCATTCCCTCTATATAGTGTATGTACCCTCATGTCAGACACACAACTCAGTTACGGTCATGTAGGCTCTATTAGCCCAGCAGTAGAAATGAAACTTGTAGACGTCCCTGACGCAGGCTACTTTTCTACCAACGTAAAACCTCAAGGCGAAGTCTGGGTTCGAGGTCCATGTGTCACCAAGGGGTATTGGAAACGTGATGACCTGACCAAGGAAACTATTGCTGAAGGAGGATGGCTGCAGACAGGCGATATTGCAGAATGGAATGAAGATGGCACCTTGACGATCATAGACCGCAAGAAGAATTTGGTAAAGCTAAGTAACGGTGAATACATTGCGCTCGAACGACTTGAATCGGTCTACAAGAGTTGTATGTTTGTGAACAACATCTGTATCTATGCAAACTCGCTGCTTCCAAAACCTGTAGCGTTAGTAGTGCCTGCCGAAAAGGCGGTTCGTGCCTTGGCTGATGAGCTAGATGTTCAAGAGAAGGACTGGAAGAGCGTTTGTGCGCATGCGGCTGTGAAAAAAGCAGTGTATGCAACTCTCATCAGTAAGGCAAAGGAAACGGGTCTTAAGCCGGCTGAGATACTATTTGATATTTACTTGTGCTCTGAAGAATGGACGACGGAAAATGTAAGTTCTTTACAACAGGTAGCTTGTCAATTATGTTGCTCAACTTTTTCTCTACAGGGATTATTAACAGCTGCTCAAAAGGTGAAGCGTAATGATATTGTCAAGATGTATAAACACGATTTGGAGGAAATGTAAGAGTAAACCATACTTGTTTTTTGTTTATACCTAAAATTGCTCAATTTATAGGAACAAAAATCAATGTGCGTAAATGTCTTCTTACTAATAAACTTTTTGCTTCTGGTTTAAGATAACCATGTTCTTGTTCAGCTGTGTTGTGTATATTTCCAATTCCAATAAACCAAAGGAAAGAAGAGTCCATTTCTCAGACCTTATAGAAGAATGAAGCATCATCTTCTTTTTATCACAAGTAGAGCAAACCCACGTTTACACAAATGGCTTAGAAAATATCACTCGCATATTAAAGGTCATTTAGGTACAAAAAGGTACAAAAACATGAATATTCAAGGTAATAATTATAATGGGCATTTATTTATAATACCTTTCAAGGGTAAAAAATGAATGCTTTCGTATTTACAGTATAATAAGAATCTAAATTACTATATATAGCGTGTAAAGATGATTTAAAGTATATGTATATATTATAGGGGGAGAATTATTTACGGAAATCGTAAACAAGGGCCTTGATAGCATCAATCGTACCAAAGACACAGCCAACAATACCGAGTAACAGAGTGAGCGCACAGAATGCGAGTTCGTACCATGGCTTGTTACGGACGCCAGTAAGTTTGAGATAACAGAGGACGGGCAGAAGGAAGACAAGGCCACAGTTGGACAATGCACCGATCAGACTCATAAAATCGTCAAAGAAAGGCACAAAGATGGCCAAGATAACTAAGACAGCCATACAGGCAGTACGGATCACAGCACGAGCAATCCAGGCCTTAAACTTGCCAACTCTTTCGTCGGTGATGTTACCCCACTTTTCCATTTCGAGTGAGAATGAAGTGGTATAAATTGGAATAGCGAGGATAACATGGATGGTCATTACAATCACTGCAGTCATTCTGCCGGGACCATTAGGGAGGGAGTTGTAAACAGGAGATACAGTATCACGACCATAGGCCCAGTAACCGGGGATAGCAGTGAGCATATAGAGGGCAGTACAGGCAGTCATACCAGCAAAGACAGCCCATTTCCATTGATGAGGCTTCTTCAAAGCATGCTCAACGTGAGGATAAGTGTTGATGCCACCATAAGAAAAGGCAATGGTAGCAAGTGAGGAAGGAAAACCAGCCCAGATGACAGAGTCAGTTCGGACAATTTTTTCAGGATGTGCATGACGGTCTATGGGAGCTTCGATAACGACAACAAATACGGCAATCATTGTACAGATGGCGCCCAAAGCAGAAAGCGCAGTAACTTCTTTCAGTGTTTTGGCAATCAATGAAGGAACAAGCAATACAGTACCGATAATACATGCCCATTTGGTAGTGTCAAGTGCAGCGCTCTGAAATAATGAGTATTAGTATGCTGAAGCTATCTTTTTCAAATATATAAAATAGACTTACGGTATTGGCAAGGAGGTATTTCAAGTTGCCAGCAGCCAAGACCAGGTAAAGAGCAGGACAACCAAACAAATTGAGGAAGTGAAGCACAGCAGCAGCTGTTTTTCCGTACCAGCCAAAGGCAGCAGTTCCTACGGCCTTGTAGTCATGAAGACGTTGGCCAGGCTTATAGTATAAGCAACGGATCAAGACAGTACCGCTGTAAACGGACATTGCGTAAGCTAGCATCATGATGAGAATACCAAGCCAGCCACCAAGTGCGAATGCGTCTATTGAAATAATAATAGAAATTAATGAGGTATGTCTCATCTATGTCATCTTTTAATCTTACGGGGAAGACCCAGAGTACCGGTACCAGCGACAACACATGTGACATTAAAGAAGGCTGTCATGAAATTACCAGTTCCATGACCAAACTCATTTACGGTAGATTGATTATCTTCGTCATAAGTATCGATAGCTCTCTCTTCTATTTTGATACTCTCGGTATAGCTGTGAGCAGAAGAGGGGGTGGTAGTATATTTTTCGATTTCTTGATTGCCCATCAAATCAAATGTAATGCAAGTTTTAAATTTGTTGGAAATTTATAAAAGAGAAAAGGATTGTTGACAAAAACAGTTGATGTTTTAAAGAAAAAAAAAGAAACGGTTAGAAAGAAAAAAAGAGAGAACTGAAGCGAGCTTTTCTGAGAATCAAGCTGTCCCTTTTATATCTTGTTTCCAGAAAAATTTTTTATTGGAAGAGTAGAAGCCGTAGCTGGGGAAATCAGGAAAGTGTACTGACGTTTAAAAATTAAAAATCAGTAAGTTCTATACAAGGCAATGTAATGAACAAAAACAAAAAAAAAACCCTCATCTGATTTTATTACGACATACTTTGTTATACAATAAAAACAAGGGAAAAAAAAAGACAAGATCCTCTTTTACTTTTCGTACTTTATTTAGAACCAAGCATGATTTTACGGCCAGATACGGAATATATCCTCATTCAATTTATACAAGATAAGGTTTGAAATTAACAGATCCATGGTTACTCATGACAGCAATTGCTTGGTAACAAACAGTCACTTTTCCCACACTTGTTTCCTAAAGGTTTGGATCAAGTCATTAACGTTACAAGACATGGAACTTCATCCGCTCGCTTTGTAGGACTTTGGAGTTTTATTTATAGACAGACAAAGATAAGATAAACTGCTTTTGTTAATTCAATAGGACGTATTGTAACAATAAATCGGAACACCGAAATAGCGACCAGCATCTTTGCTCTATTCTTGTACTTGGACTTGATTGATGCTGATGTGACTACTCGATGAATGGTTGACCGGGATACGGCCTAGTGCCCCTCCATCTTTATCATATGCTTGTTTTTTCACTGTTGTTGAAATTGATTCCGATATGTTACACAATATACCTACGCCATATGAGGCAATCTATACGTAGTGATGATTGGATGCCTTTTGTATGGACACATGCCTTTTTGAAATATAAAAATTCTTATTGGATTAAACAGCGCGAAAGGCAGGTCTGTTTCTGAAAAATAGACTTTACTGTAATTGTTTGGTAATGTGTATCAGCAAGAAGAGATGATCACGAAAGGCAACAACCGGTTAATTGCGGGGTAGTGTTCTTCAAGTTTTTAATAAAATGACGTTATTTAATTGGTATTTTTTTTTCTCTTTTACTTGAAAATGATCGTACATCACTGCCATTGTGGGCACACTTCTTCTAGACTGACCTATCACTTTCCTCTCCTGGCCGGAAATTGGCTTTTTTCGTTGCTTTAGTAGGCGGGTAGCAGAAAAAAAAACACGCCTCGTTAGCTCCTTGTCCACTTAAATCACTACAAATACGCTATTTACAGAAAAAGATGTCGCGCTGACTTGTCGCTTTTTCATATAAATTGTGCTGTAAAAACTACAAAAATTAGAATAAAAAATACGAATTTTTGCCGGAAATTAACTGCACACTAAGCCTTTTTGCTCACCCTTTTCTCTCTCACACTTCTGATATTCATTTTTACCAAAAAAAAAAAAAGATCAATTCATATAGTTCCTGTCGATTAACATTGTGTTTCCATCTTGGCGCCCATTACAAAAATGGAAAACAATAACCAAATTAAAGCCAACTGCTCTTCCTGCCATGAACATTTACCCTTTAGTTTACGTAATCGTACCTGCCAAGCATGCAGAGAAAGAGTTGCAACGTCGCGGACATTTTACCGAAGAGCAAGAAGAAGGTGACATCGCTGCTAGACCTAGAGGCAGGCCCAGGGCAGACCCTGTTGAGCATTTCCTTGTTGCATATATCTCTCAGTTATTCTGCCTTTGCCCTTTGAACCTTGGGTGCATGAACAAATAATGTTCCCATTGTCACGCCTTACACTGGATTGATGAAAGGCAAGAGATATCTTCGTTGAGGAAACCTAGCTGGGAATCATGCTGCAAGCAGGGTTTAGTCCAACTATTGCTCCTGGTACAACCGCCTAGGCTCTGGAAAGACTTACTCGCTCGCACAGACGCTGTAGGCCGCCAGTTCAAGGACAAGCTGCGTCAATACAACACCGCCTTTGCAGATCCGTGGTGAACTTTATCATCTCCAAGGCCCCTTACTTCCCGCTGATGATAACTCTGCAGAGTCTTGTCGTCTGATGATAGATGTTCAATTAAAAATATTCACTTTATATCTACTATTCCCAAGAAAGCTGGTGCAAGTGGTATTTCTTTGCTTCCAACAACTGTAAGCGATCTGAAGCTCCTGGAAAATGGCGTTGTTATATTTTCCACCGAACAAGGTTCAAATGTTCTAGCTGTTTCTCCCATTCTTTGGATTGAAGCCGATAATCCATGTCATTTCGAACTATGCGGCTTGCTGGGCCCGACAACGCTGTATCCCTGTCGAAAGTGCTATATACGCTTGAGACAATCAAGAAGGGAAGCGCTGCAAGATGTTAGGTACTATACTGACAAGCAATTGGAACAAGCCAGAGAACATTACTGCTTGGCCGCTGCTGATAATGACTATAGAAGAAGCAAGGAGATCCTCAATATCCCCGAGTTTGGTAACGCTCTTCACGCATGCGATCTTAGCTATTCTCATAGAAACGCTGAAGCGCTCTTGGAGTTTAAAGCATTTGATCCGTCAAAAGATACTCCTGCCGAGGCTCTGCATGGCGTGTTGCTCGGAATTGAAAAGTACTTGGTCACAAATTTGGTGCAAGCTGTCCTCAAGGGTAACAAAACAGGCAAACTAAAGAAACTTGCACATTGTATTAAAAGTTTCAAGAACAAGCAGGCTTATCTCGTAAATTCACCGAGAAACTTCAACATTGCGGTTCTTTACTTGGCAGAGATTTCAATTTGGCAAATTGTGCTCATCACTATTTGTTAGGGGCATCAACACTCGCTTGAATGATTCTATCGCAGAATGCATCAGTCAAGGCTCCTATTGAGTAATTGCACAATTATGATACGAACCGTCGAATAGAAGGCCACGATCTATACTGTCCCAATTTGAAGGCTCAATCTTTTGGTTCATTTTTCAGAGGATATAAGAAGATTTGGTCCTGTCTTGAATTATGAAACTGAAAAAGGCGAACAGTTTAATAAGCATATCCGAGAATACTTGTTTTCCAGGAATAGATCAGACACTCCTAGAGATATTGGCTGTAAATTTAGAACACAAGCTGTCATGAAATATATCGTTGAAGGTGGTTCTTGGGTGAAGGATGATTCAAGAGAAAAGTGTGGTCTGAATGTTGCCTCTTTTATTTCTGAGCATAAAGAGCACCTCCTTTTTTATCTCGCTAATGGGTCAAGAGAATTAGCAGACAATAATTCCAGCTCTCAAAAAGTCAAGACAGGCTCTTTTGCTGTGCTCATCCATCGCAATAGCCTACTAGCTTCTGAGGCTAAGTCATTCTTGGGCCTTATTTGTGAGTCTTCGATGCAGCGGTTTAGTCTGCATAACAGTAGTAGCCAAGAAGACTTTAAGAGCGGCTTCTTGATCATCAAAGCAGCAACAATGCCTCATTCAGATATCTTCCTTGGTCTCCTGGGTGTAGAATTCACTTTAGGTACATTTGCGTTGAATGATAATTATATTCTTATCAATTTGAACAAGCTTGGCACGTACTGGTACTTTAGACAAAACTTTTCCTCTTTTCTACCACAATAAAAATACTTTGGGTACTTTTGGGTGTTTATTTTTGATCTGGGCCAATAACAACCTTTCAAATTTTATGATTGCCTTTTATATTTCTCAATTTCAACAGTGGTGAACGTCACACCTTGTATAGTTATTTCTGCTGATATAAGAATGCGGTTAATTGAAGGAGACGATAGACGTAATCACAGTTTGACAACAGTGGAAGAAGTTTCCGCAGCTATTCATATTGAGTATAGCGATAGAACCTTCCGTGGAATCGATCTTTTCTTGAGAAGCAGCAAAAGAAACGATAGCCTTCGTCAAGGATATGATTTTGAGCAAGACTTTCAACTTATCGGCCAGGCACATGCTGCATACGTGCCAACCCATTATGCGCTTCTTTTTCCTAATAGGACGTACGACTGCCATTAGAGCTATGCCTTTCCTCCTCTTTCTTTATCGCTACTTCTTCGATCACTGTTCTCGGTGTTTAAATGATGATCCATGACCATCATGCGACATTTTAGTATTCTTATCCCATCACTTTTATAAAGATAACTGCTTTGATCGTCAACTTATAATAGAAGCGAAACACAGAAAAGCATGCAATGCATCTAAAGCAGAGATTTTTCATTACAGGACACAAGACATGTTACTGAAGAAATCAAACGGAGGTGCAAACAATCTAATGAGGAAGCCGAACTTGTTTATGCTGACGAGCACTTAACAAGTCAGATTTGTAACAAGTGTATGACCAAACATATTACCAACATCTCTATTACTGGATCAAAGCGAAGAGCACACGCTGTCCTCAAGTGTGAAGCTTGTGGTACGGCGTGGAATCGCGATGTGAATAATGCATTAAATATATATAATATCTTTGTTTACAAATCAAAACACGATAATCAAAGTCCTCCCTTCTTCAAAGGACCTTCAAAAGGTTAACGGTGCTCCCTGGATTTAATGCGCTGTCTATAACGGCAGTGCATTCTTTAGCGCTTCGGTAAGTATAAAGCGAACAATACATTGTATTTTTTATTCATTAGTCTTCTAGTTATGCAAATATGATACAAATTATGTGTGTATGAATGTAGGATGAGATAAAATTACTAAAAGTAATAATTATTGTGGCGGTCACTTTCGCGCCTATACCCTCCTCTGCCAGCATCAGCTGCAATGCGCCCTTGCTCTCTCAGACTTGCAGGATGCTTATTTGAAGAGGAGGAAGAGGAATAATAGTAGTCCTCGGTAGGATGATTGTATCTATTGTTCGCCCTATCATAGTTTCTTATAGGCCTTTCCGGTCTATGATCGTCTTCATAGTATCTAGGCTGCCTAGGAGGAGATTGTGGCCGTTGATAGGCATGATCATAATGACGCTGAGGGGACATGTCTCCGTTGTCTCTGTTGTCGTCACGGTAGTGATCATCGTAACCTCTTCGATCTTCACGATGATAATCTCTATGGTAGTAATCATCATAGGCATCCTTTGATTCATACTGGCGACGATCGTAGTGCTTGTCTCTTAATGATGGAGTGCGGTACGAATTGAGATTTCCGCCGCTCTCGGGCAAAGGTGGTGGTTGCTGTTGTCGAAGTTCCTGACGTTCACGCTCTCGACTTGAAAGTTCCCTTCCATTGTCCTCCCACAGCCTCCTGCGAGAAGGCGTTCTGGCTGGTCCGGCAGAGGGCGCAACCTCTGGCGCTTCAGGTGACTTTGTTATTCTTTGTCTTGGAGCCCGATCATCAAATAGCCAACTTGGTAATGGCAACCTATTCTTTTCATAGTATTCTCTAAGGATCCTTGACACATGGGTTTCTCCTTCCCAGTCATCCTCATCCGATTCTAACCACGTGAGTTTTTCTTTCTTTATTATACCATCTCATGCTTACCAGCCCCTCGTTCATCTCTACTAGGGATCTTGTCTGCCATTGTCTGTGTTGCCTGTATTAGCTTACCCCAGAGCTTGCCTGTCTGTTTTGATTTATCATCTAACAATAAAAGACATGTTAGTATTTTGTCCAGTAACAAAAAAGGGTCTTACTTTTTTCGTTTAGCTGTTTCCATTTGTCGTTCTGACGAACTTTTCCCCAGAGCTTTTTTCCAGTGCTTGATGATGATGATCCATCTTCAGGTAGATTTTGTGCAAAGTTGTTAAAATAGATAGACTCTTCTGAGTTTTCACTTGATTCAGTCATGGGTTGTTTTCCTCTTCGAGATGTCCATCTGGTTACTGCTGGTGAAGAAGAAGACTCTGTAGTAGTAGTAGAAGAAGACAAGGGTGAACTGGTATTTCCAGCATTATATTGCAATGGAGGCATAGGTGGTCTATCCACAGGTGTACACTTGTGACGAGCAGGATAGAGTCCGACATCGTTTCCACAGTCTTTACATAATACGACAAGCGTAGATACTCTATAATCAACCACTTGAGCTCCCATAATTTAAAAAACAAAAAGAGAAATAGAAAGACAAAAGAGAGAGAAAAAAAAGGAGTTTATGGGTATTAAATATAATAGAATCGAACCACGAGGATCGATCTCTGTGTGACAGATTCTATTATTCGTAATGTGTCACTAGTTCCGTTTCTGTTTCCAATTACTTTTTTATTAACTTTAATTTGGTTGCTTGGTTACTTGTTGCTGTTGTTGCTTCTCTTCTAAATCCTGAAAGATACGTGCTCTTGCTTCTTCATAAGCTGTCTTTCTCTCTTCCAATGTCATATTCTTTCTATCGATCATATTCTTGGCTTGCTCCTCACCTGCTGATAAAGGTGAGCGTGGAGAAACACTTCCAGAACCAGTAGCTCTACGCATGATTTTGAATTGTGGTGCAGGTCCTTGGCTTGTTTGCTCTTTTTCTGGCTCACTATTGCTATTGCTAATGTCTAATAAACGGACGGCAGGACTAGAGAAAACATATAAATGATCTGATAGTGAACTATTTCCCTAATACACTTACAGCTCGGTTATAAACGTCTTGCAGACATAAACGCCTTTCCTCATGGCATCATGAAAATGATTGAGTTTATAATAAGGAGCCAGCTTATGAATCATCAATCGCTGATATGAATTCATGCTTGGAAAGTCAAGTCGAAACCGTCTAGAAGTCATGAGTACCCTTTTCATGAATATATCTCTATTACTTACTGTTTATCCTTTATGAATGCTTCAAATTCTAGTTCTAACTTTAGTAGAAATAGTCTTTCTTGAGGCTTCTTTAATAAATCTAGAATAAACTCATCTGGCTCGGTTGGAATGACTTCGTCATTAAAGGCCTGTAAAGAAGGTTGTGTTGGAGTATAAAAAGGCTGTTGAATAGTTGGATAGTAGTTCATTGGCTCAGAAATATAGGTTGGTATCCCATTATTAACCGTGGAAGGATAATAGATATTTTGTTGACTATAGATTGGGCCGGAACCATATGGATTCAGGATGAAAGGCGGACGAGGTGAATAGTTGTTGTTGTTGTTTTCATCATTTCTGTTATTATTATGATTAGACATTATATATCCTATATTTATATATATTTGTTATTATTAATGTCCCTTTATAAAAATGTATCTGATTACCATATCAAACTTTTCAAAGCAATAATTTCATAAGGATTTAAGCAAAATTTCGAGTTATTTTCCCTCTTTTATAAAGAGAAAGAAAGAATGAGACAACAATAGACGCAAGTCGTGATGAAGATGAAAAGAAATGTGTATAGAATAAGCCACTTGTAAATAAATAAACAGGGATTCGCTTACCTGTTTTGTGCAAGATAAAAAAGGAAACTCGGATAAAATAAGAAATTAACTTAAAAGGAAATTCAAAAGAAGTGAAGTTAGTTTTCAGATGTAAAGAAGTTTATGTTCAGACAACTTATTTTAAAGGTGAGAAAACCATCACTTGAGCTAGAGAAACGTTCCATTTTAATAGTAATTTAACCCAACCTCTTTAATATAAATGAATGAATCTTCCCTTATTTTTAATAAAGGATTTGCATTTTTTAAATTTTTGGTGTACTTTTTTAAGCTACCAATAAAACGCATTTTTTTTTTTTCAAAGTTACTTGACAGTGTATTTTAATCTTCATCTGAGAAAAGATTGACGCTTTCTACTGTATGATACAAATTCTCTTTATTGGGACAATTACTTCATAGTCTACAATGTTGTATTCAGCTTTAGTTGTTACTGAAATAAAGCAGTTAAGTCGATGCCTTGCAAGTTATATTCTTTATCAAGAAGAGCTGAATATCATTAAAATAAGACACGTGTACATTTTATAGGGAAGATTAAATGTTGTCAGCATAATTTAATGTAATCAATTTGATTATTTATCCCATCAGATGCAATAGAAGAAAGTAGAATATACGCTCTACTGTAAGATTATGAGTATTATAGTCTTATATCAAACACGTCAATGATATCTAAAATGTCATTTCTTTACCAATATACTATTCTTTTGCAACAAACAGTGAGTGTACGTCGACTTTCCTGTTGTTACCAAGTCTTCTTTTCAAGTGAGCAGTTGTGAAGTTTACTTTAGTTGCACATCATTTGATGGTATATTTCCAAAGCATTGAAAGTATGTCATTGTTGATCAAAGATTTGCATTCATAGATGAAAAAAAATATATGTTAGATAGAGAAAAAGGGGACCTTGTGTATATATGATGATAAACAGCGCCACATATGACTTGAAGTTACAATATTAACTGCGAATAATTTGTGAATAAAGTGTAAAGCTATATGTAATGTATATCCATAGTGCATCATTTATGATACCAGATTTGAATACTGTTTATAAAATATCACTCGTTCTCACTCTGAAAGGTAACATATGCTCTTCAGTGTAACCTTGAAAATCCAAGATGTTCCTTTTTCTGGGACTTCTGGTGTCTACCATCCATTTATCCCTTGCTTTTAGTCTTGGACACTATACTTAGTAAATAAAATCCGCCTTTATACTGACTCGCCCATAAGCCAATGGCAACTAACAAGGAATGCTCAATTGCCTAATCTTAGAATGCCGAACTGGAAGGAATTGCATAAGGAAATCCTGTGCGAAATATTTAAGGAACTTAGATCCAACTTTAGCAGGCAGGATTTAGTGGAATGTCAGCTTGTCTGCAAGAACTGGCAGAAATACGCAAGCCTGATCTTTTATCGTGAAATCAGCTTTCGTGAACATTTACAAATGGAAAAATTCATAAAATGTATGCAGAATAATAACCTGAGAAACCTTGTTCAGGAAATAGCTTTTTGGTACGATAAATATGATAAATGTCAGCACGATGAAAGGACAATTTCACTTTTCTATGAACTCGCCGAGACGTGTCCAAACGTACAAATATTTAAAGGTACCCTTCGTACCAGCCATTGGGATGCTCTTGGAAGAGCTGTAGGAAGTTATTGGAAACAGTTGAAGCAACTTCCTGAACCAGAATGGTCTATATACAGTCATCAGAATACTTTTACGAATTATTATACGCTCGCGTCCGTTTGTCACAGCACTCTCACTCACGTTACTTTGCCACCTATACCTCCGTCTTGGCCAGAATTTAAAAGAGTTCTTCCTCTGCTACCATTCTTCATAAATTTGACACATCTAACAGTTAATTCTGACTATATTGGTTCTACCCTCATGGACTATGATGAGGTTATTCAGCAATGCCCCAACTTGATGTGTTTTACATTAAACTCAAACAAAAAAATAATTGAAAGGGCTCATGACTACACGAAATATTATAATGTACTTTCTATGCGACCTCACCTCAAACTTAAAAAACTTGTGGTAGAAAGAGATCTTCATCAAGATATTATTGACTATATCATGCACAAGTTTCCCAATCTGGAATGCTGTAACGTACACCTATCTGTTAATGACGATCTTCTTCACTGTGTTAGACCCTGGATAAGGAGTTGTTACGAAGAAAAGCTACGAAGATTCCAGGAATACCTAAGCAGCAGAAGGTGCGACTGGTTCTTCACTCATGTATCATTTCCTCTGATTGAAGAATACCTGCAGCGTACTACAAATCCTATTGTACGAATTTCTTCTACAGAAAAACATTCTCCATGGCTCCATATGCAGCAAGATAATATGTTCTGGATTATTCGTAATACTGCAATGAACACTGATAGACTAAAAGAACTATTCAAAAAATACCAAAATGGCATCAAAGTGGCTTACTTGGATATGTCTTATGGTTTTGGAGAAAAGCATCTAATAGAAGACATTTTTAGGGAATGCAGAGGATTAGAAAAATTCACTTACAAAAAAATCGGTATGGACTATTCAAAAACCAATTTTCCGGTCGCAAATCAGACCTTGAGCCCTTCATTGACCACACTGAAGCTGATTGCCAAATTCATAACATCAGAAGTACTATCTGCTTACTCGTGCGCTTTGCCAGAACTACGCAACGTGACTATTGAAACCACCTACAGGTTTGGCAATCCACCCTCGTTTGTAGTGGATATGCCTAAAACCAAGTTCAATCATTTGAAATTATATCTTGATATTGGTTTAGCCATGATTAAAAAGCTAAACGGTTCGATCAAAGAAGCACTTGATAAACCAGTTCTCTTAGAAATTTCGCAAGACTCGGACCAAAAGCAATTTTTGGCAAACACTACTTTGTTAAATCAGGTTGAAGAATTTGTCATGGCAGCCAACAAGGGATACGGATATAGTATTGTTATTAAATGTACCTCTATTGACTTTATCAGTATATCATTTAACGAGATGCATATTCTTAAAGAATACCCATTGTCTTTAAAAGTTAATATGTCATAAAGAGCATTTATTCTACGTCTTTTTCAAATGAGTTTAATGTAAGCCTAAGTTTTGGGTAGCAAAACATGCACCCTTAGAAACAGATCAAGATGTAACTGATAGATTAAGTTAAGTACAATATACATAGATTCAACAAATATTTTATTAAAAATAATATTCTTTGAAACTTTGACTAGCAGCACGCATGATGTAAAGCGTCATCATGCTGGGATCTGAGGGGCTGAGAATAGACAGTGTTTAGGCTTTCGTAGTTATTTCTGCAAGTAAAAGCCAACTGCTTTGAAACTAAACGAGGCTTTAAGCACGGTTTGTAGAATAACTTTAATAAAAGCATGTACTATGTATACTTATTTGAAAAGATATGTCAGAAAAGAGAAGACAACACAATTGACTATTTAAATGGCAAAGCTGTGGACAGAAGAGTATGCCATATGCTTGTACAATGCTTGAGCGAACAATGTTGAGGTTGGTCTCTCTCCGTTCTTTATTATGCAACCTCTTGTATACCATCTTCATAGCTTCTACAGAGGATGAAGATTGAGCCTTGAATGTCCTTGTGATCCTTATGATAGGTTGACAAACAGGTACATACACAACAACGACCTCCATACTTAATCCTAAAAATTACATTATTAGATATTTTCAAATAAAAATATTGTACTCGTTTTAAAATGTAAAGTGTTGAAAAGAAAAGCATACATAGAAGAAAAAAGAGTCTTTTTTTTTTTCGAGTGCTAAGAAACCATTGCGACACAACCTCGCTTTCAAAGCAAAGCGACACAGTCTCTAATAATAAGGCATTGATTCTGATTATTCAACGGCATCAATTTTAACTGGTTGCCACTTTGCTTGTTGGAAGGAATGTAACATAACTGGTTTTTGGAGGATGGACCTTTCAAGATCATCGTTTGGCTCAACGTCATTTTCGTTATTCCCCTTATACTATCCATTAGCATGTACCATACGAGATTCCTTTTATTATCAGTAAATAGATATAACTAAGCATATACATATCACGTAAATATTGACTTGTTTATCTTTTCAACAGTTTATCCTTAATACTTCTTTTATGAAACATTCTATTGCTCTTGTAGACGCAACAAGTACGTCTATGCCTTTTTTTCCTCATAACAATTTTGCTTAAATAGTTCATGTATATCTATAAACAATAGTGACTTTTTGTCTCCAGGACATTCAATACCATGTAGTACAAATTCAGAGTAATAAGTTAGATGCTGCTTATGCTTAGGAATAAAGAAAGCAGGCAAGAAGGTGCAAGCATAGAGTAAAAATTTCAATAAGACACGTACTTCATACGCCAATTGAATTTTAGTCAATTTTATGCTTTGTAAAGATTGAAGTTACACCTTTTGTGGGCGTAATTCAAGAAATCGGAGTTTGACCATTGTGAATGTGTCGTCATGTCGCTGGTGACTTTGGCGGTAAGTCATTTAGAGGAACTTGAATAAAACGATAATAAACTTCATTATTACTTGAGGCCCTCTCTTTTTCTTTTTTTTTCTATCTTCTTCTACCCTTTCTTCTCTTGTTTTGTTACCCTTTTGTTGTTTAGTCAAGTAATCAAACGAAAAAAGGAACAAAATAGGCGTGGCTATAACATATTTATATAGCAAAATATATCAAGATGAGTGAATCACTGCCTATTAAATTCACAGAACAAGCACAAGTAAGTCGAATTACTACATTTTATCATCATGTGTATTTACTTTAAAATTATTCTTAGCTGCAAGCACTTGGCGTGAATGCAGCCGCCATTGGCTTCACTACTTTAACCATGGAGTCAGAACGATTCATCTGTGTAAAAGAAGTCGTCAATGGCCAAAGCCAAGTTGTCATTATTGACTTAACTACGAATGAAGTAAACCGTCGCCCTATCTCAGCTGATTCAGTCATTATGCATCCTAAAGTGAAAGTGATGGCTCTTAAAGGTACAAGGATAAGCAAAAGAAGGATATATTGAAATCACTTTATCTTACTCACACGTTAATAATATAATAGCTCAAAGACAAATCCAGGTGTTTAACCTTGAATTAAAATCCAAGCTTAAATCTTATGCATTAAACGAAGACATCGTATTTTGGAAATGGTTGGATGCAAAGACAATCGGTATCGTCACTGAGCTCAACGTCTATCGCTGGTCTATTGATGGAGACTCTATTCCCACCAAGATCTTTGACAGACATGCTAGCTTATCTGGATGCCAAATCATCAATCTTCGCGCTTCTTCCGATGAGAAATGGTATGTCCTTGTCGGTATTTCCCAAAGAGACAACCGAGTCGTTGGTTCTATGCAACTTTACTCCAAAGAGCGTGGTGTCAGTCAACCCATTGAAGGTCATGCTGCGGCCTTTGCTGAGCTTCATTTACCAGAGGCTGTTAAACCTATCAAGCTCTTTACCTTTGCCGTTCGTTCCTTTAATGGTGTTGCCAAGGTAAAACGAAAATATAATAGAAAGATAAGTGACTCACTCGTCTATAAAAGCTGCAAATCATCGAAGTTGATCATCAAGAAGGCAACCCTCCTTTCCAGAAGAAAGCAGTCGAAGTTTACTTCCCTCCAGAAGCACAAAATGATTTTCCAGTTGGCATGCAAATCAGTCATAAATATGGCATTATCTTTTTGGTTACAAAGTTAGGATACATCCATCTTTATGATCTTGAATCTGGTACTTGCATCTTTATGAACAGAATCAGCAGTGAAACTATCTTTGTTTCTGCTGAACACGGGCCTTCGTCTGGTATCATTACTGTCAACAAGAAGGGCCAGGTAAATCATTGTTAATTTATCTTTCTTACTTTCTAATCTTTTTCTTTTTTAGGTTCTTACTGTGTCTGTAGATGAAAACAGCATCGTTCCATATATTCTCAACAATTTGAACAATACTGAATTAGCCTTCAAGTTGGCTTCTCGTGGTGGATTCCCCGGCGCTGACGATTTATATGTTGCTCGTTTCAACCAACTATTTGCCACTGGAAACTTTGGTGAAGCAGCCAAAATTGCAGCCACTTCTCCTAGAGTAATGTCATATTCTTCTTTCAGTTCTTTCTTGCTAATATTTTCTTTATAAAGGGTATTCTTCGTACTACAGAAACCATTGAGAAGTTTAGACAAATTCCAGCTCAGCCCAACCAACTTTCACCTATCTTGCAGTACTTTGGCACTTTACTCGAAAAGGGCACTCTCAACAAATATGAATCACTTGAACTTGCCAAGCCAATTCTCACTCAGAACAGGAAACCTCTTTTGGAAAAGTGGTTAAAAGAAGACAAGTTGCAATGTAGTGAGGAATTAGGTGACTTTGTCAAGCAGTATGATACACTCTTGGCTTTGTCTGTTTATTTGCGTGCTGAAGTTCCTGGCAAAGTTGTGCTTTGTATGGCAGAAAACCGTCAATATGACAAGATCCTGGCCTATGCAAAAACAGTTGGATATACACCTGACTATGCTTCATTGCTCTACAACATTGCTCGTACTGAACCCGAGAAGGCAGCTGAATTTGCTACCGCCCTTGTTAATGACGAAAATGGACCTTTGATTGATCCTTCCAAGGTTGTTGATGTGTTCCAATCACAAAATATGATTCAGCAGGCAACATCCTTCTTGTTAGATTACTTGAAGCCCAACAGAGAAGAGGATGCAGCCCTTCAAACTCGTGTGCTCGAAATGAATTTGATTCATGCACCTCAAGTTGCTGATGCTATCTTAGGCACAAACATGCTTACTCACTATGATCGCGTAGTCATCGGTAACCTCTGTGAGAAAGCTGGATTATATCAACGTGTAAGTTGTAAAATGAAATGATAATGATGTTTTTACTCATACTTCTTTCTATAGGCTCTCGAACACTACACTGATATCCATGACATCAAGCGTATCATTCCCTATACTCATGTGATGAATGCTGAATGGTTAGTCAACTACTTTGGTAACCTGTCAGTCGATCAAACCTTGGACTGCCTGAAAGAGATGTTGACCAACAACCTTCGTCAAAACTTACAAATTGTTGTCCAGGTTGCTATTAAATACTCTGAACTGCTTCAACCTCACAATTTGATCGACATCTTTGAAGCTTTCAAGAGCAATGATGGCCTTTACTATTACCTTGGATCCATCGTCAACGTCAGTCAAGACCCTCTTGTTCATTACAAGTATATTGTTGCTGCCTGCCGCACAGGAAATATTCGTGAAGCCGAACGTATATGTCGTGAAAGTAACTATTATGATCCCGAAAAGGTTAAGAACTTCTTGAAGGAAGCCAAGCTGAGTGATCAGCTTCCTCTTATCATTGTTTGTGATCGCTTCAACTTTATTCACGATCTCGTTCTTTACCTTTATCACAACAACTTACAGAACTTTATTGAAACCTATGTTCAACGCGTCAATCCATCACGTACACCTGAAGTTATTGGCGGCTTGCTTGATGTTGGATGTGATGAGGATGTGATCAAGAACTTACTTCTTTCTGTGCAAGGTGATCTTCCTGTTGATAAGCTCTGTGAGGAAGTCGAACAACGAAACCGCTTGAAGTTGCTCTTGCCTTGGTTGAACTTGCGTGTCACTGCTGGCAGCACTGATCCTGAAGTTTACAACGCATTAGCAAAGATCTATATTGACACCAATAACAACCCCGAACCTTTCCTCAAGGAGAACGAGTTCTATAATCCTCGTGTGATCGGAAAGTACTGTGAAAAGAGAGACCCTTATTTGGCATATATCTGTTACGAAAAGGGACAATGTGACTATGAACTCATTCATATCACGACTGAAAACTCAATGTTCAAGCATCAAGCTCGTTATCTTGTTCACCGCCGTGACCAAGCGCTCTGGGGCTCTGTCCTTGTTGAAACCAACGAACACCGTCGCGAATTGATTGACCAAATTGTTGCTACTGCCCTTCCTGAGTGTACAGACCCTGATGATGTTTCCAGCACGGTCAAGGCCTTTATGAGTGCTGATTTGCCTAATGAGCTTATTGAACTTTTGGAAAAGATTGTCTTGGAAGGCAGCGCCTTCAATGACAATAAGACGCTCCAAAATCTGCTTATCTTCACTGCAGTCAAGGCCGATCCTTCTCGTGTTTCCGAGTATATTAGCAGACTTGACAATTTTGATGCCTCCGATGTTGCTGAAGTCTGTATTGGTGAAGGTTTATATGAAGAAGCCTTTGCTATTTACAAGAAATACAAGGTGGATGCCAACGCTGTTGATGTGTTGATTGAAAAGATTGGTGATCTTGATCGTGCCTTTGAATTTGCTGAACGTTCAGATAAGCCTGATGTTTGGAGCAAGCTTGCCAAGGCCCAATTAGATCAAATGCATGTCAAGGACGCCATCGATGCTTATATTCGTGCCAACGACACCTCCAATTATATGGAAGTCACCCGTTGTGCTGCTATGGACAACAAGTACGAAGACCTTGTTCGTTACTTACAATTGGCTCGCAAGCAATCGCGTGAACCTTTTATTGAAACCGAGTTACTGTTTGCTTTTGCCAAGACCGATCGTTTAATTGACCTCGAAGACTTTTTGGCTTCTCCCAACATTGCTCAAATCCAAGAAGTTGGTGATCGCTGTTTCCGATCAGGCATGTATGAGGCTGCCAAGATCTTGTACTCTAGCATCTCCAACCATGCTAGTTTGGCACAAACCTTGGTTCACTTGAAGGATTACCAAGGTGCTGTTGACTGTGCTCGTAAAGCAAACTCAACTAAGGTATGGAAGGAAGTGAACGCTGAATGTATCAAGCAACGAGAATTCCGTTTGGCACAAATCTGTGGTTTGCACATTGTTGTTCATGCTGAAGAATTGGATGAACTTGTCAAGACATATGAAAAGAATGGTTACTTTGAAGAAATTATCAAACTGTTAGAAGCTGGTCTCGGTTTAGAAAGAGCTCACATGGGCATGTTCACTGAGCTCGCCATTTTGTACTCTAAATATCAACCTGACATGCTGATGGAGCATCTCAAGCTTTATGTCTCTCGTATCAATACACCCAAGGTGATCCGCGCTTGTTCCGATGCTCACTTGTGGCGTGAACTTGTGTTCTTGTATGTCCATTATGATGAATTTGATAATGCAGTAACAGCCATGATGGAACATTCTGTTGATGCTTGGGAACACAGTGCATTCAAGGAAATCATTGTCAAGGTGTCTAATCTCGAACTGTACTACAAGGCACTCAAGTTTTATCTTGCTGAACACCCCTTGTTATTGAATGACTTGCTCTCCGTGCTTGTTCCTCGTATCAAGCATACCCGCGTGGTTCAAATGTTTGAGAAATCTGACAACATCCCACTCATTAAACAATATTTAATTTCGGTTCAAGATACCAACAACAGAGAAGTCAATACAGCATTGAACGAGTTATATATTGAAGAAGAGGACTTTGATGCATTACGCGATAGTATTGATCGTCATGACAACATTGATACAGTTGATCTTGCCAAGCGCTTGGAGAAACACGAACTATTAGAGTTCCGTCGCATTGCTGCACACCTTTACAAGAGAAACAGAAGATGGAGACAATCCATTGCACTTTCTAAAGAGGACAGATTATTCAAGGATGCTATGGAAACTGCTGCTGAATCCAAGGATCGTGAAGTAGCTGAAGAGCTATTACAATACTTTATTGAAGTTGGCAAGCGAGAGTGCTTTGCTGCTATGCTTTACACATGTTATGATTTGATGAGACCTGATTTTGTTATGGAGTTATCATGGAGACATGGATTAACCGATTTTGCTATGCCATACATGATTAACATTATGAAAGAACAATTTACAAAGGTAAAAGAAATACAAGACAGTGAAAAAGAAAAGAAAGACATTAAACCATATCAATTAGATTTCTACACTTGATAAAGAAGTAAATGAATTAAAAGAAAAGGTTGCTAAACAAGAGAATAGCAATGAAAACAGTAAGTAAAAGTATTTCATAAAATGATACTTATGACTAATATATCAATAGCTCCAGCACCACCTGTTGGTATGGGTGGTTTGGGTAACCCATTGATGTTGACAGCAGGTAACATGATGCCTCAGCAATCACCTATGATGACAGGCACACCTTTTACTTCTTCACCTAATCCACAGCAATTCTTTTAAAATGCGTTTGTAAAAAAAATAAAATGAATAAACAATACATCTCCTCCTAGTAATTAAAACATTGTTTTCTTTTTGCACTGTGATATATATATTCATTTTGTTGTCCTCTTTAGTGAGTAGATAAATGTGGCCACAGTTACATGAAATGGTGAATGGCATCATTTTCATATCTTTGGCAAGATGATGCAATATACGACTGTTTTTTGTTTACTCGTGCATTGGCGGTGTGCGACTTTTAAGAGAGAGTGGACATATTTTGAAGTAATCTCAGCAAGTTTCTTTTTTCTTTTTCTTTTTCTTCTTTTATAATTTCATTGTATTCTTATGATATCCTGTACAAATCATGGTTGTTTAAAAAAGATATTTGACTATCGATCATTACGATTCTATTCTTCTTTAAAAGATAACAAAAAGAACATAACCGAAAACACCAACCATAAAAAACCAGCAAGAAAGCCAGTACCAGATGTCATACCATTTATGCCTGTCGTTAATATCCCAATGACAGAGTTAGCATTCAACGCATTCTATTCACTACATCGCCCACTACTTGGATTATCTATTCCAAGACCATTCATGACTGGTAACATGGTTGGTCAGATCACAAAAGAAGAAGACAATCCTGAAGAAGCATTAATGAATTACATGGCTACTCTAAGACCATTTCATCCACCTCCTTCACCTCAGCATGATGCAAGCATAAAGAATAAGACAACGACGACATTAACGGTGGAAATCGATCCCTCTTATTTCTTTAATCACAACATTTATCATGAAGAAATGACGGATTATTTAACGGCTATACAAAAGGAATTGGATATACTTCATCACCGAGAGTCAACTACAAGAAGGATACCTAAACGAAAGAGACTAAGGAAACGCTCTACCTTTCGTGAATTTTTTGAAAAGAACTAAATAAAAATAAAATCATACGATTTAATAATATAGTTTATCAATAATCAATCTGCGAATTATACATATTTATTGTTGACATTATAAGAAAGTAAGGAGAAACAGTGAACTAAGGGTATGTATATTACAAATTCTCAAAGGCTCATCATTTTCGATGCTTGATGCTAATTGATTCCTTGAGGGGTGACATTATTGAATATAATTTGGTTGTTGTACAGGTCATAAACCTGTCATTATAGTTTAAAATTGGATCTCAAAGAAGATAACAAGTAAAAAAAGTGCTATTAGGGCAATATACTGACTTTATTAAAAGCTTTCAATGACAATCATTTATAATGTGTAGAATGATATTCCCTAGGTTAGTCAATGAGCTACCATTATTATTAAATATCAAGACCATTAGCTTACTCTTGTAGCTTGCAAAATGATTTTGAAAGTAGAATGTAGAATTAAAAATAAAAAAGACAGCTTTTTATTACAAGATAAAGTGAGGATGGACAAAGTCGAGGCTAATCGGCTCTTTTCAAGAGGAATCGTCCGTTTTACAGAGTGCAATGGCACTATAGTTTTGCTGAGTTGGGTCTCTTGCAATATATTGTTTCATGATCTTGACCGAGCTCTATAGATGTACAAGTTAGAGTATACATACACACCATACAACTTCGTGCCATTCTTACCTCAACCAAGTCATTTGATTTACCATGATTGATAGGAAACAGTTTTCTACCATCTAACTCATACAAGTGATTATCTACTTCAATAAAGCAGATGAAGTGTAAATCTACATCTGTTTCTCTATCAGGTGCCTATTTTGTACAAGGTATTAAAAACAAGTATTAAATAGGTCATATAAGACCATTACCTCGGTCTGTCCTACAGCAGCAGCATCACTGTGGACTTGAGCTAATGCCTTGGAATTCTCCAGTAGCTCAGCACGCTCCTCAATAGACATATTCTTTGCTTCTTGGATGATATCATGGAATAAACCAGGTCCTACCATACACACAGATGATATTATAATTCGTTTACCGATAGCTATTGATATGACCCTTACCAACAAGTTCATCATCATTACTGGCAATTGAATGCAAGATAGCAATCATACCGCATGCATTTTGAATAGTTTGTTTAAAAAAGACAACATCGGGACTAATCGCTTGTTCACATTTTATCAAATGAGCCTCTTCTTCTTCCTTGAACTTTTCATAAGCTTCGGTTATAGGGAATAGGAAGATCATTGCTTCAACAGGTCGTGGTATCATCGCTAATAGTTCAGGATCGAATCCTGCAAGGAGATAAATAAGATGAATAGGTGCTTAGTCGTATAACTATTACCATAAACATCTACATAGTTCCATCTTGGGTCGACTCCATTCTTATGAATGATCTAAAGTAAAAATTAGACGTTAGGATCATAACGCGTGCATGCATATATATATATATATATATATATATATATATTCAATTGTTAACCTTATTCCATATCTACGAGAAATATATATAAGTTGGCTATCTTATGTCAAATTAAAAGCTTACTTCAGGATTAGCTTCAAGTGGAACCCATTTTTGTTCAATTCTTTGTTCTTGGTTTTCTTCTTCCATTTGTCCGAAATAAAAGAGAAAAGAGAAAAGAAAGAAAAGAAGAAGAAAAAAGATGGAATTATGTAGAAACACGCTTTAGACTGTTTCCCGAAAATTGGAGACGCAACCCCGCCAGACTGAAGTAATACCATTGACAGATTTAGAAGTCGCATGAAAAACACTAGCTGGTCTTTTTTAAACTTTGAGAAACTTTTTTTTAAAAACAAAGATGAACTATTCCCAAGGCTATTTTACTTGTTTCTCAACGTAAGGATGTGTCTATTACTGTGCATATACATTAGTCACACTGGTCGCCTTTGTTATTATCGAATAAAAAACACAAGTCTATATCGAGATCCGTGACACCGAACACGGCACTGCGCAGTTACCTACCAAGTTAAATTGTAAATTTTGCTACTTTAATAAAGTCTATCAAAAAGAATACCAAAGACAATGTCCCATATTCAAGATAATCATTGCCTTTAATATAAGTCACAACAGATGCAAAGATCGCTATCAACATTCCCTGAAATTCTAATATCAATTCACAAGCTTTTTGCTTCCATCTTTCCAAAGAAATTATTAATGCTCAATACAAACGCCCTACAGTGTCAGATCATCGAGTTACAGTTCCGGTTCGTTTATCAGAACGACCTTTAGGTGAAAATTTCCAGATTGGAAAGAGAGCTTGCAGCTAGAGATCAGCTTATTACCACATTCCACAGTAAAGAAAGCAATTAACAACACCCGCACTCGACAAGAACAACACTATTCCTTCGACCACCGATAGTATGTAGACTGATCCCAAACCCACCCTTCCACTCCGTTCGAAGATAGAAATGCGCACATATATATAAACGTAGGCTTACCTCTTCTTCCTGCCTTCATCAAATCAGGAATTCAAATATATTAACCTGTCTGCAAGTGCTCGCGTACCCATAAGTGAAATATACGGCTGCCTTCGACGCATGTGCATAGAGAAAAAGCACATATTGGACAATTACTACACAACTCGAAACGTAATTGCAATGTTATTTTGCGTGATCCTTGTTGAAAGCTTTATTCAATTTCAATGTTGTGGTATCATATCACTCTCCAGCTTTGACTCTTGGAACTAAAGCACCTCTGCGGCCCTACCTTTGAATATTTGAATGCAGAGTCCAGAAAACAAAAAGCCAGGGAAATCCCCAACAGCTGCATAGTCCGCCTCATCAAACTTATCCAAATCCCCCTACAGTGACTATAGCTCGGTCTGTCGAAAAGTGTAGTCTCTTAATCCGCATGGAATGATACAGAAATAAGAAAAAAGCCGTCAACTGCTAGCTATTTGTTACAGGTTGCTTCACTTACACACTAAAAGGGCTGTTTCGTTTCTAACAAATATTAAGAAATATGAGAGTACACAGAACTAAAGAAATGCCGAACTAAAGCCAACAGTCAAATTGATAAGAAAGCGCACAGGAGAGCTTGAAAAGAATACAAAATAATTGTACTGAAAGACTTTTTTTTTGTTCTTGAATTCATACTTGGCGGATCAACTATTAACCACATATGAGACAATAACTGGTAATTATTCGACTTCAGCTTGTTACTTTAAAACAACCATGTGGAGCATTATTTATGCTAATTACCAGGAACTGGGTTTTAAGGTACACATACCCAATGACTCTGACCCATCGTCTTATCAAAGGCACTCGATTCGTCCTAACTCTCTCCCATTGCCCCAATTATCATTATTGACTATTGAAGGATAAAGTTTGGTGCAGCATATCTATTTCAAAGCAAAGTCTATATTTATTTGTATTGTGAAGAAACCAATTTGGCAATTGTCTGAAGCTGAATGTTACTTGTGCCTTCATAGATTGCACCAATCTTGGCATCTCTATAGAACTTTTCAACACCCAATTCGCGTGTGAAGCCAACACCACCACACCATTCGATGGCTTTACTAGCAGCATGTTCAGCCACTTGAGAAGAATACAATTTGGCCATAGCAGCTTCCTTAATAAAACTCTTTCCTTCTTCCTTTAAGCGAGCAGCGTTATAAGTTAAAAGTCTAGCAGCTTCAATTTCAATGGCAACTACAGAACAACAACAACAATCAATAACCTATGCTGGGGTACTTTACTTTGATCATGAGCTTACTTTGTGCATATTGATGTTGCATAGCTTGGAAATCACCAATGAATTGACCGAATTGCTTTCTTTGGAAGAGATAAGGTAAGGCAATATCATAAGCGCCTTGAGCCAAACCAATCATTTGAGCAGCAATACCAATACGTCCTTCATTCAAAATTTCAATAGCATACTTGTAACCCTTTCCGACCTCACCAAGAATATTTTCCTTGGGAACAACCACGTCGTCAAAGTTCAACACACAGGTGGAAGAAGCACGAATACCTAATTTAGTTTCCTTCTTTGCAATTTGAACGCCCATATCCTTTGTGACAATGAAACAGGTAATACCCTTATAACCCTTGGAAGGGTCACTAGTAGAAATGTTAGATCAAAGATATTTTTTCTAATAATCTCCCATCTTACACGTTGGCGAACACAAGGAAAAAATCGGCTTCACCAGAGTTGGTAATCCACATCTTTGAACCGTTAAGGACATAGTGATCGTCTTTTTCAATTGCACGTGTTTGAAGAGCAAATGCATCAGAACCTGAGCCAGCTTCAGATAAACAGAAACAACCGACTGTGTCTGTAGCTAACTTGGGAAGGAATCTCTTTTTGACGTCCTCATTACCATATTTACGTACAAGAGTGCCAACAAGTGTGTTCTACAAGTTGTTAATATGTTTCTAACCAAGTCAAGATCAGTAACTCACTTGAACATCACAGAGAACGCTGATAGAAGGATCGACCTTGGCAAGTTCTAATAAAGTCTCTGGATGAATTTCATCTTTTTTACTTTAATCCTTTTGACACTTACCTTCAATAGTGATAATAGCAGACATGAAAGAGCAGTTGGCACCGTCATATTCTGCATCAGTTTCAATACCCATAAGCTATCATTTTCTATTAGCATAACATATGCAACAGTATATCAATATTACCCCTTGTTCAAAGAGACCCTTTAATACAGTAGGATCGACCTTTTCAGTTTCATCCATCTCCAACACCTTGGGCTTTACTACTTCTTGAGCGAATCTAGCAACTGAAATTGTATTATTATAATGTTGAGTTGTAGACTTTAAATATTTTTCGTACCCGTATCTTTGAGCATAAGTTCTTCTTCAGTGAAAGCTTGAAGAGAAGTAGGAAGGCCGGCAGCGTTACGTGCTATAACGGATTGTGTGAAGGTTCTTTTAGGAATAGAGCGTGTGATTGATTGGATGGAACGAGTAGCTGCAGTTCTGAACATGGTGAATAAAGTAAAGAAAGAAAAAAGGGGGAGAAAGAAAAGAGAGAAAGGACAGGGTCTGTAAATAAAGCATTTCCACGCAGCATGTGAATTTTGGAAATGTTTATAGTTTTTAATACGCTTTAAATTCAGACATTGTGTAACAATTTTATTAAAAAGGGAAATACTTTACTTTCTTCTGTGCTGGAAGATCGGCTCTCTTTCATTCCAAATAGAAAGAGAACTGGACGGTATGTTCTTGTAAATCTTGATACCTTGTTGCCATAGTATCTTGTAGATGTTGCAAACCAGGATACTGCAGCCTTTAAAGTCGGACATACTTGTAAGAGGATCGTTTCTCCTTGCAAACTTTTGATGCTTTATATACATCAACTGTAACTGCCAATTGTTTCTCTCTTTTTCTTCAAGTGATCGACAGAAAGCACTATTAACGACGCATCTGCTTTCCTTGAGCTTTACCAAGTCTTTTCTAAACATCCCCGAACCAAAGACTATAAGAGACACTAGTACTCTTTTGTTGTGTCGTGTCTACTTTCTCTTCTTCTAATGAAACCCCATCTTATTTATAGTATTTCCAAACAAAACTTTGTTGTTATCGTTATGAGTCAAGTCCGCCATACTAATTGAAAAGAAAAGTAATGGCAATTCCTTTAACATCTAAACTTTCCATGGACTATAGGCATACATGATTAATTGGCTTTACAGGCAGATATCATTTTAGTCTTTAATGTGCCTTTATAGAAGCCCTTGATACATTGATCAAATTGAATCCTGCTTGTAAAATCGTGATACCTTGAGCCCAAACCTTTTGTGAACATTTCAGTTTTGGACAATAAATGGATTTTGCACAGAGGAGAACGGGATGATTTGTGGTTCATCTCTTTATAGTTGGCGCGCCTTACGCTAGGACCCACGCTGACCTTTTGTCTCTTGGCCACCTTTTTTCTTGCTTAATACTGGCGCTTGTGCCCGGATGTACCTACTTTAGAAAGAGATCAATATCGTATCACTAATAGTTTAACTTTATCTTTATATATTTACTATCACTTGCAGTTTCTGGTATGTCATGTTTGCATTCATAATAGTTCTTTTTGCAGCGACCCACCTTTCCACAGTCTGTACATACCATTTCTTTTCAATGGATTGGATAAAACTATTTGTAGTATATCATGTACCATCGCTTATTGAGTCATGTGTATCTCGTCTTTTATAAAGAGGAAGTAGTGATAGATGTTTTATTCTTAGAAAAACAATAAAAAAAATTCTTGTATTCTATACTCTTTACATCTCTCTATGCGTGCGTCTTATATGAGGAAGCATTGCCAGCGTAGGCAGGAGTTAGAAAAACTTTCTATACCAAGGCTGGGTATCTGTCACATCCTTTGTCGTCTGTTTGGCAAAATTGCTAGTTTGCAATTTATAGAGAAGAAAGCTACAGAATAAATTTGAGTTGGGCAATGCTGCAGGCGCTTCCTGTAATGTCGTCAACGAAACTTGTCAATGTATGGCGTCACACTAAACTTGCTCAGGGATCAAAGCATTCTCATGTTATTTGATATAGAATACGAATTTGTAAAGTTTTCATTTGGCTCTCCTCTTGTCAGTTCCTTTATGTAATAAGTCAATTAGAATTTAAAATGGAGTTTTTTTAATTAAAAAATAGTGAGCATACTTTTATACTTGAAGATCATTCAAGTAAACAAGCTTACAGGGACGCGTGCCCCCTTTAAAAAGAATTTTTCCTTTAAAAGAAAGACTTGTTTATCACTGGGAGCAGTAATACATCAAAATAAACATTCATTGCATACTTTGTAATTTTGATTTATTATCTCGTCTAGGATCAATCCTTTACCTTTACTTGTCTAAAATACAAGTACTTGTGTAGAATATAAAAAATGATCTGCGCCATTTACGTACTACGCCAAGCTCAACAGCCCAATTTTTATATTTAAACGCAGCATATTAAGCCCTTTTTCCAGCCTTCTTTTTTTTTTTCTTTCTTAATCTTTCATCTTAACATGGCAACTGAATCAGTTATTCTTGTCACCGGAGGCACTGGTCTTGTTGGAGAAGCTATTAAATGGGTCATTGAAAACGAAAAGAGTGAACGTTTTGGTAAGAGAGAAGGAGAAACTTGGATCTTTTTATCTTCCAAAGACGGTGACTTGAGGTACAGTTTTATCTATTTTAATTGACAGCTTGTTAACCACAAGCATATATAAATTATAGAAAAGAACAAGATGTGAAGGCTATTTTCGATAAATATAAGCCTACTCATGTCATTCACTTGGCTGCCATGGTCGGTGGTTTATTTAAAAATATGAAATATAAGCTCGACTTCCTGCGTGATAACATGCTTATTAATGAACATGTCTTATGGCAATCCAAGGAACATAATGTCAAGAAGGTTGTCTCTTGTCTTTCTACCTGTATCTTTCCTGATAAGACAACCTATCCTATTGATGAAACCATGGTTCATAACGGTCCTCCTCACGACTCCAACTTTGGCTATGCTCATGGAAAGCGTATGATTGATGTTTATAACCAGTAAGTAACCTTTATAAGTTTTATCATCATTGTATCTTAACTTTTACAAGTGCTTACTATGAACAATACGGATGTCATTTCACTTCTGTTATTCCTACCAACATCTTTGGTCCACACGACAACTATGAGCTTGAAGGATCTCATGTCTTGCCTGGCTTGACACACAAGTGCTATCTTGCCAAGAGTAAACAATAAGGAAAAGAGATGATTGATGATCTAATTTGTTATTTTAGAGAACGACACGCCTTTTGTTGTTTGGGGAAGTGGTAAGCCTCTTCGTCAATTTATTTACTCTCGTGATTTAGCCAAACTTTTCGTTTGGGCATTAAGAGAGTATGAAGAAATTGCCCCAATCATCTTGTCAGGTAATAACAAAAAAGAAGAGATCAAGTACAAAGTCTTAATAACTTTTTCTAGTTGGAGAAGAAGATGAGGTCTCTATCAAAGATGTTGCTGATGCTATTGTGAAGGCACTTGATTTTAAGGGAGAATACAAGGTAAGAAAGATGAAACTTATATGATATATAACTAAATCATCGCGCGATAGTTTGATACAACCAAGGCAGATGGACAATACAAGAAGACGGCTAGTAATGCCAAATTAATGAAATACCTTCCTGATTTCCAATTTACCCCCTTTGAAACTGGTAAGCAACAGTGAATAGATCATAGGCATAAACTAACAGCTAAAATAGCCATCAAGGAATCTGTTGACTGGTTTGTGGAAAATTATGACCGCTGCCGTAAATAAAATTTAAAGTTTTGTATTTTACCGCTTCACAAAAAGTCATCGATAAAGGATCCACTTGAGATTTTACTGGGATAGGAAATAGATTACTTCTGTAACATGATTAAGCCTTACTCTTTTATCAATCATATGCCTCAAGTGTAACTCTACTTTCTCCCCCGTTTTTCTGTAACGTCTTTTACCCCGTGACAATATGTATAAATACAGCCGTATTTTTTCTGTTGTCGTCGGATCTCCTTGTTTCTTTCTCCATGATTCCTTTAACTGCAGAGAATGTAGCTCATTATTTACCCCTTTCTGGTCAATCGCCTCATATCAAGGGACGTATCATTCATGTTACACATCAAATTCCATACAACATCCTTCGTGCTCAACACACTGACCACCAATTGCCTCTCTCTCCTCCTCGATCCCCTTCTTCCAAGTACCCTCCGCCCATGCCTGCCTTGGACGAGCCGTCGTCTTCCGATGCTGTAGCCGCTGCACCTATTTCTAAGCTGGCACGCCACCATCGACGTGGCACTACCTTACGCATGAGGTTTCATGCTGCCGACTGGACTGTTGTAGAACGAAGAGGTCATCAAGCCCTGTATGCTGGACTTCAAAGCTTACGTAAAGATTATGAAACCATACATATCGGCTGGACAGGCCCTATCAAGGAGCAAGGTACATGTAAACTGATCACTCCTAATAAGCTCGCTCTAGAGGATAAGGTCAAACTACAGGCTCTTCTTTGGGAAACAGCTCATGTTATACCTGTATTTCTTGATGAAAAATCGCATGGTCATTACGAAGGTTATTGTAAACAAGGTAGATCAATTCTTTTTGTTTTTATTTATTTACTCATAATATTGCAGTTCTTTGGCCTGTATTCCATTATTTGGAAAGATCTTCCTCATGCAGTAGCAGGGTCGAAAAAAGCTATTGGGATGACTATGTAGCTGTTAATCGTCAATTTGCAAAGACAGTCATCGATCGATATCAATCAAATGATATTAGTAAGTTCCTTTTTATTGTTATTGTATCTACTTAACCATTGTGTCACTTAGTCTTTATTAATGACTACCATTTGCTTTTGGTGCCTGAAATGATCCGTGAAGCACTGCCTGATGCAGCCATTGGTATTTTTATCCACGTCACTTTCCCAAGCTCTGAAGTATTTCGATGCCTTCAAAGTAAAATATGCCTAAAAAATAGATATAATCATAATTACTGACGAATCACCTTAGCTCGTAATGAGATATTACAAGGCATATTGGGAGCTAATCTAGCTGGTTTTCAGGTAAAATGGCCAATACGATATTTTTTTCTTTGCCACTCATATTGTTAAAGACCTATTCATACGCGAGACATTTCATCTCTTCTTGTACACGTGTCCTGGGCTGTGAAACCACTCAGATCGGTGTCAGTCATCATGGAACCTTGATCTCAGTTGGCACATTCCCTATCGGTGTCGATTGTGCCCGAGTAAGCCAATTTAGTAAACAGCCTGGTGTCCGACCCAAGATGAACGCTATTCGAGACATGCACAGCGGCAAAAAGATCATTGCTGGTCGAGACAAATTAGACAGTACCAAGGGCATCCTTCAAAAGCTTCACGCATTCGAGGGATTTTTGAGGGATTATCCCGAATGGCGTAACAAGATCGTCTTGATCCAGGTCGCTACACCCACTCATGGAGATCATTCCAAGCTGGAGGCCAAGATCTCAGAAACAGTGAGCCATATCAATGGCAAGTACGGTTCTTTGGAATATACGCCCATTCACTACTATCATCAAGACATTGACCGTGATGAGTACTATGCCTTGTTGTCTGTAGCTGATTTGCTGCTGATTACCTGCAGTCGAGATGGCATGAACACAACTAGTTATGAGTACGTTCTCTGTCAGCACCACAAGAATGAGCCTGGCCAACTCATCTTGTCTGAATTTACTGGAACAGCCGGATCCATGAGCGCCGCTATTTTGGTCAACCCGTGGGACTACGCAGAGGTCGCGAAGAGCATCAATGACGCACTGACGATGTCCTTGGATGAGAAAGCCACACGTCATGAGGTAAATGTGTAATAGATGGAAAAAAGGCTTCTTTTGTCCAACATTAGGTTAGCAACTTTATAGGCACGTTACTAGCCGAACCGCTGATTTCTGGGCTCATTCGTTCATCAAGCAGCTTGTCACAATCAGCCAGCAACACGACTTGCAGTCCCGTGCGACGCCCACCTTAAACAGTCCAAAGTTACTAACAGACTATAAAGCAGCTAAAAAGAGAATTATGTTTTTTGATTATGATGTAAGTAGCTTCATATTCTGGTTTTTCTAAAAGCTAAATATTCACACATAGGGAACTCTGACTCCCATCGTGTCGGTTCCTTCGGCCGCCACACCTTCTCCTGAAATGCTCAAGGCTCTTCAGGGTTTGTGTAACGATCCCAAAAATATTGTCTGGGTCATCTCTGGAAGAGACCAAGCTACGTTGGATGAATGGTTAGGCAACAATATCAAAAACATCGGCCTTAGTGCAGAGCATGGATGCTATGTCAAGCCTGTAGGCTCAAGTAAATGGCAGAGTGTAGTGGATGGTTTGGACATGAGCTGGAAATCGGATGTGATTGAGATTTTTGACTACTACACCGAGCGAACCCAGGGTAGCTTTGTAGAACACAAAAAGTCATCGGTCACATGGCATTATAGACAGGCTGATGCAGAATATGGGTAAGTAAATAAGAAAAATAATAGAGTAGCATGATATTCAATCTATCTAGTGCCTTCCAAGCTAAAGAATGTCAAAACCACTTGGAGAATGCTATTGTATCAAAGTATCCAGTAGAGATCTTGGTTGGTAAGAAGAACCTTGAAGTACGCCCCATGTCCATTAATAAAGGAGAAATTGTCAAGAGAATTCTATCAAAGAATCCAGACACCAACTTGGTCATTTGTGCCGGTGATGACAAAACAGACGAGGACATGTTCCGTGCCTTGAGTTCTGCTCATCAAAGCCCATCCAGTGTCTGGCCAGAACGTGATTCTCATCTCTATTCGATTACTGTTGGGCCTTCCGAGAAGAAAACACATGCCAACTGGCACGTCAATACACCTCAAGAAATCATCCAGATGCTTCAGACTTTGACTTGCTCATAATTGAGCCAATCAGATAGTTTTTTTTTTCTTTTTCTTTTTCTTTTTCTTTGTAGCAAACAATAATGCTTGTTAGAACAATATGCTTGTATTTTATCTTGCTGTTTAGTGGTATTTCAATAAAAACAATACATTCAAGGTTGCTCTTTCCTTATTTCTTCTTTTTTCTTATCTGTTCTTTATTGTTATTTCTATTTGAAGTTAGGGCAGAAGATATTGCTACTACCCTTTACCCTCATATTTACACTAATCTAAACAATTGGCCATGTGTGAAACTGTTGAATGCTACAGGAACAATCGGATGTCATTCACTAAAAAAGAAGAGTGGAGTACTCTATCAAGCAAATACAACTCAAGATCTGGATAACTTTATCCATAACAACAGCTTGACTAATGATGCTGCAGTTATTCTTACGCTTGATTTGCTTACTACAAGTAACTTAGAACAGCTAATTCAGACCAAGAAAGTAGCAGGCATTATTGTCTTGGTCAAGAACGAGTTGAATAATACCAATATTCCTTCACCTGATTCAACTTGTCCTAACTGCCAATTTGGATTATATGCAAACGATTCTGATCCATACCAATGGAATTCACAAGCACTTAATCTAATAGAACAAAGCTTTGATATACCCATATTTGCAATCAAGCCGATCGACGACATATCCAACAATGTTTATAACCAAATCAATCAAGTATGTGCTCAGCTACAAAACACAGTGTGTCGCGCGCGTCATGTTAATCTCTTTCCGTCATTTTGTGTGTGTAGGCTGTAGCATACAATGCAGAGAAACAGTATAGACAATATCCACTAAAGGCTGTTGATTTTGATTTATTCATGTGGGCAGCAGTCAATGCAAAAACATGTCTACGAAGAGGTAATAACTACCCTTGACTGTTTTTTTTAATAGAATGAACCAAATACTTTTAGGTTGGTGCCAGCCAGTTGGTGGGATGAGCGTTTATTCTACACCATCAATCAATCTTGATGCAGACGACAATAAGCCAATCATTGTCGTCTCTTCAAAGCTGGATAGTCGCGCCTTGTTTCATGATCTGACCATAGGAGCCTCCAAAGATATTTCAGGGCTAGTTGCCGTACTAGCTGTTGCTGAAGCTTTATCGCGTGTAAGGGTAGACATAAGCAAATCACGATGAATATTCACACTTTATGCTATAGGCTCCTGTAGTATTAGACACTTTACCAAAGCATATTCTGTATACCTTATTCACAGCAGAGGATTGGGCATTTGCTGGATCTCAGCGATTCGTAAAGGATATCACGTCTCCTTTCGAGTGCACCAATGCTACAAGGGCTATACCCTGCCCTTATCTGAATGCGACATGTACTTTCCCTTGCGTTCGAAATGCAGATTTTAAACGTATTCGTTTTGACAAGATAGAAAGTGTTTTTGAGTTCCAGTCTGTTTCCGGCATAAACTCTGATTATATGGGTTATTATATTCATGTTGATGATCAAGAGCTAAATCAACCTCTTGTCGCATCTCTTGAGAAATATCCCGGTCTGAAATCTGCTAGCTCAGATGGCATACAAAGAAAGCTCCCTCCAAGTAGTGCCATGAGCTTTCTTCAACAGAGCCGCAAGATAAAGGCAGCCGTCATTACCGATTACCAAAGCAAACTTGGAAAGTAAGTGAAAATTAAAAGATCACTGTCTAAAAACTAATTGACACCATTTTTGTAGTTACTATAACAGTGATTTGGATTATCAAGTGGATTTGGATAAAATGACAAGCTCAATATGCAGACTTGTCAATTCCACTGCTAATGCTATTTATAATGAAGCCTCAAACGGAAATAGCAACTCCTCCTTGATCTCGGCTAACTGCACTCTTGTTCATTCTCTGCTTGATTGTCTTGTATCGAACTTTTCATGTCCACTGATGCAAAATTACTTTAACGGTAAGTGGTATACATACATCCTGTTTAAACAAAAGATTTATGTAAAGTACTATTAGTATCTGGTATCAGTACAATTAGCCACTATGCGTCCGTTTTATCCTTCCAAAACCCACAGCCTCAACTCATACCAAGGTTTGTGTTGAGCTTCTTGAGCGCCTTGAACGGTAAAGCAACGAATCGTACATGTACAACCATTCAAGATTGCGCAGTGGGGGAATACTGCATCATGCAAAAATGCATCAAATCACTTACAAATTACCATGAAGCGTACGGAACAGGGTTACAGTATGATGAAAGAAAGAATATCGTAAAAATAGTTGATCCAAGCAAAGGAACATGGGTTGAAAGCACGTAAGTTTTGAAAATACTTGATGATCAATCAATATACTTAGTCTTGGTTAGATGGGACGAGCCTCAGCTAAGGATATTCAACATAACGTCAAAGATACACCAAGCTGTTGAACTTGTGATAGGGCTTTTATGGGCTATTGTAAGTTTTGCAACTGTTTGGTTCGTGAAAGGATACTTGCGTAAATCCCTAAAGGTTGAATAATAATAATAATAATAAAAGCCACGTTAAATACATTACACGTAAAACATGTACACAGTTTATTATACATAGCAGAGTTTTATCTATTTATTTATACACTTCATTTCTTGTCTTGAGTGGTTTCTGTGGCGGTCTTAGCTGTATCTTTACTGTCCTCCTTTTTTACTTCTTTGACAGTTTCATCAGTAGTTTTAGTTGCGCCTTTACCATCTTCCTTCTTCACTTCCTTAACAGCTTCAGTGGCAGCCTTAGCTGCATCTTTGCCATCCTCTTTCTTCACTTCCTTAACAGCTTCAGCAGCCTCATGAGCAGCCTGAACGCCATCCTCTTTCTTTACTTCTTTCACTGCATCTGCAGCAGCACTGGCAGCATTAACACCATCCTCCTTCTTCACTTCTTTGACGCCTTCTTCAGCTTGCTTGACAGCATCTAAGGCTTCTTTTTGCTTCTTGTTACTCTTCTTGCTTTTTTTTGTTTTCTCATTTCCGCTTTCCTTGTCGTCCTTCTCTTGTTTTGTCTTTGTTCTTCTCGAGGGCTTTTTCTTTTGAGAAGTAGCGGCTCTTACACTAATAGTACGGCCTTTCAATTCAACCGTACCAAATTCCTTCAGCAATCTTTCCTGTTCCTCAGTAGACTCCAATTCGACAAAACCGTAACCCTTGGAACGTCCTCTTCTACCGGGACGTGTCCTAATTTTGTTATTAAAAATTCTGGATAAAGTTTTAAATCCTCTACAAACTTACGCTTTGTGTCTAGCTATCATAGCAGAGGTAACCTTGTACTCCTTAAATAAGGCATAAAGTTGAGGAACACCCATTCTGAAAGGAAGGTTGGCAACAAAGACAGATGTATTAGGTCCGCTTTCCTCCTCATATGCTTCCTTTTCGTTCTTGTCATTTTGCTCCTTGGAGGTATTAACAGTGGTAATTTCTTTGGCTTTAGCTGGGGCAGTCTGTTCCTCCTCTTCACTAGATTCAGAAGCTTCAGCCTAAATAAAAGGGTTATTACAATACAAAGCCTAATACAATCACTTACGTTCTTGCGTCCGGTTCTCTTGGATGCACGTTTGTTTTTTTTAGGCTTCTTCTTTGCTGCTTGAGGGTTAGATATCTGAACTCTAATTTCACGACCATCAAGTTCTTTCTTGGTCAGTTCCTTGACAGCCTTATCAGCTTCTTCTTGTGTATCATAACCAGCAAAACCATAACCCTTTGATCTTTTACCGCGTCTTACAATAATAACCTCCTTACTAATACACGTCAATAGAGTTCTATGTCTCATGATTTAACTTACACTTTGCCAGCTTCGCTGAGAAAACCTTCGAGTGCTTCTTCATTTGTTTGAAAGTTCAAGTTGGTAACGAAGACCTAAAGAGACGTTTAATATATGTATATGTCATATAGAACTCTAAGTACCCTGTGCAAAGTTTGTTCGGGAGTAGTGGCTTCAGACATAGTATTCTACTAGGACGACTTAATATATAGGCTTGTATTAGTTTTTATTGGATATAAACACGCACCAAATGCTTGATAAATAAGAAGAAGAAAAAAGAATAACCTTGAAACAAGGGAAACTTATGGAAAAGAAAAGAAAAACTAATTTATGCTGAATGTTCATTGGGCAATCGGACTAAGATTTGGCAACGGATTAATGTTAGGCGCACGCCCTAAAAATGATTAGTAGTTACGTCACTTTTTTGTTTTTTCCACTTACTAAATTAGTAGGCCTAATGAAAAGGCTGAATGACCTGCTTTAATGGTCCTGCACAGCTCGTGTACCTCTTTGAAGCGACTCTGGTCTTGACTGAATGTTAAAATTAGAAGAAATATAATTTGTCAATATTGAACAGATATTTTTTGCTGTTTTCACGTCTCGATTCCAGATCTATTCGAGTATTATTAATTTGGAGTTCTTGAACAGATAAAAATAATTTTACTCCGACTGCATCACTAACTGAACAGTAGTAACATACTTTCAATGGGTAGATGCTTATTCTTCTTTCTATATTTACTGTTTGTTAATTTTTTATCACTCTAAGCGTTCTTGTCAAGTACCTGGATTTCTGCGCTCAACGCATTCGCTGCTCTTGCATATTACTTTTTTGTCGGATCCTAAACAGCTTAATCTACTTTTTTTTTTCATTAGGCAGCATCCTCTTTCTCTTTGTAAACAGTTTGTGTTAGTCATTCTTAAAACATTAGATAAATGTAATAAAGTCATACTTGTGATTACAGATCAAAGTGTTTTCTGGCTCATAAACCTTCTGAAGCTCACCATGGCAGCTACTACACACTACGCTCGTTCTGTATTCATCTACTTTAATGGCTAAACGTTTCTTTGAAAGTGCTATTTGGATCCTCTTGAATATCAATGCGTTAGCTGCCCAAATTCAGTAATAACAACATAGCATTAATATTTACCTTCACCGGGATTGAGGCTCTTGACTCCATCGTCACAGAAATAGATGCATACCCATATGCAACTATACATCGTCTATCTTCTTACTATTCAAAACGCTAGATAATTTACATTTTCTCACAAAATCTTCTTGATGTAGTTCATCCCGGGGCATTTTTGATTTATAAAGAAGGAAGAAAGAATATATTCTTTAAAGTTTTATATGTAGCAAACAATGAAATAGATTCATTATAGTGATTGCTGCAATGTTGTTACTGTGGCACAACGATGTTATTCTGAAATGCATGACCTTTTGATGGAATTTGATTTAATTAATAACAGCTTACTTGTAATTTGTGTAAATAATGATAAATTAATATAAAGCATCATACTTTCCCAATTTCGTGTATAGTTTTAGTTTAAGAAGAAGAAAAAACTCAAGTTCTTATAAAAAAGGGGTATTCAGGTTAGTGTAATCGCTTGTCCTGTTTTGGAAACATGTTTCACTGAACTATTAGATTAGTGAACTACGTGAGAAGAATATCAATCTTCAAGAGAAATACAGACTCCATTGTACACTAAAGTTCATACCATAACCATTCTTTCTTTAGACACGGCGATTGGATAAAAACAACAGCAGCAAGCTCAACAGGTAGTCAATAGGAATATTCTATAGAAGGATTTTAATAATTAAAGTTTTTTAATACAATCAATAAAGATGTTTGGGATAATAGAAATACGTAGGGTAGAAATAAGAAAAAGACAGAAGTACTGTTAGAACTGTGTATATCCTTTTGATAGAAAAGGTATAACAAGAATATGGCACCCTTATTGATATGGAAAATCCTCCTCTATAAATATTTTTTTTTTCAACGAATAAACCTAGTTGTGGTATTTACACACTAGATACATCGTATACATAACATATATCAGTTTAGAAATTCACCTATATAAATGGTCTAGAAATTTCACTGAGGTATAACTGCAAGGGTAACACTTTGACAGTAAATGAAAACCCCCCACAAAGTGTAGAAAAGTAAGACCCCCACGCATCAATAACCATATATAAGTCAATAGGACATTCACTTAATAAATACACTATTCTTTTGCCCCGTTGACTTTTACAACTTAATAGTTTATCTTCAACGAATATTACACGGATACTATGCTGTACGTAAGCTGTATTATGTGCTCTAGTTGAGCAAGTATATCAGAATCAGCTTGTTTTTCGGTTTCAAATGGCTGCTCTTTTGCCAAGATTTCTTTCTATAGCAAAGCTATTGCATGCATCGCTATTCAACCATCTTTTATGCATTATGTTTAGGGGAATGATATCATAACCTGCAATTATATGTTGGCAAAGCAAGCGAAAGTTCCTTTTCGTTGAACAGAGGCAAGAGCTATTAACTACAGTACCTGCAGAAGTTGAAATGGCTATTTCTAATTTGATTTTATCCATTGCATACTTAGAGGCTTTCCTTACAAGGTATTGAAGTCTGTATTCAGCCTTAGGATTGATCAATTTTGCACTTTGCTTTAGTGTTTCTTGCTGACGTTCAGTTTTCTTATGCTTGCTTTTTCTTCTGCTCACTGGTTTATCTTTTGAGTTACCAGATCAAGCTTGCCAGAAGAAGCTTGAACAAACTGCTTTAGTGAGGCATGTGTACTCTCAACTCTTTTTGATGCTCTATTGCCCAATTGTACGTATTCGTTTGCGTACAGAGCAATTCAGTGTTTTTGCTCTTTATTCAAGTATTCAATTACATGCTCGATATTATCAGTACAACGACCTTACAGCTTAGAATATGCTTTGTACTTGACGATGGCTACATTCAGATGTTGGCGAGTGTTGGCTGATAATGCGATATCAGAAGCAAGCTGGGCAATTTCTCTTTTCTCATATTTTTTGTTTTCTTCAGTTGAATAGAGACTTGTTAGTTTGGAAAGCCCATGAACTTGAAATCTTCGCATGATATAAACATAACAAAGCAGTTTGTCACTTTGAGGAAAGGATTTGTCCAGTGCTTTCTTTAATGGTTTGTCGTTGTCGGTAACGAAAACATTAGGCAGTTCAATTGTCGAGCTTGCCGGGAATACGCATTCCTTAAAACATTCAAGTGCCCATTCATAGTCACTTTCGTTCTCATTGTCCATCCAGACTCCAGTAATATGGATGTTGGCCAACGTGCTCTTTACTTGACCACTTACACAGTCAGTACCAACAATATTCAGCAAGACCATACTATGATTAGTCATCTTATAGGTTGCATCTAAACAATGCATTCAGACATTTTTTGGGCTTGCTTATATACCATCCATGCCTGCAAAGAAAGCCGTAACAGTATTAGAACTTTTAATGGAGTAGTGAACAAGGTACCCTTTCATTTCATGACCATCAATGAAACGAAGCATTTCTAAACATCAGGTGCTTGCTTCACAAATTGAGTATAGATATTATATATATCCATTTTAACAATAAGAACACCTTCATTAGCCAGCATTTGGTAAACTTTTGCTGGAGTGCTTTCTATAAGCTTAAGAAGAGCGCATACTCTTTCAAGTTGAACTGCATCTAAGCGACGGTTAAGAGCATACACGCGAGGATCTTGCATAATCTGATGGTTATGTTGCGAAACAACCTTTCTGATGACGAATTGATTATCCTCATGGACAGCATAAAGCATACAAGAGTAGCCACATCGCTGAGTATCAGTGCTACGTGTGCCCTTGAGCTTCTCGAAAGATTCAGCTTGCTGTATAACGATAACCGCCTTCTTAGCAGAACAAATACTGATATCCATACTTACACATAGTAGTGACCATACTCTTGTCTGATCTGAGGGTGCTAAGCATGATGCTATTCTTCTTTCCAAAAGCTTTTGATTTGTCTCTAGACTCATCCTTAGGCCTGAACTTGTTTCCAACTGCAAAGATTTCTTCAAATTCAACTTCGATTAAAATGCGACGCTCATATATAAATTTGAGAACTTCTTGGTTAAACATAGTGGACGTTGGTGTTATATTTATGCAGAGAGATAAATTAAGGTTAAACTTTATTTAAAAAGGGAAGATTCTTGGCACATTACCAAATCTCAAAACAGTAGCACTGCCTTCTCATGGAGTAGTACGCGAGGAGTGCGCGAGATGCTAATACTTGTCTTTGCAATTATTAGTGGACGCACTTTTACAATAAATAGATATCTTTGATATCCTTACGGCTAATTCTAGAAGCTACCACCTGATTCACTTACTTAATATAAAATAGTAAAATTCATAGTTTTTTGAAAACAATTTTATATCACTTTATTTCGCAGAGAAGGGAAGCTTCAAGCCTCTGAATACACACAACACTTTTAAACTTGTGGTAACATGATTTCAATTTCACGTACCTACGAAAAATATCGCGCTTGCGATAATATTTATACTAATTGGGTCGAAATAATATAACAGCAAGAGGAAACGTACACTCCTCGCGTACTACTCCATGAGAAGGCAGTGCCACTGTTTTGAGATTTGGTAATGCGCAAGGGAGTGCGCCAATAATCTCTCTTACTCTTGGCAACGCAAAGCAACAATGACGTAAAAAACCAGACTTGGCCCACCAGACAAATGTGGCAGCATAAATACTAAAAAATGTTTATTTTTTATGAAGCAATAGCAGTATTCTGGTTAGCACTAGGCTCATCTGATACAATAGCGTAGTCTGACAGAATAGTGTTTGGTTTATAGATTGCAGGCTTGGGGAACTTGGCATCTTCGAGCAATACAAAAGGCGTTTCCAACTTTTCAATAATCTCTGGAATTATCTTTTCTTGCACAGAGTCCACATCAATGTTGTTATCGTTGTTGCTCTTCAAAGGCTCTGGGACTGTTCCCTTTGTTTGTGTTACTAAAGCATGTCGTGCTTCTTTAACAGCTTTCACTGCAAAGTCAACAAAGAGTTCATCATATTTTTGAATGACTCCTTTATCTTTCTTGCTGATAACCTCATGAATAAGGAACCAGTCGTGCAAAAGATTCTCTTCGAGGAAGGTAAGATTGATTTTGCCATCTTGCTTTATAAAGTCTACCATTTGGATGATACTATCATACAAGACTTCCTTGATGCCAGCAATCACAAGTACATTCTTTGGCAAGAATCTATCGAAATGATTATTGATTTGACTTATTCGTAGGATGGGCAAGTCCTCCATCTTGACATTTGGCAAATCCAAGTATTCCTTAAATACGGATTTTGCTAGAGACAATGATATGATATCCTTCTTTTCATATTTCTTCCACGACTCCTGCGTTGTATCGGGTGATACCAAAGGAGATGATAACAAAGCTGCAGCAGGCAAAGGAAGATCAAAGTTTGTCCTGGGTGCATCAAGGTTATCCAAGATGCCAGGTGCATAAGTTCTTATCAGTGTCTCTATGACAAGAGCCCCGCCTGCGGAGTCTCCAGAGAAGACAACTTTAGAAGGAGAAACACCGAGATGGTTCGTCAGATAGTTGTAAGCAGAGACACATTGGTGAACAGGCTCAGGATATTTGTACTTGGGAGCTAATCCTAATGGCGCAATGATAAAGCATGAATATCATTTCTAAATTTGGAATAATTTGGATTACCATATTCAACAGACATGATGCATGCATAGAGATTGTATTTGCTCTTGAAAAGCCTCAGCCAACTGATAAAAGAATCCATATACATCGTACTATGTCCTGCCCTAAATCCACCTCCTGATAATAACATAAGAGTCTATATGTAACTTGGAATATTTTCTTACCATGGATTTCAAAAATGACGATATCAGCCTTTTGTAACCGTTTAAGGGCAGTTTCATCATCACATCGTATCATTTCTGACATTATCAAGCTTCCTTTCCAGTGTTCATTATCGAATTTACGAATAAATCGTTTCTGTTCCTTGAGAGGACGTGTAAAGTCATTAATAATACTTCTACAAGCTGTTGGATTCATTGCAAGGGCAGATCGGATGGTTTGCACTGCCAATGCAGGAGGAGAATTACGCTTGATTAATAAACGAATGTCGTCCATGTTTAATAAAGAAAAAAGAAAAAGAACTAAAAGAAAAAGAATATTTATCTTTCACAACAGCAACAACCCATATGATTTTCCTCCACAAGTGGTGTTTGTATTTTTGTGATACATGATGTCGCATAGGAAGATCATAACCTTTCAGGAAAAAAACAGGGGAGGGAGGGATAATGTAAGATATATAAATATCTATAAGAGATTATTCCCCATCATTAGATCATATAAAGTATGATGGTAACTTTTTTAAATACAAGACCTTCACGTAACTGAGATCGTTTTGGGAGGGGATTGCAGAATCTACTTTTAGTAAAGGTCACACATGCTCACTTTATGCTTAAAATACATTTTATGGTCTACCCTTTTTTTTATATATATATAAAATAAATAAATGCATAAATGTCGTTTTCCTGTCAACGTTGCAATCAGTCATTAAAGATTGATGATTCCTTAATGAATCTAGAGCAAGCAGCTGCTGATATGCTTATTGGTATTTGAATAAATGAAAGCTCACTTGCTGAAGAAAACGCTAAACCATTTTACGATAGCTCCATTACTTGCAGAAGAACAGTATGAGGCACAAGAACATCAGAAGCGTGCATCAAACAAGACGACATTTCCAGAGCCCATGTCTCGTAAACTGATGGGAATCAAAAAACCTAGTTCCACGCCTTCCTACACAACATTAGATAAACGAAGAAGCTTTCCTGTATCAGAGTCTTTTGTCATGCTTCCTCACCCTCAAGCTATTCACCATACAAGCAGTAGCAGCAGTCATATTCGTAGCACCAGTACAACTGCAAGGCCAGTTTCTCTCTTGACCTCCAAGTCAACCACTGTCCTCGGCAGTGCTTCCAAATCTACAGCAACAACAGCACAAGATAACGGTTCTTCTTTTATGTCTAGCCCGAGCGCTGCAGCTATAGAAGAGGCAAACTGGACGAGAAACAACAGTTTATCTCATCGATTGAAAGTTGCCAACCGTTTGTTTGATATCATGTCAAGCAAGTCAAACGTAGACCATCCTTTATGTCAGGAGTGCACAGATATGCTTTTAGAAGCTTTAGAGAAGCAGTTGGAGGACGTGAGTCGTGAGAGAGATTGCTATATTGAATTTATGAAAAAGGTAAAAGATAGCAAGTTGAGCGATGAAGAAGAGCAAGAGCTTAAAAAGCAGCTTGAGGAGGTAAATGATATTGGATAAAATGATAGAGCAAATATTAATATGACTTAGCTACAAGTAGCAGAAGATGAGGCGTTGGAAGAGCTATCAGGGCTACAAGAGGAAGAGAAAAGGCTTGAACAGGAACTACAGAGCTTGGAACAGGACTTGAAATTATTGAACCAAGAAGAAGACCAATTTTGGGAGAAATGTAATGAATATCAACTGGATCTTGACGCATTTCAAAATGAAAGAGATTCTATCAATTTGAAATATGATCATGACGTGAGACAATACGAAAAATTGCAGAAAACAGTGGTTTATAATGATGCGTTCTGTATATCGCACGATGGGCCCTTTGGAACGATCAATGGGTTTAGATTAGGTAGACTCAGTACACATCCCGTAAGCGCGCATATATATGTATACAATTCAACCAAACTTATTCTTGTTTTAAGGTCGAGTGGAATGAAATCAATGCAGCGTGGGGCCAGACGTTATTGTTGTTGTATACTATAGCCAATAAGCTAAAGTTCCAATTCCAGACGTAAATAGATGTACAATCAGTGAGGAGAGCATGTTTTCATTGTTTGCTATAGATATCGATTGGTTCCTATGGGATCATTTTCAAGAGTAGAAAAGATAGAGGGTGACAGTGTGCTATCTTATGAACTGTAAGTACTATACATGTTGATACAAGGTATGCTAACTCATATATATACATATAGATATGGTTCAGGTGACTTTGGGCTTAATAGAATGTTTTTAAATAGAAGATTTGATCATGCAATGGTAGCTGTTTTAAATTGTCTAAAGCAATTGACAGACTTTGCAGAAGAAAAGGATAAGAGTCTTCGATTGCCTTATAGGATCAATAAGGACAAGATTGGCGATCTATCCATTCGATTACAGTTCAACCAAGACGAATCATGGACAAAGGCATTAAGATATATGCTCACTAATATGAAGTGGATCCTTGTATTTGCAAGTAGAGCCAATACTTCAAATGAGCCATCAAAATGATTATTCATAAACAATAAATCCCCTTTTATACCCCCCTCTATGTTCATCAATCGTAGTTCAAAGCGTAACTGCACTCGAAAAAGACTAAATGCGGACAATAAAAAAGTAGCATAAACTCGAAATCTTCTTTTTTCTTTCTTTCTCTCTTTCTTATAAACATCAGATGAGAAGAAGACCTATTGGATTAGCTAATGCACGCCATAGAGAGAGGCTTGACGTAAAATAACAATAATAATAGTAAAAAGTAGAAGATTGACATTCTTGTAAAAAAAAAAAAGAGAGATTACCAACAAATAGGAGACACGATCGCTGCAAAAGAATTACAGCAGGTTATATGCCTATATCTTATTCGAAAACCTATTCTCTAAATAACTTTAATATAGCTTCAAAATCAAATGGAAACCTTTAAAAAGAACTTGCAAGAATTTGCACAAAAGCATCGCAAAGATATCCGAAAAGATCCAACCTTTCGAGCTCACTTTCAAAAGATGTGTGCTAATATTGGTGTTGACCCACTTGCCTGTATTGTAAATAACATTCATAAACAGTGTCCCCCCCTCCTTTTGTGACAAAAAAAAGAGAGAGAGAAAAGATGGAGAGGGGAGAACAGGAAGAGGATTTGAACTAACTTCATCTCTGAATAAGCCAATAAGGGCTTTTGGGCTGATTTATTAGGTGTTGGTGACTTTTACTATGAGTTGGGTATTCAAGTGATCGAAGCATGTATTACCAGCAGACCAAACGATGGTGGGTTAACTGAACTTGGTGAAATCATGAAAAGGGTTAAAGCGATGCGAGGTGCGTCATCAAATAACAGCAAGAAAGGCAACACACAACAGCAGATAACTGAAGACGACATGATTCGAGCCATAAAGACATTAAAGCCATTAAACGGAGGATATGAGGTGTTACAGATTGGAAATAAAAAGCTTGTAAGATCTGTACCCAAAGAATTGGATAAGGATCAGTCAATGTTATTGCTTCTTGCTCAAAAGACAGGATATATTACTTATGAAATGATTCAAGTCGAACTGGGATGGGGTCAAGAAAGAATGGACACTGCTGTGGTATGTATTATATTAAATATGCAACATATTAAATAACATGTTTATTATATAAACAGAATCGTTTGCTACAAGATGAACTAGCCTGGATAGATAGCTATGAAGGTGTAGATACATATTGGATACCAAGTTACTTCATGTCTCATAGCGTTGAATAATGCAATAAATAATATATATACGTATATATATAATTTGTATGTACAGATAAAGGATATATAAAAAAAAGGAGAGAGATGGCTAAGAGTGGTATATGAATGTTATGTAGCCAAGTGCTTCACTATAAAGAGCGCAGCAAAGACAACGGCTATACATACTGGTATACAAGCTACTCCATAACTCCAAAATAATACATGTAGCATTTCATCTTGAAAGACTCTATTTGCTTGAGTGATTTGTGCTAGATTAATCGATGTAGGTGTACATCCTGCAATAATGATAGCAACAAGAAATACAGGATCACCTGCCAATTCTAGATAAGGCTGACCAAGGCATCCAAAGATAAAGACAGAAAGGATTGCACAAAGAGGCGCCAGAAACATTCGGATGAAGATAGTAGCTCTTACTGTCTTGTGAATTTCATGACTCGCTGTTGCCTGTGTTTCACGAATCATCTTTAACTGAGCACCTAAACAAATGAGAACGATAGGAACAGATGCTTTCCCACAGGATTGAATAGCATGGGTTAAGGATCCATAGAGAAACGAGTCTTTGCTGTATAACAAATGCTTGAGTGGACGACAAAGGCCCACCAAGAAAGCTAAGATGGCGGCAAGGAGCGGAGGTGACATTGACTGTTGAATGGTTCTCATCAATTTTTTTATTAATCGATGCGTACCCTTTTCAGATGTCTCTGTGGCTGATATGCTTCCATATGAGTTTTGGTTGCTTTGGCTAAAGGTATCTGAGGTATGTACATCAACGATTTCCTCTTCGTCTTTGGACGTTCTTCGCAATAGACTGAATCCATATGACCATCTGAGAAGGTTAGAAAATAGGCCAAAGAACAAGATGTATGAAATTCCTCTGTTTAAGATTAGTATGTGTACAAAACTGTACATTTTGGGGCTATTTACCTTGCTGAAACAGTAGCTTGTGTATCATCTGTATAGAAATATAAAGATTTACCTGATTCAGACACAGCAAGTCCTGACATGATAGCTACAGGTAATGAGTTCGTATTACTAAACAAGACACAGGCAAGGACAAATCGTCTATGTTGCATTTCAACCTTGAATAGAGGCATCAATAATTGACACAGAACCCAAGAGATGAATATAAAGGTGATATAGAATGCAGGTATTGGCCACAAGTCGAGTAACTTTTCCAAAGACACGACTGAAGCAATATTTGTGAATAATAAACAAGGAGTAAAAAAGATCATGTTTAGTCTTGATAGCCACTATGATCATTATATTAAAAATATAAATAAAAAGAATATCTTGGAATTACCCTTTGCTGATCATTGTCAATATAATCATAATAAGCTAATGTTGCTCCGATAAAGACAATTGTCATGACTTGCATTATTGCCTAATGAACGTGTCATCAGAGGTGATATTCTCTTTCTAATATCATAAAGCTGTACCTGAACGGCAGATAATATCAGATCAATCATTGTATATAAAAGAAAAGAACCATATTACAAATGTCAAAGAAAACAGAATCAAGAATAAATAAGTAAACATATTATGTTTTCTGACCATGAAATGATGCAATCGCAGCTGATTCGGTCATGTCTTGTTGATAAATGCACAGAAATTATAAATATAACTTTAATGCGTAAAGATAATGCATTTATAATAATCAATGTAAATTGAATTTATAATGTCTAAGCTTGCACTATTTGCCTCTCTTAAGGGATATTGCATCCTTCTTCATTTTATAATAACATATCGTAGTTTTTTACTTGATGTGGGTTCTACATTATTTCATGGTTTATTCATTCTGATTTAATTCAAACCCTTTCATAACATTTTAACCATATTTTTCTTCACTCAAGTAACGATGTGTACATGATATAAAGACAAACAGCGGAGACACCAGTGTTTATTAACATTTGAATTACACCAGTGATGCTATTGGCTGGTTCAAAAGGTACATCCCATTTCATTATGAAAGTGATACCAATGTGAAAGTGTAATGCAATTATTCAAGATCAGCATAAGCCATCATACAAAACGGCTGCAAGAATAAGCTTCGGTAAATATGAGATTATTAACCTCCCCTCCCCTTTCTGCCTATCTCTAATGTTCTGAAACCAATTCCCTTATCATTGACTTGGTTGTAGCAGCCTTACTATGCAGCATGTCAATCAAGAAATCACAATATTTAGAACCATACATTTCCCTGATATGATGACCGTTTATATAGAAACTGTAGCTCCAGGCAGTTTACTAGGAGCAACTCTATGTTGTCATCCACAGTTATCGTAACAGGAATATATCGTCAAGCGGCGATATAAAATGTTCAAACTCTTGGCTCGAATGAAAAGCGAAAGAGAGCATCAATGCGCGGGAAGTAACAGCTTGTTTTTTGGGAGAAAGTTTCGCAACTTGGGCTTTACAGCCTATGGATAGCAAGGAATTGGGAAGAGCAGGGGGGCAAAGTGATGCTTTTAAGGTGTACGCCTGACAAGTAAACCATTGTAAAAGATCGAGTCATTCGCTCGAGAGTCGTTATTTGAGTCGGCTGATCTCAGCGATCACTGTTTACAGCTACTTTGCAAGTATTTGATAGAAAAGTGTGGACATTCGTTCCAACCAAGTCAAAAAGAATTAGAAGTGGCCGAATACATAACTAACATACTTCTGTTCTCTTGGATTTAAATGCAAAAGTAGAAGGCACCTATCTCTTTCATCTATGAGTGCATATTTTGCTCCACCCATGTCCTCACGTGCCTGAGTAAAACTAAAGGTACACTGATGTGAATGGTAGGACGATGTTATTCAAATGCATTTTATAAAGTATTAAAAAGAACGCCCATTTTTTATTGTATTTTCCTCCTTCATTTATGCCTTCTTCAAGTTGTTAGATAACCACTCCAAGCCTTCGTAAAGACCATCACCTAAAATGTGCCCCAGTTAGTATGGTGATATCACTACAAAAAAAAATGGCTTACCGCTTGTAGCACAAGTAGTTTGGATGTACCAGCGTCTGTTACGAAGAGAGTGAAGACCAAGTTTATCAGTAATTTCAGCAGCGTTCATAGCGTTAGGAAGATCTTGTTTGTTTGCAAATACAAGCAAGAGCGCGTCACGAAGCTCATCTTCGTTCAACATGCGTTGAAGTTCGTCACGAGCCTCTGAAATACGATCACGGTCATTTGAATCAACCACAAAAATGATACCTTGCGTGTTTTGGAAGTCTACAAAGAAACAAAAGAGAAAGGTTAAGAAAGTGAAGTTTGTTAAAAAGGTACAACTTACAGTGTCTCCAAAGAGGACGAATCTTGTCTTGTCCTCCGACATCCCAAACAGTGAAAGAGATGTTTTTGTATTCAACAGTTTCGACATTAAAACCTTTTTATATGGCTGCTTAGTTACTTTATAAAGGGGTTTTTCTTTTTTTTTTTTCTTTCTCTTACCAATAGTAGGAATAGTCGTTACAATTTCACCCAACTTGAGTTTATACAAGATGGTGGTCTTACCAGCAGCATCTAAACCAACCATAAGAATACGCATTTCCCTCTTACCAAAGAGGTCATTGAATAACTTTGAAAAGCTTAAGCCCATTGTTGTATGATGTATATGTGTATTTTTTAAAGAAGGGAAAAAAAAAAAAAAGAAAAAATAGGAAAGGAATTTTTTGAGTACACACACACACAATCTCTCGCCCTCCCTCTCAGTCGCTCTCACTCACTCACGCAACACACACACAGGCTGTTTCCAAAAATAAAATGTTTTGCAGCCATAAAAATGAATGTCAGCTTTTCTTCCGCAAATCTATCTTGTAGCAAACCCTTTCTATTCTCTTTCTCTTTCTCTTTAGACAAAAGGGGCTTAATTAGATCTAGTTACTATAGATATTACACACTATTTTCTATTACATGGAAAAAAATACAAGCCAAAAGTTGGAGATTGAAAAATGCCAGCAGCAAATGGCCCTTTTCCTATCAAATTCAGGTACCCTTTTCTCATTTTGCGTTCTTATCAAGGACTGCCTGCATTTATAGTCTCAGGGATGGTCTGATGGTAAATATGACGTTGGTTTTGGCGACATTAGCTATAAAATGCAATACTTTATCATAAGAGCTAAATTTGAACGATTGCTGCGCCTAGATGGCTTATTTCGATTGATACATATTTCTTTAAGCAGCTAAGCTTTATTTCTCATTTAAGAAACTTCAAGGACAATAGTTGAAAATACAGCAAGAAGTGAATGGTTTGACAGTGGACATCCTGCTTCTATGTACTTTGGGATTTGTTACGACTTTGAACTTTCCCAAATTGGAATCACACTTTGGGCAAAGACTGGAAGTGTTAAACTCGTTCAAACAGCAACACTTCAAAGCCTTCCTTCCGCACAACATGCAACAGAGACCTTTCCGTCTAATCGGTTCATGATTCTTTGCATTAGTGACTGACTAGTGATAAATCATGTCGATTGTTGAGCGAAGAAATAATAAAGAGATAGAGATGTTACCAAAAGATATGTTTGTGCCTTTTTACAGATAAATAAACTCAAAAGAACAAAAGTCATCTAGTAACACTATGTTAAGCTTGTAACGGTCTGGATAAACATCTAAACACTTTTTGCATTTAATATAAAGTCAAGGCATTCAAGGAATTTGCAGGGAGTAGTTGGTATACTTTTTGATATGAAATGCCTACTTTTATCTTGTAACAGATAACAAGTATGGTTGCTGTCTTTTCATATGAATCGGTTTGTCGATTTTTGTCTTTGTAAAAACTCTGTTCAGAAACATTCAAAGACGACCTTCAAATGAAGGACGACATTATAAGTAATGGATATTGGTACTTTTTGTAAAAGTTGCATGCGTCAATTTAATAAGTACAAAGGAAGCATGTTGATGGTATTCTTCTGTAGAAATGTTTATCTTTTCGCCTAATGCACTTTGACTGAAAGACTGGATTTACCAGTTATTCTTCGATGCAACAAGGGACTATAAAACTTCTTCCCTCACCCTTCCTTTTGTTACCGTCCAACTTTAGATTAAAAACCTGTATCTTAAAGCAAGATTCTGGCTCGTGTTACTTGTAGAGCTGCAAGGATTAGACTGTGCAATAAAAAGGGACCATATGCAAAAGGAGATTAGAAAATCTAACAAAAACGACTATGGTCTCGTTTTGCTTTATTTTATCATCCATTAAATGCTTAGCACCAGTGTACATTTTCACAAGCAATTCTGAGGCAGTGTCATCTTCTCCTATCTCTTGATACACTGATATGCCGTTTGGTTCGAATCACAAATGATTATGCATCTCCCTTCTAGTCTGATGCATAACCTCAGCCGATCAAAAAGAGAGGGGGATAATCTAGAAATCATTTAGGTTGCATGATCATGTCTATATATATATATATCAATTTTTTTTCTCTTTAACCCTCTTTTCGACGTAAACCGCTGATCGATGGCCTATACACTACAATAGATCTATAGATGGTGCACACGTGGAATTAAAAATAATAATAAAAAAAAGTGTAAACATTTCCATATAAAGCATATCAAACTCATTATATTTCTTTGTTCCAAAGAAGACAAAAGCTCGATGGAGAAAGAGAAAGACTGTAGACAGCATAGAGCACATCTTCTCTTTTATTATGAAATAATGAAATATTGTTTATAAAAATGAGGACAAACTCATAAAGTAAGTTTAGTATATCTGATTGTCGACAAATTGAAAATAATTGATTATGACAACCTTCTTCAACGACAAGGTTTGACAAACTGTTGAAGTGACCATGACCATTGGCCGAGGTTGAGCGAGCAGAATATTAATTGTGCCACTTTACATACATAAAAGTTAAACCACGTTTAAGTTTAGAAAGAATGATCTTTCTATGGGTCACTGTTCTTTTGATATATAGTTGTTTATATTTAAAAAGATTGAAATCACCATGAGACTATCTTATCATTACTTGCAGACATTGGCATAAAACCAAAAAAAAAAAGGGGGAGCATGACGATTTAGATCTTATCAGTCGACTGTAATAGGAAAAAGGGACCTGTTAGAAATCGATTTATTAAGCTCAGTTTATTAACCCCATCTATCCTCCTCTGTGATTTGTGCGGTATTTGCAATTCAATATAATTGTGAAGTGAACGCCTCGCGATTAGTTCCTCTCTCTCTCTTATCTATATATGACTTGGTTATTTTACATTAAAAAGAGCTCCTTTTGTTTATTCAGATTCTATATATAAATAACTATGTTTATATATTTATTTTGTTTTTATTCTTGGTATACATATTTTATCTATATAATTTAAGCATATCCTCTCATGATTAAAGCACGCCTTTCAAACAATGAGTTGTCTGGACCTAAGCACGGTAGGACAATACCTCAATCAGGATGGGTCGGGCATGCCCGGTTCTTTAAGCCTCATTCTATAAAAATAGCACAATAAGGGCCATTTAAAATGTTTTCCCGCTACCAACGTGAGTGAAGACAAAAATGGCATGTTTATAAAAAAAAACAAAAGGGGAGGGGCCATGTCAGCATGACGTTTAAATCAAAGAATACACCTTTATAATACAAGAGCTTAAACATGTCCGTGTATTTGTGTTACAATTACCGAGGATGGTTGCGGTTCTAATAGCAATCAAATTGTCACCCAGGAAACAACAGAGTTTTGTAAAAAAAAAGACACGGATATAACGCTGATTTCCAAATTAAGAACTTGGTCCTTCCGCGGAATACATTAAGCTTCTAATTTTAAATGGATATAAAGTCTTTCTTTTCTTTCTCTTTCTCTTTCCATCTCTCATTCTTAAGTTGCATTAAACATGAAGAAAGTTCAATTCTCTGGTAATGTTGAATTTGTTAGCACATTTGCTAATGAAGATTATGGTAAACATTGAAATGATAAAAGAATTTGATTACATATACTCATTTATTTGATAGATCGAACAGCTCAAGAAGTAGCCAAATTGACTTACCGAGATATGCTTGAATTATTAACAATGAAATCTCAATGGAAGAGGGATATGGAACGAATGCTTGCTGAACGAGAGATGAAAGAAAAGATGAACGAAGCCAACGATAATCAATCTCAACAACAGCAACAAGAACAGCATCAACCTTTATATAACGTACCCGAAATTTGCACTTGATCTCATTTACATATATATATACACCAACATACACACGCATTTACGTATCCCCCTTCTCTCCTCTTTACTCCATCTAACGCATTTATACCATCCATACCTCTTTCTCTTTTCCTCTCTAATGCATTCTCCCTTTTTCCCTATCTTTTTGTAAAATTTCTAAAAATGTCACTCCCACACGCATTGCAAATCTGTAATTAAATTTTATTTCCAAAAATAAACTCTGGTCAATTCGCATTACTTTATGATAACATGTTTACTGTATGTTGTAAAAGTAGTAGAAAGATGACATTCTAATGATAATAAACAGTGATATTATTGTCTCTCTCTTTAAATTTTAGTTTAATTTCGCGTTTAGACCAAAACATAATAATGTCAACTTGTCAAATAGACCAACACACACTAAAAAGAAACCATTATGTAATAATAACAAGTGTTATCAAGATTATAACATAGTGTTTATTTGGCATGCCAAAATAACGTAACAATAAAAAAAGGGGTGTCATAATACAGATTATAGTAAATTTACATAATAAGGCCCTAAGAAAAAAAGAATTACTTTTTGTGTGTATATAAAAAAAATGTGTATGTATAAACTTAAACATGCAAAAAATAAAAAGGGGGTAAGTAAATGCAGTAATAAGGTATAATTAGGAGTTGAAAATAGAGTGAAAAAGAAATGCATTATAGAGGAAGGGTATTAGAGAATCATAAATGATCATACTTATTCTTGATTTAGCCAAGCATGGTTCAACACTTGATGAATAGTTGGTCTTTGATCGGGATCTTTTTCTAGCAAAGAAGCAATCAAGTGCTTACACTGCATAGATACTCTGTGTTTCGGCTTAAGAATAGGACCAGAAATGGCCGATTTTGGATCAGGAAATGGAATTTCACCAAATAGCAATGTATAAAGCAAGATACCCAATGACCAAATATCTGCTGGTTCTGCGCGATAAGGTTTCTGTAGCAGAATTTCAGGTGAAGCATATGAAACTGTGCCGTAAAATCGTGTAAAGAGTTTCTTGTTGGCATGACGAGGGATCAAGACGGCAGAACCAAAGTCGATTAATTTGACCTATTTAAAATCATGATGATTAGTTTCAGTCTGTCTGGATGATGTGAGGGCAGTTATTTACCTGAAAGTTTTGGTCAATCACAATGTTTTCATCCTTGATATCCCTATGACAGACACCGAGATTGTCGAGATGGGCAACACATTCAACAATCTGCTTGAATATCTTTCGTGCATTTGATTCTTCAAAGTATTTATGCTGTTCAATGCACTCAAACAGATCACAGGAAGTACGACGGACAAACTGTCTTGGACTAGGCTCAATTTCGTCTTCCTCTTCTTCGATTGTTGACTGTGAATTCTCTGAGAGAGCGGGTGAGTGCGTGGGTGACTCGGCTGTCCATTGTGTGCCGTGAAGTTCCATGACCAAATAGAAAAAGATGTCATCCTGGTAGGAATCGCAGTACTGAATGATATTAGGATGACGCACATGCTTCAAAACATAAATCTCGAGAGGTATAGGGCCCATATCTGGATCATGAACCCAGGCACTGCTAGGCACCTTTTTACGAATAATAAACTTGACAGCGCGTTCGATACCTGTTTCACGCTCATAGGCAGACACGACAAAGCCAAACCCTCCACTACCTAATTCTTGACCAAGGACATACTTTTCAGTAAATTCTGGATGAAGTGTATGATGCATTAATGATTTAGCAGAAATAGTTGTAGGTTGTTGAAGTGGCATTGGTTTTTGAGGGTTACGATAAAGTGGAATGGATTGGTTATTATTTGTTGCCATTATATATAAAAAGATCAATCAATGAAATAACAAAAATAAATAATAAAAAGAATAATAATAAAAAAAAGGACAATAAAGATTTGTGGTATTTAAATAAGAATGGATTTAAGGGGTAAATAAACACACTCTTTTTCTCTCTCTTACGCACGCACACAGAGGTACACACACACAAAGGGCACAAACGAACACAATTGGACAAGTACACGCTCAAGTATATATATAAAAAGATATAAAAAATAGAGCTGAAGATAAAAAAGTGTATAAGGAAGAGAAAAATTACTTTTCGATCGTCAGGAGCATTTATTAAATAAAGGGAAAAAAAAAAGTTTCGGATTTACAATGGAATGCCCCTTTTATGTTGAACGTGTCTGGAGTGTAAATGTATGTAGATGTATTAATAACGAGGAATGAGTAACAAGTTTAATTATAGACGGCTCATTGTCGGCTTACAAAAAAAAAGTGAACCCTTTAGTCATTTATGTAGATTGTTGTCATTTATTACTATTCATTATCATATATAAATTATTTCTGAAGCTTCTTTGTGAAGTCCTTGATAACCTGTACAGTGGTATCATCGTTATAGACACTGTACCATCCCTTAGGTTCGTGAGGTGGATCTACAAGATGGGTCAATATTTTGTTCATATTGAGAAATATTGTGTCATACCTCCCAACCAGGTCATGTTGTATTGATTAGGCTTGTCAGTTGATCTACCAAGGCCTCCATAAGCCCAGAAGTTGGCACCGGAATGACGGCCTTGATGAGCCAAGTGTTCAATCTGCTTAAAGATCCCCTTGTAATAATCGTCCTTGTGGCTCGTGGGTGTAGCAGGATCATACTTGTATTCAGGATCATTGGGTTTGCGCCATGCGTCACGAGCCATACCAAATTCTTCAAGAACGATAGGCTTGTTGATTTCATTAGCCCATTCAGTACGGGTGCTGATAAAATCTTTGGCATATGTCTTGGCCTTCTTCAAGCTCTTCTTGCTAGGATCGCTGGCATTATAGTACCCCCAACTATATAAATTCATGTTAATATCCGAATCAAGTAAGGCTAAGGAGCAATGCAAGAGGAGGAGTATGTCAACAAGCACACTCTAAATCAAGATTCGGGAGAGTGCGTGTGTGTGTGTATGCTTGTGGATTTTTACATAGGGAGGCACTGTTTGCATTAGGGGATTTCGTGACACTTACTTTTCAACCCAGCAGTGGGACGTAGCGTAATCAATATGCTTGGATGAGTGTGCGTTCAAGAAGTCTTCCTTGTCAACCTTACTCTCGCAACCAGATGACACTAATTGATGAGGAGCACCCTGCTTGATAAAAGCAGCAATTTCATCATACCAATCCTTGGGACCCAACTGAGGTTCATTGGCGATTTGCCAACCTATATTAATTTAATTAATCTACTACTATAGCTTATATCTATCTTGTGTCCTTACTGAATACAGTGGGGTCTTCGGTATACAATTTGCCATTAAACTTGTTACGACGAGTTTGGACCTTACGGATATGAGCCTTATAAAGCTTGTTGGCCTTTTCACGAATATCAGGGTTCGTGTAGAAACGACGAGTCCATGTGGTGAAGGTGTCCCAATCAGTGACAGGATAAGGAATGGTTTCATTCGTAATCCAGTTGATATATTGAGAGAAACTAGAATAAAGTGATCAGTTATCGATTCAAAAGCGAATTTATCCTTTCTTACCCTCCACTCCAATGCCAGAAGTTACTCAAAGTTACTATATATTAACTCGTTAAATACCACATCCTCATCTGTCACCCCATATACACTTACAAACAGCTGTCATGTTTCGCTTGCCAATTTCATTCATAAAGTAGTCCAAGCCCTCAAAGATGTCTTCATTATATTTACCAGGAGCAGGTTGTAAACTAGGTCGCATGCGGTAAGGTTGATCATCAGGACCTTCAGAGGAAGCCATGATACGCAAGTTGTTGATACCCATTGCCTTCAATTGGTCCAACTCCTCATTAAGACGCGTACGGTTACCACCAGCAGATTCAACAGCACCCAGATTCATACCTTGCCAGTAGTTGGCGCCCTTGATCAAGTACGTTTGTCCATCGAGCACAAATTGGTTTCCTTCAACTTTCACCATCGTTTCTTTCGTAAAGGCGGAAGAAACTAAAATTGCGCAGGACACAAAAGTTAAAAGACGCATGACGTAGTTATTTGTTTGGCCTTGTAAGACTAATGAAGTTGCACGAAGAGAGGGAAAGGTCAAGCTCTTTATATATGTTCCAAGATCTTTAAGATGATGACCACCTAAACATTGATATAATCTATCAAACATTTCCCAGTTGCTCCCAATCTCACACAGAGCTATTTTGTAGCACAAAAGTTAAACCTGTGTACTGAAGGAACCGAGCTATTATGTAAGACACTTCCCAGTTTTGATAAAGACCAGGTGACTTTTTTCTTACCATTGAGTGTCCTCTTTTAGCATACTTTGCGTTTAACTTTTGCATCAAACAAGTAGAGACGGTAACATAAGGAAACAAGACGATTCTATTGGAATTAGGCACATCTTTTTTGGTCAATTGTAGGCAGTTTGATATTTATAGTGGTAGCCCGTATTCCCCGCGCTTAAGTGGGATAATTCGCTCCACTTCACCAGCCGTCTTTTGACGAAAAAGCACGTCATGAGTTAAAGATCAAGAATAACTAGTAAGTAAGTTAACATCATGACACGTATATGATTACAGCATTTCAGTTTTACCCAAAGTAGATGGCTTTGTCATCACAAGTCTACAGTACCCTGACATCCCTACCATTTATTTCACTTTTTTTTTATTCCTTTCCTTCTCCGAATGACATCAATCCCACATCCATGGAACGCAAAGTGTGATAATCTCTGTTTCACCAACTGGGAAAAAAGCCAAAGCATCTAGCGTATATTCAGCTGGTGGGAATGCAAAAACTTCTATGCGTCCCACACTTGGCTCTATTAAGAGCGTTAACATTGGTTGATCATCCTCACACAAGATAATAATTGAATAAATTGGGTTACATACTCCACATTTGTAGTGGTATATCTGTATCCATCTTTCTATTTTTGCTCTGATTGATCGGGAAACCTTTGGGAAAACCGCCGTTCTTTTCTTCATTTTCCCTTTTCTCTATTAATCACATCTGATATAGAGCAGTGTAACTATCCAGAAACATGAAAGGCTTGTCCTTTTGCATTTATGAAGATATTATACATATCTCGGTAATAAAAATGGTATTTGAATGGTACGCATTTGTTAAGCTTCTTTCTAGAGTAAAGCCATTCTGTGCTCTATATGCCTTTTTTTTTTTTGAGAGAGAGACTATAGTCTTTTTTGTCGGACATAACAGCAAGTAACTGTCCTTAGTATCTTTCTTCATGCTGTCCCAAATCTTGGTTCTTTTAGCGCAGTTGGTACCAAGTTTTCATTAGCGCTTAATGTTCATTATCCTTGCACACATTGGATTTTCTAACCACCTCATTGGTGTATAAAATCAATCGGGAAGAGTAACAAGAAGGAAGCTGAGTCAATAAAGTGAATTAGAAGACTTACACAAAGACCTTTGGTTTTTTAATTTGTTGCATTCTGCAAGCGAATTTGCGTTGGGAGGAATAAATATTTACATTTACATTAGTATTATTTTGAGATAACATTGTGTTAAAAGCCATTGATCAAAGATACATGCCTTCAAAAGTCTCCAAAGTTCAAGGAGCTTTGATTTAAAACAGATATATGCCTTTAATTTCAAAGAGCGCGTATGTGACAATATTCCTGTACGATGGGTTTCAATGTCAGCGCGGAACTGTTTAGTGGGTTTAAGCTAGTGAATAAGTATACACTGTCTCTTATTAAGTCAACTAGGCCAATGATTTCAGAGATATAATTTGAAGCGTCATATCTGGCAATATATCTAAGTGCGATCTCTAATGCGCTATCGGTAAATTTCAAATAAGGAACAAGGTAACATCTGAGAGTCATTGTATCTGCTTGATGGAACAATAAGTGATTTTTGTTTGTCAGGTCAACCGATGACCAAGCAGTTGATACAAAGAACTAGTTTATGCGCTTAGTTCATACAGTATTGATATATCAATAGCATTCTACTAATTGTTTCGTTATTCACTTCATCGTTTGACGAAACTAAACATAGTATTCAACGCTTGTATATCTGTTATGTTATATAAATCATGCATCTCTCAGTCTCAATTAATAAACAATGTCAGACAATTATGCCCCTCATTTATTAGTTCTTTCATGACAAAGAAAAAATAACTTCCCTATTTGGTGTTGTATGGCAACTGTCAGCTCTCCTCCTTCTCCTTTAGAGTCTTGAAATAAAACTAAATATAGGCCGTCTTAACAACCCTTTAATCAAATAGGAGACGATATTGTTTTGCACGTTCGCTTGATACAAAAATAATTTAATGCCTTTCTCCCCTTTTTTTTAATAACTGAAAACTCCCCTTTCTTGATACACAAAAGTTTAAAATGGTTTTTAATATACCAATGACAAAAAAAAGGGGGGGGTACAATGCAGCTCTAGAAATACATTTAAATGTGTGTTGTATTTGAAACATGTGAGTGAGTGATTGTGGATGTGGATGTGTATTTGTACGTTTGTTGTGTATTAATGGTTTTTATATGCATAAATAAATATTTTAATTCATTGTCTCCACCAACTTGTTAATATCATCTTCAGCACTTTCTTCCTCGTTTTCTCTATCAAGAACTTCCTTTAATTTCTTTTGACGCCAGCCCTTCACAGGATCATGCAATTCAAAGGGTTCCAAGAAACTTGTGACAGCTGCAAAATTTTCGCCCTTATTTGCAATTTCATGAATGATATCTTCTAAACAAATAATATCCAAATCACCCAAAGCTTCTTCAACCATTGCATTACTGCTCAGTGGTGTACGCACACCGTTGATTTTCGCAGCACCACGCTTCATTATCAGATCACGGATGGTTTTTAAGCTGGGCGAGCCGTAAGTCACAAAGGGTTCTACTCGCAGCAAGTCCTTCATGGTTGATTCATTACAGATGACAAATACACCACTATTCATCTTACGCAAACGCAAATTTTTTAAAGCGGACAACACTTCTTGATGAATAGCCTTAGCTGTCTTGATACGAGCAACAAAAAGCAATCTTCCGTCACCTTTACTTCTCTTGGATGCCTTATTTTTTCCACTTTCTATAGCAACAATACGGCGCTTTTGCTTTTCCTTTATACGGAATGCACGAACAAATTCATCAGCACGCTTGAACTGTGTCTTTCTATTCATCTTTTGCTTCTTTCTGGCTTCTAATCTCTCTTTAGCTTTTTCAGCAGCTTGCTTTTCATTGCGCTTTCTTTTCTTTAAAAGAGTTTCGGATACGTAAACTGGGTTGGCAACAGTTCTGTGGCTAGAACAAACATATGATTTAGTATCATTCCCTTCATTTCTCTCATGATCTTGTATTCTTTTTACCTGTCAGACATTTTATATATATTTTAAAAGAGAAAAAAAAAAAAGGATACTGAAAAAATTGTTACTGTTTTCTATAAAAAAAAAAAGGGTGGCTGAGATCAAGCTTTGAATTGGGATTGAAATAACAAGAGATGATTTGTCCGTTTCTGTTCCTTGACTTTGTTCCCAAAATGATATTAGGATATGCATATATGGCCAAATAAATAGGAAGAGCATTTTTGTTTACGTGCACTAAAGCGCATAATGGCTTTTTTGAAATTTCTATTTAGAGCCATATGTATATGAACACATAACTAAAGTTAAATGGCTGTCATTACTAGCAAGCACGCTATGCTTAAATTATGCTGACATTATTCATGCAACAAAAGAAGTGATTTCAACGCCTTTCTCTGTTGATGAATTTTCATATGATTCATGCCTTGATGTAAACACATCATGTCCATGTTTCTAACTTCCAGGTTATGTTTATGACTTATTTTTTTGTGTCCTATAATCTCATAGCTGACGATAATGTGATTTGATTTGACAGTTAGAAGACCTTTCTTTTTTTCTTTTTTTTTCTTTTACAACAATACATTGTAACTATAAGAATAGGAGTTGCACTTGAAATAGTGATGAAACGATTGCGTTTTTGTTTATGCCGTGTAACGATTTCTCATAAGTAAACGGACGCGATTTTTTTTTTTTGCCTTTTTTTTCTTTCTTTCTTTATCAAATGGCCTCAAAGAAATCAGTCCCTACAGTTAAACAGGAGTTAACAGATCTGGATGTAAAGGTAGATAACCAAATCAATGTTGAATTTGGTGGTCCCATTGGCGTGACTCTGATGATGCTTGGATTTCCTTCCCTCATGTATTACTTTTGGGTATGTCTTGAACACCATCAAGGACGCCTCATCCTTCCAGACGATAGTAATCTCTCAACATGGTTCACAAATGAGATTATGGAAAAGATCAAACTAGGTGCATCACCTTCATGGTACGCCTTCAAAGTGTACATGGGGTATGTGGCGTTTTCATTTGTTTTGGCTTATATCATGCCGGGTCCCATTGTTGAAGGGTTACCTGTTCCTTCTCTCAAAGGCAATAAGGTAATTCATGTTAGTTATAAGAAGCTTTGTACTTAATTGTCAATAGTTAAAATATCTCTGTAACGGGCTTTCATCATGGTATCTCACCTTGGTTGTCTCTGCTTTGCTTCATGTTACAGGCCTCTTTCGTCTGACCACTATCATTGATCATTTTGGTGAATTGATGACTGTAGCTATCCTTTGGGGATTTACCATGTCTACTGTTGTATACGGATGGAGTGTGCTGACAGGCAACACACATCGTATGTCTGGAAACTTGTTGTATGATTACTTCATGGGCGCATGTTTAAACCCTCGTATCGGTCATGTCGATCTCAAAATGTGGGCAGAGATTCGTGTGCCTTGGCCTGTTCTCTTTTACCTATCACTGTCATGTTTATTGAAGCAATATGAAACATATGGAACAGTAACTGCACCTATGGCATTTATGGTCTTGGCTCATTTTCTGTATGTGAATGCGTGTCAAAAGGGAGAGGAATGTATACCAGTTTCATGGGATATATTTTATGAAAAGGATGGTAATTGAGAAGATCATTACATATGAAAAAAGATGACTAAAATATACATACCTTTTAGGATTTATGCTCATTTTCTGGAACATGGCAGGTGTCCCATTCACTTATTGCTACTCTTCCATTTACCTAATGAAATATCAACTCAGCACAGGGCATCCCATCACGCATTCCATTCCATACACAATCTTTATCTATTTGCTCTTGTTGACTGGTTATTACGTCTTTGACACCGGTAACTCACAAAAGAATCGTTTCAGAATGGAGCAACATGGTACTTTTATCAAACGAAACGCGTTTCCTCAACTTCCTTGGGGCCATTTAAAGAACCCAACGTATATCAAAACCGAGCATGGTAATCTCTTGCTGACTTCAGGCTGGTGGGGACTGGCTCGAAAGCCACACTATACAGCTGACCTAATGATGTCTCTTTCGTGGGGTCTGATCACAGGCTTTAGCTCTTTTTTGCCTTATTTTTACTTTACCTTCTTCTTGTGTGTCCTAACTCATAGAGCTAGACGTGATATGGAACGATGTGCAAACAAGTATGGGAAAGATTGGGAGAGATATTGTGAACGTGTGCCGTACATTTTTATTCCATATGTGTATTAGAAAACCACACTTTATTTAATAAAAGATAGAAAAACTATAAGAGAAATATCTAAAGAGTAAACCAAGGCAGATGAATGAAGCCAAATCTAGACAATGTTGTTGTCACTACACTAGAGTATTGAGTCAATCATACATAAGATAGTAACTTAACTTACTTACGCTGTAGCAACGACAGGATTAGCTAGGGGGGTTCTGGTAGCAGCAATAGAGGCCATAGTAGGAGTAGCAACGTTGGCATCAAGTCTGTGGTCAAAGAGATGGCCAAGGCCATGGTCATTGTCCCAGTCACCATGACCATCATGGTCTCTATCGTGATATTCGTCATGGTCATGGCCGTAAACTACATGATTTGTTGTTGTCACAGTGTAAAGGAAGTAAACAGTCTTTGTCTTGCGCTCTTTCTTTTGGTCAACCTTATTGTCATTATCATCATGCTTGTAACCTTCATCATATCCATAATCCTTGTGGTCGTAGTCCTTATGGCCGTAATCCTTGTGGTCATAGCCTTTGTGGTCATAGCCTTTGTGGTCATAATCCTTGTAGTCCATATGGTCATAACCCTTGTGGTCATAGCCTTTGTGGCCATAGCCCTTGTGTTCGTAGTAGTCCTTGTCCCAGTCTCTGTAGTCCTTTTCCCAAACTGAATCTTTTTCCCAGTCTTTATGACCCTTATCCCAACCCCAGTGGTCATCATCATCATCATCACAGTCTTCATCATCGTCCTTATCATCATGATCCCAGTCATCTTCCCAGTCGTCATCATCATCATCACCACGCTTATGGATTGCTACAGGCGATTGAACACCAGCTAAACCTTGGTTAGCAACTTCTGAGCCTTGATGGACAAAGGGAACAGCTGATGTGAAGAAGTTCAAGGTAGCGAGAGAAGAGATCAATAAGAGAGAATAACGCATGGTTGATATCAATAAAAAAAGAGTATAATGTTAGAGAAAGCTGAGAGACCTGGTAGGCTTTATATGTGTATTTGAGTGAAATATGTTGTTTGATTTAAAATTTAGGCAATTAGAGGAATTTTGGTCTCTCTCTCTTTTTCTTTATTTATCTGCTATCTTTCTTTCTCTAATTTGATAGGAGTATAGACATGAAAAGATGAGTCGTCATAGCAATAGATGAACTATGGGCTTGGGTTTTTCCTTTATATTAAATGTCACAAGATAAACTCTTTTTTTTTTTTTTTTGTTTTTTTTTTTTTCCATCAAAGGACAAGTCTACCCCCTTTTTACAACAATTTCGATTTCCCCTGGTTTCAAGCGTGTGTGCTATGCGCTTGATAAATAAGCTAAATATGCATTTTGTCCCTCATTTGTTATACGAATTGAAAAGAATGAGTTACCAATAAGCAAGAGGTGTCTTCTTTTGACTTTAGACTATCTATATTGACCACATCATTCCCAAACTATTTATCGAGATCAAATCTACGTTTCATTCTTTCTATTTTTTGAATTCTATTTCCAACTTGTATTACATTTTAATAGATCGCTCACTACCCATTTTTAGTCAGGTTAAGACTTGTCTTGATAACACTTTAACAATCACTTTTGAGAGTATTGAACCCAGTCCTTTCATTTGTTACACGTGATTATTCAAGAGTTGAGATTAAAGTTTACAGAATTACAAAAGAGTTTATGTGATACAGGCATGCATCTTACATTGATTGCTGCAAATCAAATTCTAGATTTTTTTTTAGCAAAATACGGGGATTTAATGAATTTGCATGTGCCATCTGTTACACTATGTATTCAACACAGAGTTGCCATGGAACAAGTTTGAATGATAATACGTTCGCTACATTCATTATAAAATAGAGACCAAACATGATACTTTATATAACAGTTGAGTGTTATCATTGAACACACGTCATGAATATATATTTGCATGATAAAGCGTGATTACAAAGCACATCCACTTTCAGTTAAAGAACTCGTTGAGCTATTTCGATCTTTAACAAATGAGGAGAGCTTGTTTGAGGGTATCATCATAGGAGTCTATTAACCTCGTGTTTGTTTAAGTATTTTGAGAACCTTCATTCTGACAAGTACTTCCTGGACATAATGGTCAATTAGATTTTGTGGGCTGAGAATGCCACGCGGGACTGAATGGTACCCCAGAATATGTGAAAATGGTTGAGGTAGTACGTGGCCATATAGTTGATGTTCCAATGGCTGAAAAGAGGGTCGTCTAGTGTGACAAGCTTGAATGGGTTTTGCCTGAAGTCTATATATATATATGCTTTGTAATAAAGACTACGTCATTTGTGTATAAGGGAAAGTCTATCTGTGCTGCAGGGTCGATTGGATGCATTTCTCTCTTTCTCTTTCTTTTTAGTGGAAAAACAAGCTTACGTGACTCATACATTCAAGGCACATCTCGTGAAACACGGAGAATAAAGAAAGAAAAATAACCCTGTACTTTATCAATATGCCGGTCATATTGATCCAGAATTTTTATCTCTCTTTTACACGATCAGGTTAATAGTGAGCTGGACAAGCAAAAATATCTTAATAATAAGCCTATTCATCATAACCAATCAGAAGAATCAACATGTTGGATACTGTGAATAGTTTGACAGTAATCTAGTGTTTACTAAAAAAAAAAAAGATCCCAGTTCCCAGTTATTCCTGCTTTTGCGTCCCGTCATACACACAAGACTCAATGGACTATTACTGATCGCGTGTTGTTGTCCATTTCCTATTTCTATCACGCTTAGTTATGGCACTAATTATGATACTATCAAAACGATAAGAAAGAAAATGAATTGAATAAAGTATAGGCCATTTTTTAAATAGAATGCAATGAGGTCAATGGTCAAAACAAAGCAGTGGAGGGTGTACTCAGTACAATTGTAAGTGACAACGGTCCAGCCCGGGGAATAAAATGATAATCAAGCGAAAAAAAAGAGAGGGGGGACAAGTTCCGACATATGATTACAATTATCTATTTTATTTTTAGGTCTTTTTTAATCTCTCTTTTTTTTTCTTTCTTTTTTCTTTTTATAAAAAATAATACATGTTTAAACAATTTACCAAGACACAAAAAGCGCTTTCAGTAGCCACGGCTACTGTAGCTGCTACTAGTTTCGCATATTACATGAATGAAAAGCAGTATAGAAAGAATATCTATCATTCTACTATCCAATTACAAGAAGCAAAGGCTTCTAGTCTACCCAGTTTACTCGTTAGAAACAAAGCATTTGCTGAAGCACTCGATCAAAAACAAGGTGGTCATGACTTTTGGCACTCTCCTTCTCGTGAAGAGATGATCAAACGATTAAAACAAAAAGAGGAATATGATCTACTTGTTGTGGGTGGCGGCGCTACGGGTGCTGGTGTTGCTGTTGATGCTGCTACACGTGGATTAAAAGTCGCCTTGGTAGAGCGTGATGATTTTGCTTCAGGTAACATCATTTTGTCATCCTTTTGTGCTTATCTCCAACTGTTTATCGGTAGGTACTTCTTCAAGATCAACAAAACTTGTTCATGGTGGTGTTCGTTATCTTCAAAAGGCTATCATGGAATTAGATTATGAACAATACAAGTTGGTCTGTGAAGCACTTCACGAACGAAAAATCTTTTTGGATATCGCACCTCATCTCTCGGATCAATTACCTATTATGCTTCCCGTTTATAAGTAAGTTTTTAGCGCCTTGCTAATTTTTTTTTGGTCTTCGGGAAATACGAGTTGTGCTGACATAATTATTATTCCAGGTGGTGGCAGATACCTTATTATTGGGTGGGATGTAAACTGTATGACGCATTTGCTGGACGTGAAGCACTAGAAAGTAGCTACTTCTTGACACGCTCAAAGGCCCTGGAAGCTTTTCCTATGCTTAGAAAGGATGAACTTGTAGGCGCTCTTGTTTATTATGATGGTAAATACATTACATCTATATACGTCAAGTGTAGCGGAGATTTAAATTTAGTACTTAGGTCAACACAATGATGCAAGAATGAACGTTGCATTGGCCATGACAGCTGCTTGCTATGGTGCCACAGTCGCCAATCACTGTGAAGTTGTCAACTTGACAAAGGACGAAAGCGGTTTCGTCAATGGTGCCATTTTAAGAGATAACTTGAATGGTGACGAGTGGACAGTAAAGGCAAAGGGCGTCATCAACGCAACAGGCCCATTTTCTGATAATATTCGAAAGATGGACAATCCTCAAGACATGGACATTGTCGCTCCTTCAGCTGGCGTACACATTATTCTTCCCAACTACTATAGTCCAAGAAACATGGGCTTGTTAGATCCTGCTACAAGTGATGGTCGTGTCATCTTCTTCTTACCCTGGCAAGGCAACACTATTGCCGGTACAACAGATTCCCCTACTGAAGTAACTCAAAACCCTATGCCTAAGGAAGATGAAATTAATTGGATTTTGGATGAAGTCTCTCATTACTTGAGTGCAGGTACGTGTGTAGTTGAGAAAGAGAAAGAACAAGATTCTTAATGCAATGATGTACAGATGTCAAGGTGCGTCGTAGCGATGTCCTTGCTGCCTGGTCAGGTATTCGTCCTCTGGTCCGTGATCCAGGAGCCAAAAACACTGAATCTCTTGTCCGTAACCATATGATTAATGTTAGCGAAAACAAATTACTCACTATCGCCGGTGGTAAGTGGACAACCTATCGTGCAATGGCTGAGGAAACCGTCGATCGTGCGATCCAAGTTTATGGCTTGAAGCCCAAAAAGACATGTCAGACTGAAGAAACCATGTTAATCGGTGCTGAAGGATACACCAACATCATGTTTATCCGCCTCGTTCAAGAATTTGGTATGGATACCGAAGTTGCTCAGCACTTGGCTCGTAGCTACGGTAACAGATCTTTCAAGGTTGCCGAGATTGATGATCCTACCAACGCCATGTGGCCCAAATACGGTAAGCGTATTTCACCCAACTATCCTTACATCGAAGCAGAAGTTCGCTACACCGTTCGTCAAGAACAAGCCTGTACAGCTGTTGACGTCTTGGCACGTCGTACCCGTCTTGCCTTCTTAAACGCTGAAGCTGCCTTACAAGCTCTTCCCCGTGTTGTTGACATTATGGCAGAGGAGTTAAAGTGGGACGATAAGCGCAAGAAGGAGGAAATCACAAAGGCTACCATTTTCCTTCATACCATGGGTCTCGCCAATGATAAAGTGGATCAACCTTCAGGAAACTAAAATATAAATGTACGTGTGTGTGTGTTTGTGTGTATAAAGACGATAATGTTTAGATGCCGTTTTCTCTTTCTTTTTGCAATAAATCTTGTAATATTTTTTTCCATCCAAGGCCAACCTTCACATTGGTACACTAAAAAGAAGGGATTAAAAGGGTGCGTGACCTATAAACCAGTGTAACATTGTTAATCTAATCTAATATTAGAATCACTAGGTGACATATTCTGACAAGGAGGCACACATGTCTAACAAATATCTAATGACACCAAGTACGACATTTCCACAAAAAAAAAAGAGCCCACTTTTATGTAAATTGTAATACAAGTTTATTACTTTTCAAGTTTTTGCACAGCAACACGACAAGAATAGTCACATAACTTTATATCGTCTTTTAAGCACTGCTCAAGCTCTTTTAAGTATTGAGTACATTCCTCTGCTGCCTCAAGTCCCATGATTAATTTGACTACGGGTAGAATACTCCTACTAGGCTCAAAATAATCATACTTGATCTTTTCAGCTGTGCTTCGGCTGACATGGTCTGTCATTCGATTAGAAATTATTCAATGATGCTTTTAGTGTACAAACTTCCGCTAAAGCTTCTGGTAACTACTCCAAGCACTTCAGCATTGTCATTCTCCAAAAACAGATCCTTTAATTTTAAAGCTATCTCTGGATCTTGGTCTCTTGCTTGACTGGCTGTATGAACTGTTGTAAGCGCTACTTTAAATACTTGTTTTCTAGTATTACAAGTTTGAGCACTTACTTGCAGCAACAAGTTTATAAAAAGGTACCAGGCCCTTTTCTGGTAGCTAAGAGAAAGAGAGAGATGTCAGCATATTTTTGTGCGTTTTATCAATCATTTTAACTTACTTCCAAGTTGGGTTCTTGCAATGCACCACGCTACTTGATTTTGTAACACGGAGTATTTCCTTAATGACAATCGGCCATTCTTCTTTAGTTAATGCAGCGATCAATGCTTCCATATAAACAAAGCCAAACGTATTATCTTCATATGACAGTCCTTTAACAACGGTGCCACGCTTGAAAATAAGTTGATCTTTCTTTGGATTTTGATCAATGGTATATGTGATGTTACACCCATGATATGTGCAGTTGGGGTGGTCAGCCACCATGTCCTATTGGCTGTTGTTAATCGAGATGTCGCTATTAAAGCTATTTTTTTTTTTACTAGTATCCAAATACCAGGGCCGCAGCCTATGTCGAAGATAGTAACTCCTTTTTCAAAGTCGAGGATTTCTATTATACTAGAGTCAATGTTTCTGAAACAAAAGTATATCAGTTTAGGTTAACTTGCCATTGCAAGCGAGTATAGTTACCCATTAAAAAGGTCTCTTTGCCCATAATGTTGCTGGCTCAAAAAAGTAAATAGGATTGCATGATATTATGTACTCCTTACCACGACCAACCTCTTTTATTCATCATTGTCTATTGGTAACCAATAGCTTGCAGCCTTTTCATCATGAAATAGTTTCTCTGCGGCTATATCGTCATAGGTGATGATATTTGCTGATACAATTGTCAAATCAGCCTCTATGTTCTTTATTACTGTCCCAGGTGCTTTATATTTTCTAAAGGCAGCCACAGCAAAAGAAAAAAGAAGAGAATGAGTAAACCTTTTAAGTATGCATTTTATATGACAGCAATTACTGCTGTCACGCTTAATAGTCTCGTAGACACCTGTATTTGTCACTTCAAAGGATTGTTGAAGTTTTCGCAGAAGAGAAGACGTTATTTTTATTACTAAATTTCTGTGAAGTTACTTACTTGCTCCTTTAGTAGCAAGTAAAATACGCTGCTATATCACTGGCTCATTTCTCGATTTTATGAACAAGAAAAGTATTGCCTATAGGACAAAACCAACCCTCTTTGCTAAATGATTGCTTTCAGATCGGTCGTCTTTTGATGCTCTTCAGCATCCGCTTAATATGAGCAATGGTAATGACCTGATGTGCCTTTCTATTTTGCTGTAAAATAAAGACTCCACTTTCCATGCAATTCATGGTTCGTACAAGCCATTAAGAGCGGATAATAGATAAGAATTTCGTAGCATGCTGTTTCCCTGGTAGATAGAGTCGCGATGGAATTTAGATTAAAAACTAGCAGCAAGATTAAAGATGGTAAGATGATAAAATAGAAGCGCCATTTTCTGAAACAGATACAGGTATTGTATGATTATAAGACTTAACTTGACAGTAGGCTTGCATAATAGAAACCTTCCAAGCGAATGTACGGTCTGATATACAAAATAAGGGTTATTACGTTTTCTTGAATACCATATATGGAATATACGATCATCTTACAAGGAGAAGCTTCCAGTTTCAAGATAGTACAGGCTAAACTATATCTTTTGATTGAGAAGTATGGCAAATTAAGCTTTCAATCTAATTCCTATACATCTTTAGATATCAGTTGTGGCTCTTTTTTAGATAAAGGCGAAAATATTTCCTGAGTGATCAGATAAAGGATATCCTGCATTACTAACCAAAGATTAAAGTTATCAATATATAAAGTAATATCAGAGACACATATTCCCAGAATTGCGGTTGGAAATGAAAATGAATATAAGGAGGAGTCAAACATAAGGAGGGGCAAAGGGAAAATGTAGAAATAGACAGAGAGAGGGAAAGTGAGGGTATGAGACAATGATTGGGGTCTTTAATAAAAGATAACGTGCTGCTTATATAGGTAGCAGCTTCTAGACTCATGGTACAAAAAGAGAAAGATGATATTGATTTATATAAGCAAGATCAAGGAACAGAGATGGAGGTAAAGAAAAAGGGAGCAAGTAAATCTCAGGGAGACTTGAAACATTACATTTTTATATAAAATGATACCAAGTGAACATGCTATTTCCTTCTTTCTTTCAAGAAACTCATTTGTATTTTTACTTTAGACTTATGGTGCAGATTGACTATTTAAAAAGCTGTGTTGTTACCATTATCTTGTTATTTATTGTATCAAATGCTTTGCCGGTAAACGACGGCCCAGAGTATTCGCTCAAGAAAGGTAAATCGCCTCAACACAGGCATAGAAAGGCGACCACTACGACAACAACAACAAGAAAAAGCACGGCAACCACAGGATTGACGTCTAGTACTACAACGGAAACAAGCGTTAAAGTGACAACAACAACATCGACATCAACGATTACTACAGAATCGAAAACTTCTGCCAGAGCTTTGACAAGTACTGCCATTACTACTACTACTACTACTACTACTACCTCTACAGCAAAAACAACACCTCCGTCAAAGACATGGACCGGTATCTTTCCTACTTCATCTCCAACCTACTATCCCGATTTCCCATTTGGTGGTGTTGCAGAGCAGGTTCCTGTACCTACAGGCCCTCTTGTTAGAGCAGCTTTAAACATAAAGCCATACCCAAAACTGTACACGACAGCTGATACCACACATCCAGAGGTAAAAGCAGTTATTGACTCAATTGATTGGAATTATGTGCCCAATATCCCCGTTCGGTCTCCCGAAGGCAGTGATAACTACGACTACAACAAAGACCCAGATTGCTGGTGGTCACAAACAGAGTGTACAACGCCCAAAGTATCTTATCTTCCAAAGGATGTTTCTTACTGCACGAATCCAGGTGATTTTGGCTTGGTATGTTCAAAAAGAATGACTCTTCACTGGTTGATTAACGCTCACTAAATAGACATACGACGATGGTCCATTGAACCCAACAGTTGAAGATGACCCTTGGGCAGAACCGCGTCTTTATGACTTCCTTGCACAGCAAGACCAGAAGGCCACTTTATTTTGTATGTATACGAATTTCATGAAATATAAATAGTTCTAATTTGTATGTGACAGTTGTCGGATCCAATGTTGTTGCTTTTCCTCAAGCAGCCAAGCGCGCGCTTCAAGCTGGCCATACAATCTGTGCTCATACATGGTCTCATCCTCAGATGACAGCCGTCTCAAATGAAGTAGTCGTTGCTGAGCTTTATTGGAATATACGAGCCATCAAGGAAGCAACTGGTGTGACAACCCGTTGTTGGAGACCTCCATTCGGCGATGTGGATGACCGCGTACGTGCTATTGCTCATCAGATGGGCCTATCAACCATTATATGGGACAGCGACTCGTTTGATTGGAAGTTACCTTCATCAGCTAATGGTTATGCTGGTACCTATAATGACAGCACCGTAGACGGTTTCTTTCAAGGTTGGATAGATAAGCGAAAGAATGGTCAAGATACTAAAAGGGGCCATATCGTACTGGAGCATGAAACGAGCGATATGACCATTAAGGTGACTGAGCGTTGGTTACCTCAACTAAAGCAAGTCTTTGACGTCAAGAGAGTACATGACTGTGCTCCACAGCTCCCTAGTCCTTATTGGGAATCATAACCATTTTGAATAAACTTGAAATTCCGCTCTATTTGACTTCACGTCAATTTTTTTATTTTATTTTTTTCTTGCAAGCATAAAGATGGATTTAGTCAATAATTATGGATCTAGCGATGAAGAAGATACTATAAAGGATAAGCCTACTAGTTCATCACTAACTGTTAATGCAGCGCCAGAAACAGGATTTGACGTAATACTACTCCTTCTTTTTATATTATTTCTAACATCATTTTAGGATTATACAACAGGCTCATTATACACTGCACCCACTGCAACTGAACTCACAGTCAATGTGACATATGATGATCTCAATCGACCTATTTTGGGTCCTCAAAATCCTTTTAGAGAACAACAATTGGCTATACAAAATATACCTAATGGCCATGTGGAGGAACAAGCAATATCTGAAATGGACTTTAGAACACAGTTTCGTACTTTTGAGACCTATGGTTACGCTCGTGATCCATCTCTTCTTTCTGGTACAGTAGAAACAGGATATGTCGGCAACTTGAATCAAGCATCTAAGCTAGGAGGAGCCAGCATTCACGATCGAGTCAATAAACAATTGCGAAATAATAAAGATGCTAGAAAGAAACGTGAAAGCAAGGGAAAATTGGAAGAAGTAGAGGGACCTGATGCTTATAAGGGACCATGGGCTGGATACGAAGATGATTATGTGGGTGTTCCAGGTGGAGGCGATTACGAAGAAAGCGAAGAACAACAGACACAGGAGCAAGATCAACAGCAACAAAAGAATATCACTGTCAGAAATATTGCTCAACAGTCAGAGACAGAGTCAACCATCTTTCATGGAGCATCAGAACATGATTATTTGGGACGAACCTATATGGCAGTGCCTCAAGATGTGGATGTCAATTTGAATGGAGAACCAGGCACTCAAGAATGCTTTATTCCAAAAAAGTTGATTCACACCTGGGAAGGACACGAAAAGGGCGTATCAAGCATCAAGTTTTTCCCCAAGTCTGCTCATCTCTTGTTAAGTGCGGGTATGGATAATCAAATCAAGGTAAAGTTTTGTCTAAAATTCAAAGAGAGGTTTGACTGATAGATGTTCTAGATTTGGGATGTGTACCATGACAGAAGTTTATTACGTTCATATCACGGACACACCAAGGCAGTTCGGGATATTACTTTCAATAATGACGGTACAAAATTTCTGAGTGCAAGTTATGACCGTAACATCAAGTTATGGGATACAGAAACTGGTAAATGTATCCGTACCTTCTCTACTGGCAGGATACCTTACTGTGTTGCATTTAATCCTGATTTCAACAAGCAGCATATATTCTTGGGTGGATTTTCGGATAAGAAAGTGGTTCAATTTGATACCAGAACTGGTGAGATCACTCAAGAATATGATCAGCATCTGGGTGCAATCAATACAATCACATTTGTGGATGATAATCGTCGATTCATTACGACTTCAGATGATAAAACAATGCGTGCATGGGAATTTGATATTCCTGTTGTTATCAAGTACATTGCTGAACCAGACATGTATGCTATTCCATCAGTCACTGTGTCTCCCAACAGTAAGTAGTTCATAATAACTTGAAAAAAAGATCTAATCATGGGCAATATAGAAAAATGGCTCGCCTGTCAGTCCTTGGATAATCAAATTCTAATTTATGGAGCGCGAGACAGATTTAGGATTAATAGAAGAAAGCGATTTGCTGGACACTTAATTGCAGGATATGCATGTAAACCAGGATTTTCACCTGATGGCAGATTCATTAGCAGTGGTGACTCAAATGGTAATGTTTGGTTCTGGGACTGGAAGACATGCAAGATTTTGAAAAAGATGAAGGCTCATGATAGAGTTGTGATGTGTACCGAATGGCACCCACACGAGACCTCCAAAGTGGCTACGTGTAGTTGGGATGGTTTAATTAAATATTGGGATTAAATATGCTTTATTATCATGAATCCGTTTGCACTTGTATTGAGTGTGATACCTTATTCGACTGTTTGTTTTGCTCAGCTTGTAACTGTTCCAGCTGCATCTTTATCTTTAATTTCTCTTGTACTTCTCTATGCATACGTTGTTCATGAGTTAATTTTATGTCGGACATAAGCATTCTAAACTCTTTCCGTAGTTGAGTTGTATTGCCAGCTGCACCGTGTCCAACCTTTTTCATTCTTTCTTCAATCAACTGCGACTCAAGCTGGTGAATGCTTGTCCTTAGTTGATCAACTGTCCTTTCATACTTCATTCTGTTTGAATCAAATTCCATGGCAGTTATTGTAAGTTCATCGTAATTGTTTAGTAGGGTATCAAAATTTCTTTCTGTCGTCGCCTTCTGTGCCCTCCACATCATTTCTCGTTTATCCAACATAGCTTGTACATTCTGTGCCGCATCATTTGGCGACTTGAGTTCTTCTTTTAGTCGTGTAATCTTCCAGTCTCGTTGATCGATCATCCGTGTCTTTTCAACAATAAGATGATCCAATTGCTTTACCTTCTCTTCAAGTTGCTTGCATTCTTGAGCAATCTGCTTATATTTTTCTGTGTTTTGCTCTACCAGTCGTCTTTGTTGATCTATATTAGATTCAAATCGTTTGGCTAATTCCATCAGTTGTTGTTTATATGGATTGTCTGATGAAGATGATGATGTAGATGCTGCTTGTGTTTTATGTTTCTCTTGTTTCCATTTTGTTAGCTGTGCAAGTTCGCTTTGGTATTGTCTTAGCTCAGACATGTAAGCGTTCTTCTTTTGGGTATAAAACGAAGCGTGCATCCATAATGCACTTAGCATCGTATCCATGTTTGTCAGTTTAGTTAGTAATAAATTCTTTAGCCGTTTTACATGATCAAGCTCGAGTGGTGTCAAATTAGGATCTTTGTTTAGCGATGACAAGCTTTGATCAGCAATCCGTAGTAAAGTAAGAGGGTCTTTATTTTGGGTAGAGCAGTGGCAATATCTTGATACAATCTCATGTAGTTTACTCAATATCTCCTGTTTTTCTATTTCGCCATCCCCTTCGTCTTCTCCTCCTTTTGTAGCTGTCTGCATGCCCTTGTTTAAAACACCTGCTGTGTGCTTTAGTAGGCTCTCCTTGATGTCAAACGCCTTTGCGGAAAGATATTCGTACTTTTGGATCAATTCGTTTAATCTTAGTTCGTTCGTCTGTGTTTGTCGTTGCAGATACAGCATGGAATCTCTACTGTTGTTCATGTTGCCTAGTGATCTGGATATATTTTTTATTCGTGTTTCAAGTTGAATGTTTCTGGATATCGTTGATATGTGGTCGCAGAGGTCCTGATATTCTTTTTTGAGTAGTTCAACTTGTTCAAAAGAGAGAACTTCAAAGTCATTTGAATCTAATGTAGCTTGAGATATTAACAACTGGGTAAACATGTCATTCTGCACAAGCGTTGTAGGTGGAGGTAATTCTTCAATAGGCTTCATGTGCCACATGTCGTCAAGCTCTAAAGCTAGGCTCCACCTCTGATCATCAGTTACAACTATTTAATAAGTTACTATTTTATATATGCAACATTTCGTTGTTCTTACTGTTTATCGGACGATGTTGAGCTTTACTGAGTTGAGAGTCTCTTATACGAAGTGGTGATCGAGAGGGTAAGAGTGGAGAGGTGGGCATATTTTATTCGATGAAAAGAAAAAGCAGTAAATTAAGGTGTGTGACCAAAAAGAAATATTATACCACGTTTTTCTCTTCTTTAACAATATACACACACATACACACACTAAATATATTGTGTGTATGTGATCTATCAACATAGACAGTTAGACAGCCAAAAGGTGACCAGGCTTACAAAAGGAGGGGATCTTTTTTTTTCACCTTGCTTCTAATTAATGTAACATTAATTTAACAAGGGGTAATTCTTTATTTTTCTATTCGTCTTTTCTAGTTAATTATATTCAATATCTAATTCTGTTTTATCATTTTACACAATTGGATCATTTTGAGATCAACCTTAAGAATAAGCACTGATGTATTCTTCATAAACCAATTATATCAAAGAACTATTTTAATAGCTACTGCCACACAGTTAAACCTAATTTAACAGTTGACACATTTAATAAAGAGGTATACTCATCTACAAGCCCCGTCATGAAAAAATCAGATATGGTGCAATAATTCGTACAACATCAAGCATTGTCTTTCATATTGTACAATGCTATGAATAAAATATTTTACTGCTCCATACGTAAAAGGAGTAAAAGAGAGAAAGAGGGCATTGTGATCTTGTTAGTCAAATGATGACTTTCATTATTAATTACAATAGATACTATACAACCCTAGTGTAACTCCATTCCATCAGATCTTTCCCTTCCCTATCTCTGAACAATGAGTGAGTTTGAAAGGGTGGGTATCCCAGGGTTCACAGCTAGGCTTAAAAAAAGGTAATGTTCAAGCCTCCCAGTTTTGGATGCTTTGTCTTAATATGGGTTAATGAAAGCAATAACTGGGTCAGCCACATGGCTTCCCCACCAATGATTATATATTTAAGCGTAACACTTGCTTTGTAAAACTGATGAACCTTAATCGGCTTAGACCGCCAGCCTCTTTCTCTCTCTATCTTTCTTTCGGTCTTGTAGCAATTATAATGTTTGAGAATCATCAGATAGAATAAATTTGGTACTAGTTATGTTTTTGAGGGGAAATGCGGCTCTAATCGCGTGCTTTTGGTTATCAGTGTAAGGTTTGGATATCTCCAGATTTCCGCGACACCGGCCAGGAAGGCTCTCCCTAAATGACGGTTTGTGTGACTCAAGATCTGCAAGTTTATACATAAAAGGAGAATGCTCCATGGTAACCAGACATCATATGAGCTGATAGAAAGAATCAAAAAGTAAAGTTACGTAAGCCTAAGCGAATGAAAAGCCTTAGAGTTGAGTTATAGTTACACGCATATAGAAATTATTTTTAGAATTAGAGAATCAAGCTCGAATATAAAAATAGAAACAAACCATCATCATGCTTGAAAGAAAGACTTTACATTGTCGAGTACAAAATCAAAGCCTCCCCTGAATGTTCGACTTCTTAGATAATTAATTGCATCGCATTATTAATTATCGCGCGGTTGTATAAATATCGCCTCTTCTTTTTTCTTTTCCTTGTTTATTTTTCCTATAATGTCGTTTTATGATTCATATTTCTATTACTTGCCTCAAGATCAATTTATAATATCAATGAATCAAGATTTCTATTGTCAACAACATAATAACCAATCACAACAACAACCACAGCAACCACAATTGCAACCACAATTGCAACAACCACAACCACAACCACAATTGCAACAACAGCAATCATTGCAACCTGTTTTGCCTCCGTATGATATCAATGCATTGTTAATGGATGATCCATTTTCTACTGATTTGATATCCACTCCTCAATTGTATTATTCCCCTTCTCTTCATGAAGAGTCAACTTATGTGCCACAACATCAAGATCAGCACCAACAGCAACAACAATGGCTTAATAATTCACCAATGTCACACCAGTGGTTTGATCCGCCTGTCGGCAACATATTAGAAGAGCAAGAACAAAGAAAAGAAACACCGCTCAATGAAAAAAAATACGTCTGTCCGATATGTCATCATAGATCAAAACGAAGACACAACATGGTTGAACATATGCAGACACATGATCCAAACAGGCCCAAGTTATTCTCTTGTGGTATCTGCCAACGTCCCTTTGCTAGAAAATATGATATGAAGCGTCATGAAAAGATTCACCTTAAGAAATAATAATGAAATTATGCTGTAGATGGATTGTATGTATTTGTGATTATATGAATTGTTATTATATGCGTGTGTATATATGCTCCCTTCTTTTTTTTTAACTATTGTATTCCCTTAAGTTGTGTATATTATTTATTATGTTTCTTTTTCTGTATGAATGTAGCTTTTATGTATCCTATACTATTGTTTATTTTATTTTTCGTCTTTAAATAAATCTTCATCGTCCCATCCTTCTTTATCTGATAATGTTAAATCAATATCTTCTTCTTCTATTGGTTTACTTTTTTCCTTTTTCTCATCCGTCTTTTTCTCAAGGTTCTCATCTATGTCTGGTATGTCAAGCTCATCATCATCATCCCAGCCCTCTTTATCATTGTCCACTTCAGGTATTTCTATATCATCGTCATCATCCCACCCTGTTGTTACCTCTTCTTCATCATCAGGGCTATATGCCAATTTGTTCATCAGGGTCTGCACCGGGGCCTGGGCTATTATTGTTGATACAGCCGCGGATGATGTCGTTGTTGGAATTGGTGCCTTTGTTGGTTCAGCGTGCATAATGGTTTCAATTCCAGACAAATTCACAGGTGGTTGTCCAGATTTTATCTCCTCTATATTGGTTCTCCTTAATTCTGTATCAGCAAACAAGGCGCATAACAAGTGTTCAAGCTCTGATTTGGCAAACATATGTAATTGTCCGCGTCGGAAGGCATCCATAATCTCTCGCATACTCATTTCCAAGATATCCTTCAACAACCAAAACTTTTGCCAGTTAGGTACCAGCTGACTTACATAAGAATCTGTAGCCTCCCCATGCTTCGGGTGGTCAAATACACCAACCAATTGGGCAACACTATTTAATGTACGTGCTATAACGTGTGATTCTTCTGCTCCTATATCCGTCAAGTCTTCAATGTCTCCTATCAGTCGATTCAACAGACTGTCGATGACGCGACCAAGAATGTCTGTAAAAACGCGTATGTCGACTACAGGTCGAATGGTGGCTGCAAATGAGTGAGCAAGTTGAATGACCTCTGACATCGTCTGATCCCACGCTTGCTGCACTTTTGTATCCTCCGCGCCCCCCACAAATCCATCAAAACGGTCAAGACATCGCTGAATTTTGTCCATACATTGCATCATACAAAGTTCATGCCAGGCTTTGCCTAGTTCTTCTAATCGCTTCAACGCTTCATGTAGGGTATTCTTGATAGCTGGGTATCGTCGAGCTGTCCATTTGAGTTGATTAGCTAACCAGAAGCAGTCGTTTCGAAATACAAGTGCACTGGCTGGGTTAGACAGGAACTGGGGTCGATGATAGCTAGGCATAATCGCACGGTATAGATCAAGCAGATCCTGTACTCCTTCAGTAAGTTGTGTTGCTGAAACAGGATGCTGCTGCTCAAGTTCAAGTGTTTCCGCTAGAGTGTCTGAAATTAAGACAGATAATAATTGCGGAGACTGTGTGATCTGAAATTCCTGTACCTGCCCATCTTCTAACTCAATCTGGGTTGGTTCTGCATCATATAGCTTTCGAAGTATGACTTTCCTTCCTTCCTTTAGTATGATCTCTCTTCGCTTTTTGGCATAGTGTCTATCAATATTTTCAGCAAATGTTCTCAGTGGGTTCTCCAAAAGATCAAATCCACACTGCTGACATGTTTGCTCAAACGAAATAATGGATTCCATGACATGATCAAAGCTTGAAAGTTGATGTCGAGAAGATGGCACGGCAGGTACAACACTTTTTGATAGCATAAGGTTCATAAGATCCGGTAGAAACAGGCACCCAAAGAGTCGGGTCATTTCGTTCTTTTTGTGATTGAATAGATGCTCAAAGAAAAATAACAGCATGTTGTTGATACGATCAATCATGGTCACTGGATCAATTCTATAGCTGGCACCTTCTTCTTCCTCGTAAAGCAGTTTTTCGATTGTCAGAATAGCTTCCTCATCAGTATGTTTGCTCTCCACTGTACACCGGCATCCACATTCAAAATAAGGGTCGATAATGTGCTTGAATACAATTCGTTTTATGCTCATAAGCTCCTCAGTCAATCGTCCTAATTTGTTGAAACTGGTAAATACACACTCTAGATCCCCTTTTGTAACCTTGACTGTTCTTTCTTCAAAATGAACAATGGAATGTAGGGCTTCCTGTAGTTGATTGACAATATGGTTGTTCGCTTGATTTACTTTGTGTTTGATGAGATCGGCGGTACTAGTGGGTAAGTTTGTAGGCATCTTTACGGTCTGTAGCTGATCCACTGCCTTCATAAACTGAGATTGTCGTGTATTCTCTTGCACGGACTCTAATGTTTCCAAAATCTGAATAATATCCTCCAAGATGTTGACCTTGCTTTTGCCAAGTTGAGCATTGTAAAGAGCTTGACTGTATTCATCATGTGTCGACTCCACTTGTGAGTGTGTTTGAGATATACTATCATATCTTTGCTCTACAGAAGCACAAAGCTCACGACTTTTAGCTGTAATATCTTGTACGGTTTGGTAGGAAGTCGAAAACGGGTCAAGATGCTGTTGAACGTACTGATAAAGCTCGCTTTGAAGTGAAGTATATTTTGCATCCAAGTGAGAAAGAACTTGAGTCAGTGTGGTCTTATCAACAGACGTGTCAAGTGTGTTGTCTATTGGTTGTTCGTTGTAAAGAAGTTGTGATAAAAATGCCTCATGCAGCTGTTGAATGGGTGGCATAATTTAGAAAAAGGGAAGAGAGAGGGCAGTTGCTGTAATTCAATTTTTTTTTCTTTCTCTATTTAATCATGGTCATTGCTTCAAGATCACTCATTTGGTCACCGCATGGACAAAATCAGTTTCTATGTGGAGGAACAGAGCTCAAACTTTATGAATGGATACCCGAAGTAAAGCATTTAAAAGAAAATATTTATATTTTGCATAATTCACAAACTGAAAAAGAAGAGAAACCATTATAGACATATGAATCACAAGGAAGAGTTCGTTATATTTCAACCATACCAGAAATCACACTCATGATGGTATTTAGACACCAAACCATTAAAGTCAATACTAAATTTTACTCTAGTGTGCTGACTGGTCTCCTGATCCCAACTGCCCAGACCTTGTCGCTGTAGGCCTAACCACGGGTCGAACCCTCCTTGTACGTATGCAAGAACATGCTCTGACGGAGTATCCTAGCTCGGAAAGTGTGATCAATCAACGTATACTTCCTAGCAAATATCCTTCCTTAGGTGTCAAGATGTCAAGAACCAGTAACGTTGTTTCTTTTTCAAAGACACATCCACATCTGTTAGCTGTGGGTCTTGATAAGGTCAGAAATGAACCATGTCTATTTGTCTGGGACATATCTCGATCCATGGAGAGTTATACACCAACAGGATCTCAGACACCGATAATAACAACATTCAGAGATGCTCCAAGATCGACGCGATCTATAGATATTCATGAAGGTATTTAGACATTTGTTTTACTGCTGACAAAAAAAGGCTGATGTATTATTACCATAGATAGGTCAAGATATAACGACTTGTCAGTCAGTGGACCTACGTAATATGACAATAATGGGCAGCGTTGATCATTATTTAACAATTTGTATAGGTCTAGGGAAGCAGGACCTATTCGACAATATGGTTCATCTGAAGTGATTTCTTCATGCGCTTGGTCTGAACATGCTAGTGCTCCTATCTTGATCGCTGGTATGGCTAATAAATATCTTCGTGTGTACGATATTCGATCAGACACCAATTCTCTCCAGTTCTCAACAAAGGCTGTCTACGGAACGACCATTGATCCTTTCAACCCTTATCGTATCGCTTCTTATACAGAAGAAGGTGTCATCAAGATTTGGGATACACGTAAGCATACTGATGCCGTATTGACACTCAATCCAGAAACGAAGAACAACATATCCAAGATTGTCTTTTCACCTGCTCAACGAGGCCTTTTAGCGTCCTTGAGCAAAGATGCACAACAGATGCATCTCTGGGATATTCAGGAAACGTGTTCATTGCAGTCTGCTGTAAATAACACGTCTGTCAAACAAAAGCGAGGTGATGAAGATTTGGGAATACCTGTCCTTTGGAAGAGTAGGAAGACGAGGTCCAGTACAAGGCCATTTGCATCGTTCACATTCATTCCCAAGATGGGTAAAGGAACACCTCCGCAGTTACTCGGCGTTCATACAGATGGTAATTTTGAGGCTGTGAAGGTAGAAGAAACCAGTCAGATGGCTTGGCAACCGACAGGTGGTGTTATAGTAGCAGGAAGAAAGGGATTGCTAGCCTGTCAGCCTACATCTACCTTGGATGAAAAAATGACTCAGCTTAGTTTAGACAAGGAGGACAGGTAAGGAGCTTACTCTTGTTTTGTTCTTTTTATTAAACCTTGTCTAGAACGCATCAACCCATCGACATGAGTCAATCAATTCAACAAAGTACAAATTATCTATTGGCAGAAGAGCTGGAAAGAGACATATCTGTCATTATGAGAAAGCGGCTACTGGAGGGATATTCCATGGATGTAAGCTATATTTTACCTTAAAAAAAAAAAAAATACTAAATGACCATAGTGTGAAAAAAATCTAAAAATTATAAAGCATGATCGGTCGTTACGAGAACTTTGGACGTGGATGAAGATTGCAGATCAAATTGCCCCAAAGCTATCAAAAGTTGGTAATATTGACTATAGCTTTCATGGTGTTTATGGTATCTGGATGGGATCTCACAGCCGTCAAAAGTCATCATCACCTGCCGCCACTCCTCGTCTGTCATCTCCCAGATTATCCAGAGAGCCTTCTACGCAAAGTGTCAAGGATTTGTTTGGTAGTGGTGGCGATATGCCAATGGTAGAGACAGCCAGGGTTTTACAACGAAATATTGCACTTATTGCTTGTGGATTAGCACTTAATAATGATGAATTTGAGGTTGAGCTGAGATCGTAAGTGTATTGGACATGTGTTGTAGAAAGAAAGAGATCTAATATAAAATATAATCCAGTCTTGAACTAAAGGGAGAGTATGACAAGGCTGCTGCATTGGCACTGTTTCATGATAAATTGGATAGGGCTATCGAAGCATTAAATAGTTCAAGAGGCAAAGAGGGTAAAAGCGACACACTTTTATTGCACATGATATTAAACAACATATAGATCAGCAACGAAAATTGATGTCTGCTATTCTGGCTAGTTATCAATCAGGAACTACAACAGACACCTGGAAGAGTATATGTGAATCTCTTTGTGTTGATATGGTCGATCGTCCCTATTTAAAAGCTATCTTTGCTTATATCGCCTCTGATGACTGGTTTCGAGTATTGGATGAGCCTGGACTGCCTTTAAGAGAAAGAATGGCTATTGCGTTGAGGATATTGGACGATGATCAGGTTTGTTATAAGAGCAAAAAGACGCTGTGAATAATAACATGTGTTTGTTTTATACAGATGACGGATTATTTGAATAGAACCGTAGATAAAGCTATTGAGAATGGAGACGTAGAAGGAATTGTTGTTACTGGACTGACATTGAAAGGAATTGATATATTAGAGAAAGCACTTGATAAATATGGTGATGTTCAAACAGCTAGTCTTGTCATGAGTTTTATTGTACCCAAACGGTTCAAAGACCATAGAGTAGAAGACTGGGTAGAAAAGTAAGGGAAAAAATATTTCGTTTTGATGTTGATGACTCATATCCTTTAGTTACCGTTCTCTCATGGATCGATGGCAATTATGGCATGAAAGAGCAAAATTTGATATACAAAGAGGAAAGCGCATGAATTCAAGTGAAATTGCACCACCTCAAGTTTATGTTCGCTGTAATCACTGTGCACAATCTTTGGGGCACAGTCTCGTGATACAAAACGCAAGAAATAGAGAAGGAAAGAGAATGAATGTGCAAACAAGTAATCCTGGCGGAAGAGCCAGTAGTAAGCAAAAGGTAATGCATATACCTAGATGACATTCACTCTAACCGATACATTAGAGTACGGTATGTCCAAGCTGTAGGAAACCATTGCCTCGATGTGCTCTTTGTCTTTTACATATGGGTACGCCTGTGGACCAGCTAAGACAAACTATTATGACCAATGATACACATAACAGTAAGATACTATATACAAAATGATACCTATTTTACTTAATAATTTATATAGTTGACCCTGCAGGATTCGATCTCTGGTTTACTTGGTGTCAAACATGTAGACATGGTGGACATGCTATTCACATGTTTGAGTGGTTCCAAAAGCATTCGACTTGTCCTGTAAGCAATTGCTCATGTCAGTGCCAAGTATAGATTGCCTTTTTTAGAATAAAAAAGAACAGCTAAAACCTTTTATTTTTTATCTTTTTTTTTCTTTACTTTTTTATTTATGACTATTTTACCAAAAACTCCAACAGATATTGATATCTCTCAACTGACATTGATCCATGAAATGGATGATATATCTCTGTCAACACTCTATGACGGGGACTTGGGTCAAGGCACATTGCAGATAATGATACACTCTTTACAAAAGCTGCTCGTGCTTTTATTCAATAACAAACACAAGATTATATTGGCATCCAATTCGAAAGCATGGTTGAATGAGGATGAGATTATGGTACCCTTAGTCGAAGGAGGCCTGTGGAAAATAAAGTGCTGGTAAATAAGATGATTATAAGCTGCATAAGACTCAAAAAAAAAATGGATAGCAACTCAGATCAATTAGATGAATTACAAGATATCTTGACCTTTTTTATAAAGTACGAAAACAGACATAGTATCAAAAATACGTTGGCATTAGTGGATCCTGTATCTTGTAAAGTGACTAAAGTCGTGACGAATAATGTGACAATTGACTTGGAACAAGAAGATTTCATTGAATCAAAAGAGAAGGTACCTGTTTATGTAGATTCACAGGTATAAAGTCATATAGGGAATGAGCAAACCACAGTGTCTTATTGAGACTGCTAGGAAAAAGTCAAGTTTTTGTATCAATCAGGAGATGCGATCATGACTGGATCTGATTGGATTGCCAATGCTTTATTATTTACAGGCCAAACACTGGCAAAGAGTATCTCCAGGTAATCCTTATGTTTAGTCATAAAAACACATCGTATAAATAATGATTGAATAGTGGAAGCCGTTTTCTCGAAGAAAAAATCGAGCCTAATACAACTTGCTTTAAACTTTCTGAACAAGATAAAGACATTGTCGACATGGTCTACAACGCAACACATACAGTCACAAGTATAGCCTCTGACGTGATGAACAAAGCACTCGATGTGGCAGCGTCCAGTCTACGCACAATCGAGCCCAAAACAGCTCATGCTCACTTTGGTTGGTCAGCCTTAAAGGCCACTGCTACTCTTATAAGTGGTGTCACTGCTGCTGCCTCCGTCGTCTTGGACTCTTCTCGTGAGGGCATCGTTCAGATCGTTCGTAAAAAATACGGTGACGATGCGGGATATGTTGCCGAGAAAACAGTAGGCACTGTATCTCATGTGGCAGACTTGTTGGTCTATTTTGATGCAAAAGGTATTTCTCGAAGAGTAGTCCTCGGAGGACTGGCCGGGCTTAATCAAACACGACAGGAAGAACGAGAGGTTGTTTTTGATCACAGTGAAGAAGCTGTGGTAAAACACTAGATCTATGCCAAAGGCATAGGCTTTGCCTTGACAGTAATAATAAAATTTTTGTGTGTTGTACAATATGATGTTGTGATGACTATGTAAAAGGCTAGGTAATTTCCATAACTTTCACGTAAAAGACTATGCACTGTCTTAAACAACCTACAGAACATGTTCAAGTATTTTCAGTGAAAAAGAACACACAAATACAGATCAATAATCATTGTGGGTACAAGAAAAGATAGAATAATTTATTCGTCTATGATTTGCTTCATAAGAGACTTCTTTGTGCTTTATAAATAAATGTAATAAGTTAAGCGTATATATGTCTTTATTACATAGGATTATAACTTGGGCTTTGAAGCAGCTATGGCCTTGCTTAAGGCCTGTCTAACGCCTAAATCTAACATGATCTCTTCGGAACCACCAGGAATAGCATACGCACGCACTTCACGGTACAATCTTTCAATCTTTTCACCTTGACCTCCTCGAGTATATGCCAAACCACCAAAGATCTGAGAAGCTTCACGGGCACAGAATTCAAAGGTTTGTGTACTCTGAGCCTTAAGTAAAGCGATAGGGCCTGCCAAAAGATTGGGGGTAACATTTTCAGGCAAGGTCTGGACTTGGTAAAGAACGCTTTCTAACCAAGCGTGTGTTGCTTCACATTGACGAATCATGTGGCCAAGCTTATTACGGATAACGGCATGTTCGATTAAGCGTTGACCGAATGTTTTACGTTTTAAGGAGTACTAAAATTCATTTAGTTTTAGTCAAATTGAAAATTACTCCTAGAAAAAGTCTAATATATATATACCTTGAGTGCTTCTTCAATACAGACACGAGCAAGACGGTTGGCTTGCATGACAATGCCCAAACGTTCATGATTAAAGTTGTGCATGATATATCTGAATCCATGGTTCACCTTGCCGATAATATGACTCTTGGGAACTTTAACCTATGAATAACGGTTATTAGATGCTGCTTAGCCTCTATTGCAAACATTTTACGTACATCTTCAAAGGTAATATAGGATGTGCCTGATCCCCACATGCCTTGACAGTCCATGAATCTAGCATTAACACCAGGCATTGTTCGTTCGACCAAGAGGAGCGAGACACCACCCATGCCAGGACCACCAGTACGGCAAGCAACAGTATAATAATCAGCATATCCACCTTGTGTGATCCATTTCTTTTCACCATTCAAGAGGTAGTAATCACCCATATCTTTAGCTGTTGTCTTGAGGTTGGCAACATCAGATCCAGCTGAAGGCTCAGTCACGGCCAAAGCAATAAACTTTTCACCAGAAAGACATCCAGGGACTACCTTTGCCTTTAATTCTTCAGAGCCAAAGTTGAGAACTGGAGGCAAGCCAATGCCCAAACCACCCATAAGAGCCCAAATGAAGCCGCCTGAACCGCAACGAGCAATTTCGTCAATGCATACAAATTCATGAAAGATGTCGAATTCTTCAACTGTGAGGCCGGCAGGAAGAGGGTATTTCATGTACTTTGCGTTTCCAGGCTTCTTGGAAGCACCCGATGCAATATTCAAGATACCAAGTTCGGCAGCACGTTTCACAACTGCATGGGGAACTGCTTTGGCCTCACTCCATTCGTGACAATAAGGCATGACTTCTTTGTCAACAAAAGCACGGATTTCCTTTCGAAGCTTGATATGAGAATCCTTATAGTATGGGCTAAAGAGAAAAAAAAAAAAAAAGGAAAAGAGGAAGCTGAGTATTTTTAAGAGTTGCATAAATAGAAATGTTTTACCTATTCCAATCTTGGTACCAGGTTGGGTCACCATAAGGGATGCCTTCACCAAATCGGGCTTGATCATTACTGACAAGTTGACGGATGTCTGTTGTCTTGGTGACATTTGTTGTGACAGGGGCAGGTTGAGGTTCCACAGCAGAAGGAGCGGTTGCTTCAGGTTTAGCTGTTTCTGCAGTGCCAATGACTCCTATTTGCATTGGAAGACCAAGACGTTGCATGATAGCTTCGTTATGAAATGTCTTGAATTCCTTTGACGCATCTTTGCCTGCTTTCTTCAGCAACACCTTCTTTCCGCCAGGATGATCATTGATAAACTTTGTCAAATCAAACACTTTTCCATCAATAATGATCCAAATGTCATCAGCCTTGTTATGTTTAGCGACTTCTTCTACTGTGAATGTTTTCATTTCTTCTTGTTTATGAGAATGAACGGAAAGAAAGATAAAAAAGGTGTCAATGAGCTGTACTTTTTTATTATAAAAATTTGCACATGAATTTTATATTATGAAATCAACAAAGCTCTTATTGGTCAATCAAGAATCTATATTAGTAAGTTGTGTCTTGAGCTGTCATGATAATACCCTTTCTTCGGTCAATCGCGGTCAAGGTTAGACAAGCAGGATGATGTCTTGCATAAAGTGCCTACAGCCATAAGATGATTCAAAATGTACCTTCCTTAAGCACCTACATGAATAAAGCTTATTAATGGTATTACAACAGAAAAGGTGTGTAAATAGATGCTATAATCCATTGCCATTTTTGGGTTGATACACACGCAGGCTTTATTAAATGGGAATACCCCACAAACAGAATCGTTGTAGTAAGGCAGATGAGCTGTCTTTATCAGATAAAGACAATGCCGACTATTCAAGCTTATTTTATTTTTTGGTTATATTTTGAATATGATTCATGGTGTCATACAAAACTTAGATCTACTGCGTCATATGACACATTTAATGAAGACACGACCCATGATAATAAAAGTAACACAAACGTATACCTGGCAATGAAGCCTGATAATGCTATCTTTCTCTGTAGTAGTTTATGGTTTGTGGATATGGCAAGATCATCCGTTAAAAATAAAACAATAGATTCACTGGTTTATAAGAGTTAAATGTATAATGCATAACATACAGATCACGCGTGTGTTTAGAGTAATTATGTACAAAGAAAAAAAAAAGGGGGGGGGAAGTTTATTCATATATATCAGGCCCAGTTGGTGCTTGATAACCGGATGTTTCATTTAATTCTGGCATTTCATCCATAGACAAGTGAATGATAATGACTGGTATTTTCTTTTTTACTTGAATACTAAAATATATAGTGAGTGAATGTGAAGCACACGCGCTTGATTCTATTTAATTACCTGTCAAGTTCTTTGTCTTCTTTAGAATCCCATTGTTCTGTAACAGATACACTACCTAATTGTGTATACTGATGTAGTGTTCCTTGCATCTTTCTTTTGATCATTTCAACAACAGTTACTGTCTTGTTCACGTGTTGTCCTTTGCCCACTAAAATAATATGCTTCTTTTGTTCTTCCTATTACTTTGGTTTGTTATACAATAAACATTGACACATCTTTTTCTTTTCTTCTTTTCGTACCTGAAACTTTTTTAAGCCAATGTCAACATAGACAGATATTTTATTATGACTGATCCTTATTTCATTTTCTGCTGGTGGCTTTTGAGGCTCTTCTTCTATTGATTTTGACGTCCTTTGATAGTTCTCCACTAATTGAACAAGTTAGAATTGATTCAAAATCAAATGACTTATGCTGCTATCCCATATCGCTTCAGTCATTGTCAATTTGGTCACATTGGTTTACTCTTTCTTCGGTTTTACATTCTTCTTCTCTTTTGGCCAAAAGGGTTGTTGTATCCCTTATATTCAGCTAAATCACACATCTATCCTGTGACTTCGCATAGTCAAAAAGGGATATGGCTTTACTCTATCTTTATTTTATCCATCCAAATAGCAAAGATCTACTGCTAATATTCAGATTCAGGTATAAAGACGTGTTTAACTTTGTTCGGCCATCCTTTACCACCAGTAGGCATTACTCTGAACATAGGTGGTCTAACAATGACCATGAAAATATGTAGGATATTTCCATTTTGTTTAATGTATGTTCGGCCTTACGTTCTACGCATTCGTATACTCTAGAATGTAAAACAAGATTACGAACAGTGACCATTGAAGAAGAATATAAAACTCGAAAGAAGCAGTTGAGCAAAACTCGAACCTTTTACTACGTCATCATAAGAGGATAGCAGCAGCAAGCCCCTGTGATTAACAGTTAGATGCTTACTTGTTATTTAAACTTCTTTAAAAAAAAAAAAAGAAAAAAGCTGCAGTTGGGTAAAATAACCCAGCCTCCAAAAACCAAATGACCGTCACCTACTTGTCGACTGTATCCCAAGTGCCGCGTTTGGAATCTAGCAGTGAAATACCCAAGTAGTCAAACTGGATGTTCACCTTTAGAGAAAATGTTTCATGTCTGTTCTCATATTGCTTGACAAGATAAAAGGCTTCCTGTATCAAGAAAAATTATGTATTGAAAGCCACGCACAAGCACTGGTGTGTTTAAACCATATATTCGTTTTAAAGTCATTCCAATGCAGTCTACCCATACTGGATACCTTTACCGAAAGCATGCTCGATAAAATTCATCAGCTCATGGTTCATCTTGAATTTGTTCAGTAATCTTCAGGACATAATTTAAGGAGTGGGTATCAAATATAAAAAGAGAAGATCGAGACGATTCATTTGATATAAAAAAAGCCAAAAAAAGTGAATTTCAGTTAACAAACAAACTTTGCCAGCGAGTGTGTCCTCCTTTGGCCTTTATTACTGCCATTATGCGGTTCGATATATTACCTATAAGCTTATTGGTTTTACGTCCTGGAAATATAATCCCACACATCCCCCATAACCTCTCTCAGGTCATCCATGGTCCTCATTCTCATTCCATTGAGCTTTATCTCTGTTTTCATTTGGCACCAGCGATTTTCAATGGGCTCAAATCAGGCGATTGTGTGAGCCACTTCAACTTTTCAAATCTATGCTCTTCCCTCCATTTTTTTGCATACTTTGTAGTGTATACAGGCGCATTATCTTCCATAAGAATTGAATTTTGCAAGCTGTTGTAAAAATCCAGCAAAACTGGTCCATACGCCTGCTCTACAAAATCCACCGCAGTGCTCTTATCTTTCTTCATAAGCATCAGAGGAATCTTTTTGTTGAAGGGCACGCTTCTCCAAATCATCAATAAAGACCTCCCACTTTGGAATGTGGAGGCTAGGCAAAATTCTTTTATCTTTCTCCAGACTTTTTCCATACCCTTATTTGCCTAGAATATGCCCCTTTCTCAAAGGTAGGTTCATCGGCTCAATGACTCTCCTCCAACCATCTATAGTCCAATTTTTGCACTTATTTGCAAACTCTAGTTCTGTCTTTTTGCTTTCTTCGCTTAAAAAACGGTTTCTTTGCTGCGATTCTGTTCCCAACCTCCATTTTTTTTTTAAAAAAAATTTTTTATTTTCTCTTTCACCTTTGTCTTTCCAATTTTGACAGGGAAGAGATATATAATTTCTTTCAAAGTAGCGCGTCTGTTGTTCTTTAATATGATTCGAAACCGTCTACGATCCTTTGCATTCTACTTCTGGGGGCGTCTGCTTCGTAATAAAGGAGCGGTGATTTATGATTTCTTAAACTTGCAAATCATTCGAGACCAATTTATTCGATAATTTGGGCCAGCTTAGCTTTTGCAACAATAGGCTCACATTCAGTGGGGTTAATTGAATTGGCTTAAAAATATTATTTATTTTTAATAAGAATAAGAAGAAACAATATTTCGAACTGGATCTCCCTTCACAGCCCAAGATCTATGCTTCACTACTTTCATTACACGCATATCATTACTTTTTGGGGCCACTATACTTGTTTCCTACCGTAGGCATACGTAGAGGACCAACGTAAATAATTGAGAATTGTTCAAACAAACTTGGTATCCTAGCAATTGTAGGCAATGGCACATTTGTTGATGAATAGTTCGATAGCTAAATGGATTCCCCTGGCAAAGCATGATGGCCCATTAAGCGCTCCAAATGGCAGTACACGATACTAATAACATCCCCAAAGCGTGGCAATGGCTAATTTGGGAAGGGGCTTATCTTCAACAGCAATTTGATGGAATCTTTTTAAGAGGTCTAGGGCAGAGTAGCAATTTGCCGAGCCTAAAGCTTCCAACACATCAACAAGGTTTGGGAGTGGCCAAGAGTCTCTGACAGTGGTTTTATTCAATTCCTGAAAATTGGTGACCAACCGTCTATCACCAGTCTTCTTCTTCACATAACGACCATCCAGAATTGATCGAATATGCTGGGACATGCGTCGTGGATATTAAAATCCCATTTGCTATCATTTTCTACATGTCTTCTTTGAGATATTCACGTTCAGCATGTGACAAAAACGAATAAGGGCTTCGATAGATTGGTGGATGATCACCCGTATCTACACGAAACCGAACTAGGTTTGCTTGCTCCAAATGTTCGTAATCAGTGCCGAAACAATCCTTAGTTTCCTCCAATACTTCAAGAAGTCTTTTCTTTTGCTTATCACTTGGACATCAGAGTACAAGTTCAAAAGCAGAGGATTTTTATTGTCATCATTTATTACAGCACCCTCATCATCAGAAGCCATCATAAAAAGGAAATCACAAGAATAGCCAGCGTCTTCTTCTTCATTTTCGCTTATCTCAATATATTTATTTCGTCTGTTGTCAAAGTAGACATTGGATTTGTTTAAATGCTATATTTTATTAAAGGTCCAATTTAGCGCTTAAAAAATATAAACAAGTGTTCACCCGGACCAGTTCAATCCTTTGGGATGTTAATGCTATGAAAAAGCCCCTTTTAGATCAAGAGTAAAAAATGTACTGGCAAAAAGGTGCAGGATACAATCAATTGCAATGGAAAATTTCAGGAAACGCCTCGGTGTCAAAAAAGCTTTTCTCAATAATGAGACGTGCGACAGCACGTTGAACAGGAGCCTTAATATATCGAATAGCACGAATTAGACGATCTGCGAAAGCACCAAAGGCATAGTCGACTTTGTCTTGGTGACTCTACTTTGAGCACGCTGGATCACGCAAATTTGCGGAATCAAGGGAATCATACTCATCGTGAACGGTGATTGCAAACTTATTTAGTTGCGAACGAAGCTCAGACTCATAGTTATTATAAATAAGGCAACAAGGTGGTGGCCCGGATAGTGTATATCGAGAACATGGCTGTTATTGATATGCAGACGTCGTAGTTGGCTACGTAGTTGGCTGATTGGGATACGGCGCTGGACAGAAGCATATAGGTATTTAAAACTTCGGTTTGAAAAAGGAGGACTGAGTGTACGAGCAGCAGCAGCTTGGCTTGAGAGAAGTTTCATGGTATTTGTCTTGACAGCAGAAAGCTCTGTTTGTAGTTGCTTTAACGTTGGCATACTATGGATACACTTTCCAAGTTAGGTAAAAGTATCGAAAGTGATGGAAAGCAGAGAGACGTCAGCTTCGGCAACCGCGCCATTTGGCAAGCGGAAATACCAAAACTGACTGGACAGATCTACTCCAAACCAATCTACTGCATCCCCGGTGCCCAATGATAAAGTCAAATTTGTCATCAGCATCTAGACAGACGACATTGGCTTTTACAGCCACATTATCACCAACGAGGGTATGAAGACCACATGCTTCACCTAAGCACTTCGTGATAGAATCAGTACCCAGTAGTATTTCATGCTTGAACTGAACAGTGATTTTATTCCTATTCCCTCAGCGAAGTGAGCGCCAGTGATAAATATGGAACAACTGGTGTCAAGGATCATTTCGCAGTCAATACCATTGACTTGTCCTCTTGTTTTTGGAATACTTCCTTTGAGTTGGTTTTGATTCATCGTAAATGCTGTGACATTCAGTCTTCTAGATTCTATCTTTGTGCGTGGATTCCTTTGGGACTTCGTCATGCGATTTTTCATGGCAGTGCGACCAGACGGAGAAAGAATACTGAGCTCATTGATACTTAAGGTGATTGCAGGTCGACTCATGGTGTTATCGATAATGCCAGCAATAGATTCCTTATTAGATTTACGGGAATCAGGCAGGGTTTTCTTTTCTAAGTTTGGATAGGAGGCGTCTTGGCCTACTGTACCAGTAGATACTTCTTGTGGATTCAGGTTATTGAGTGGAGGGGCATCCATCTTGTTGGGTTCGGTTGAAGTAACATCTCGCACAGGCTCCATTGGGACATCAGTGCGACCATAAGCTTAGCTTATAACCAAATGACCAACTTCTTGACAATTGTAACAAAAGAGTTTTCTGTCATTCGAGGCTTGCTTAAGTTGAGAGCTTTGCTTGATTATTTCTCCTAACATCGGAATCATCCCATTCATTTGCTTCACCATGAGATATTTCTGGATCAATTGTAGAGCATGTTTTCACGTTTTCTCGCTTAAATCGTTCACGTTTAGGAGCCAAGTGTATTCTTAAAAGTACAATAATCACACGGTTGAGCAACCTGGTATAACGGAACTTGTTAGACCATAAATTCTTAAAGCTGATCATATATTTGTTAAGAGCCATCTTCGTCAGATAAGGTTCGATCGATTCATCTGCCATCATGTCTCTTTTCAAAAGAGTGCTTTGTCTGTTTTTCTATAACAACGCCTCTGAGACTAAAATAGTTTGCATGTATTATCTGTAAGTGGCCGCCCTTGAAAAGATTAGCAAATTCCTTTACTAAAGCTACTGTTGGTGTACAGTCCGTATTTAAAGGTGGAGGAAAATGTTCAATATTGGCCAGAACGAGAAAGTCTTCAGGAAGGATCTCTTGAACATTTACACCATATTCTTCTTCTAATACAATAGTATTGTTGCCTTCGTTGATAAATATTGCACCCTTCAAAAGTAACACAGGCTTATGCAGCTGGATACCATAAGCAATAATATAATCACTCACCGAAACCATGATTTGGTCTATAGTGTCCAGGAAGGCATCTCTGATACCCACAAATGAATCTGATGGTAAAATAGGAAGTGAAGACGTACTGAGGACTTTATAGGCATTTCTTCTGGGACGTTAATACTAGGCCCGTACTGCTCCATAGCCTCTTCTCTACTATCACTTTCCTTTTTAACCGTATAAGCAACGTTATCGAAATACTCTTCCACATAGTCTTTCCACATTTGTATTGGTGTTTTCTCTTACTCTTTTTCTTTTCAGGAAATTGTTTATTTCTGTTGCTTTTAGTTGCAGTTTGGGTTCAGCATTGGTCACAGTTCTTCTAGTTTAGGTAGAGAAAGACAATCTTAAGAAATTAAAAAAACCACGTCCATAAATACTACCATGAAAAGTGAACAACAGGAGAACTCAACAACAAACCCTATCTGGTATTCTTCGCGTCCCGAGAAGATTCAATATGGCATAGGACTTTTTCAGGCTTTGGTGTCTCTAGAGTTAAGAATAGCAAGTCCAAATTCGGGACCGTGTCTTTTTCTATGCCAAAATAGGATGCTTATTGTCATAAAAAAGGAAAGTTAATCCAAAGTCGGACAAGTGTATCGGCAATTTTCATGCAAAGATAACTCTATGCTTACGTATGTCTTTTCTTTCCTCTTTTTAGTTACCTTGATTAAGCATACCAGTCTCTTGTCGCCAGGGACACATTCAAGTGATTACGATGTTTCGTGCTATCATTAGAGCTGGGTTAAAGTGATTGCGCTCATGTTCCCAAAAAAAAGGGCTGAAAATGTCCCACCCTATCAGGTTCTTCGTGCTTAATAAGCATGATCTTAGCTTTTGAGTACAGGTGATATTATCAATATGAAGCTGGTTTAAATTAAACGGAAAAATATATCAAATTCACACTAAAGGATGTCTAGCTGCATATTAGCAGTGTACATAACCAGATTCATCATTGGCTGGGTTTGCCCCTGTTCAGCTAATTTGTCATGGTGCATAAACGTAAGTTGTGCAATGAGATTTTCATGGACGCAAAGGTGACATAAGAGGGGCTGTTACAAGTGTTACTATAAGGGAGTAGTACTCCCCTTCAAATCACTTTTGGATTGTCTAATCCCAAGCAACATTACACACTGTCAGACACACATTGTGTTATTTGTGAAAAAGACAGAATATAGAAAAAAAAAAACAAGAGGGCTTCCAGGGTAACAGCAACTTGGAAGCCTGTAAGCAGTAATATATCAATACTCATTAATGCACATTTTTGTTATAAATCTCAAAAAATCTCAGTGGGGTTTAATCCTGGACATTTCTCACGAAAAGAGGCCTTACGAATTCAAGCGGATGTAGTACAAATTACTAAAATGAATTTAAGGGGTTCAGCTCAGATATACATAAACAAGAGCATTGTGCATATAGTCCTTCCAGAGAGAAAGGGAGGACTTTGTTATATAGTTAAGTGCATCTTGTTCTCAAGTACACTACCCAAAACTTTATTTCCTTACAAAGATGACGCGGGGCGCTAAAAGGCTTTTCCGGCCTATTCCGTCATTTAGAAAAAAATGCGGGGAATGCATATAAAATCTAATAGAGTGTGTGTAATGCTCATTTGTCATAAAAAGTTCTATATTTATTCCAGATATCTTTATTTTCTCTTCTCTTTTTTTCTCTCTCTTCTTCTTTTCCAAAAAGCCCTGCACTAAGATGCCTAGCAAGATTGTTGTTAAGAACCCTGTGGTTGACCTTGATGGTGATGAAATGACCAGAATCATTTGGCAATTGATCAAGGATAAGCTTATTCTTCCCTACCTTGACCTTGACATCAAGTATTTCGATCTTAGCGTTCAAAATCGTGATGCTGTAAGACTTATTTGCAGTTAATTCTTCATTGTCATTAACATCATGATAGACAGATGATCAAGTCACTGTGGATGCTGCAGAGGCTATCAAGAAATACAATGTAGGCATTAAGTGTGCCACCATTACTCCCGACGAAGCCCGTGTTGAAGGTAAGAAATACATAATCCCTTTACTGTGCGCTCTAATTTATATATATAAAAAAGAATTTAATCTTAAAAAGATGTGGAAGAGTCCTAACGGTACTATCCGTAATATCCTTAACGGTACCGTCTTCCGTGAGCCTATTGTTGTCAAGACTATCCCCAAACTTGTACCCGGTTGGACAAATCCCATTATTATCGGTAGACACGCTCATGGTGATCAAGTAAGTCTATTAAAACAGAAGGAGTACACAAAGTCATTTGCTAACGCCCATTTTTTTTTTTCTTTTGGAATCTTGTAGTACCGCGCAACTGATTTTGTTACCCCTGGGCCCGGTAAATTTGAGGTTGTCTTCACACCAGCTGACGGTTCCGAGCCTAAACGTATGGAAGTCTTCAATTTTGAAAAAACAGGTGGCGTAGGTATGGCCATGTACAATACAGATGAGTCAATCGAAGGTTTCGCCCACGCATGCTTCCGTCTTGCTCTTGAGCGTAAGATGCCTCTCTACTTGAGTACCAAGAACACTATCCTCAAGGCCTACGATGGTCGTTTCAAGGATATCTTTGAGAGAATTTATGAAACTGAATATAAGGCTCAGTTTGAAGCTGCTGGTATCTGGTACGAACATCGTTTGATCGATGACATGGTTGCTCAAGCACTTAAATCCAATGGCAACTTTGTGTGGGCTACCAAGAACTATGATGGTGATGTTCAATCAGATATTATTGCTCAAGGTTACGGTTCCTTGGGTTTGATGACTTCTGTTCTTTATACACCTGATGGAAAGACAGTAGAAGCAGAGGCTGCTCATGGTACGGTCACTAGACACTATAGAGAGCATCAAAAGGGTAACAAGACATCTACAAATCCTATTGCTTCCATCTTTGCTTGGACTCGTGGTCTTGCTCATCGTGCCAAGTTGGATAACAATGATGACTTACTCCAATTCTGTAAGGATTTGGAAAGAGCCTGTATTGAAACAATCGAGGTCGATAAACATATGACCAAGGATTTGGCTTTGATCATTTACGGCAAGAAGTAAGTCGATTCTTCAAATTAGAGTATATGTTATTAACACTTTATTTTATAGCATGACAACCGAACACTATTCAACAACCGAAGTCTTCTTACAGCAAATTGCCGATAAATTAGCTTCCATTCGTGTTCGTTCTTCCCTTTAGATCCCTCCTTTTTTATATTAATAAACAAAATTTCTAATTATTTATTTATTGGCTATCTGTTTCCAAAACTTTTGTAATCTTTCCGATAGCAACTGTCTTTCCTTCATCACGCAAGGTGAAGCGACCCAATTGGGGCAGCTTGCTGAATGGTTCAACACAGAGAGGTCCAGCAGTTTCAATACGAGCAATTACCTTTTGACCTTGCTTGACGAATTGAGGTGGTCTCTTGGATCTCTTGCCAGTCTTTTTATCAATCAAGTGTAAGAGAGCTGAAATAGTGACTTCTTCAGCTGCGGCATGGACGTGTAAGACAGCAGTGTAACCAGCACAGATAATGCTCTTATGTTCAAGAATGGCTAATTGTGCTTCAAAGACTGTTGTCGTCTGGACAGGGTTCTTCTTACTACAAAGAACAAAACCGGGCATGACTTCATCTTCTTCAACACCCTTTAATCTCATTCTGACGTTGTCACCACAAAAAGCAGCTTCAACTTCTTCTTCTGTTTCATTATAGATAGCAGTAACTTCGGTAGATTGCTTCAGAATTAAAACAAGTACATTAGCCTTTGTCATTTGTCTACACTTTTCTCACTTACCTTGTTAGGCATGAGCATCACTCGAGATCCCTTCTTGACGTGACCAGATTCAATCTTTCCCACAACAATGGTACCCATATCCTATTATATGTTTGTGAGAAATTCAATTGAGTATAGTCTTTTATATGTTGTACCTTGTACTTTTCAGAAATAGGAATCATGAGAGGAGCATTAACCTTTCTGTCTGTGGGCTTGAAAGCGTCCAAGTAATCTAAAAGGGAAGGTCCATCGTACCAGGGACATGACTTGGGATCACAATCTTTAATGTTTGCACCAGTAAATCCAGATAAGGGCATGAAATGAACATCTGTCTTGGGGTTGTAACCAGTTTGCTTCAAGAAAGGTGTCAATTTGGCGATAATTTCATCATATCTTGACTTATCCCATTCGACTGTAGGGTCATCCATCTTGTTGACGGCAACAATCAATTTGTTAATACCTGACGTCTTGGCTAACATAGTGTGCTCACGCGTTTGACCACCACGTTCAAAACCAGTTTCGAATTCACCTTTACGAGCAGAGATGACCATAACACCAATATCAGCTTGAGATGCACCTTGAATCATACTAGGAACAAAGTTCTTGTGGCCAGGAGCATCCAAGATGGTATAACGACGCTTGTCTGTTTCAAAGTAAGCTCTTCCTGTTTCGACAGTTTTACCCTACATTAGGATATGTCAGCGGACATTTAATTGCATTTGCATTCGATTTTACCTTGGCTCTTTCTTCTGCATTTGTATCCAAGGCCCAAGAAAGATACCATGATTCTCGACCGGCTTCTTTAGCTTCTTTTTCGTATTTTTCCAAGGTACGCTTATCGACCATACCAGTCAAGTAAAGGATGTTTCCACCCATAGTGGATTTACCAGCATCTGATATACATAAGCCACTTGTATTTTTGCATTAAAATCTTTTCAACTTACCGACGTGACCCATAAAGACAACATTCAAGTGCTCTTTACCGTACAAATCAGCAGCAATTTCGTCATCAACTTCTTCTTCGTCTTCTTGAGGAGCAGGTTCAGGCGCCTTCTTGGCTGGTGCAGCTGCGGCAGGTTTAGCAGCGGGAGCAGCAGGTTTAGAAGCAGCAGCAGCGGCTGGCTTGGGCTTTGGTGCTTCAGCTTTAGGTGCTTCCTTCTTGGGTTCTTCGACTTTAGGTGCTAATATAATATGGTGTTAAAAAAATGTCCTATTTGTTTCTAATCGTTTCTATTTACCAGGTGCAGGAGTGGATTCAGGAAGCTTTACTACTTTGGGAGCAGGAGCGGGAGCTAATCCGTAAAATGTCAATCTTTCTCTTTTTTTTATATTTTTTTATTTTTACCTGCACCAAATGAAGGAACGAAGCTTCTTGCATTTAAATTGGGCTTCCATTCAGTGGCACCAGGATTCAAAGACAACTTTGAAAATGATTTGCTTGCGTCTTCACTCATCTTGTTAAATCAAAGAAAAGAAATATTTTTAAATTTTAGCGTTAAAAAAATTTCGGCTTTCCAAGCTTCTCTGGGAGAGTAAAGTCACGTGGTATGAGACAACTATTTTGTACAAAGCTTGTCTCACGTGATTAAGCAATCTAAAATAATTCGCATTTTCACCCTTTTTTATTATTATTGTATATACACCATTGTGGTTACTCTTACGAACTCATGTCACAGAAAAAGTTACAATGTAAGAAAAGAAAGGACAGATGTTTGTCTGTGCTTTCCTTCTTTCTTTTTTTTTACTAATTGAAAGCATTCCCTTTGAAATATAGCGGAAATTGACAGGTTACTGAAGAAAGTGAGTGAAGGTGTTGAGACGTTTGAATACATTTTTGCGAAAATCAACCACACAAACAACAACAATCAGAAAGACAAGTATGAACAAGACTTAAAGAAAGAAATTAAAAAGCTTCAACGCTTACGTGACCAAATCAAGACTTGGCTTGCTTCTAACGACATCAAGGATAAGCGTGCCTTACTTGAAAACAGAAAACTAATAGAATCACAAATGGAAAGGTTCAAACAAATTGAAAAAGAAATGAAGACAAAAGCATATTCCAGAGAAGGTTTAATGCAAAAGGAACGTTTGGATCCAAAAGATAAAGAAAAGGCAGATGCATGCGAGTTTGTTACGAATGCGGTAGATGAACTTTCAAGACAGATTGAGACAGTCGAATTTGAAATTGAACAGCTTGAAGGGTCAGCTTCAAAGCGTGGTAGCTCTAAAAAGGCAGCCGAACGCGTTGAACGTTTGGATGAGATGAATCGATTGAACGAACGTCGCAAGTTTCATATCAATCGTTTGGAGCTTATCTTGAGATTGCTTGAAAATGATCAACTGGAAGCCGATAGCGTAAATGATTTGAAAGAAGCCATTCAATATTATGTGGATTGTAATCAAGAACCAGACTTTGAAGAGGATGAAGGGTTATATGATGATTTGAATCTAGAAGAAGAAGAACTGTTGTATGCTATCCGAACCACAGATGAATTTCATCGTAAGCATAAATACTATAATCAAATCTAATATGATCATGCTAAGAATGAGTGCTAGCTAAATCCGAATCAGATACTGAAGATAACCAAGAAGAGGAACAGCAGCAACAACCAGAAAAGGAAGAAATCAAGCCCAGTCTAAATAGTACTAATGCTAGATCCGGTATGATAAAGGATATGACTTTTAATTACCAAAAAAAAAAAAGAATCAGCTGACATCAAACTATTGCATTAGTAAAAGAAGAAATTGATACCAAGCCTAAAGCGGAGACACCATCCAAACCTTCTACTTCACAACCAAGGGCAACAACACCCACCACAGCAACATCTACATCCAGTAGTGTAGAGACACCAACAAGTTCATCAACGCCAAAGCCTGCTTCAAAACCTGAAGGTAAAGAGATACAAAAAACAATTATTATATCTAATTCAATATTATAATAGTTGTCTCTGCATGGGTTGAACCACCAAAGATTGTGAATAGCAGTAAAAAAGCAAAAGCCAAAGAGCCAGCCAAATTGCCGGCTGCACTCACAGATCTTGCCCCTTCATTTGAATCTGCCAGGAACAGACAACATGATCTGCACTATACAAATCAGATGCTTGATGCTAGTTTACAACATGTACCAGACTTGATTGATTCAGAGATGCCCAAGATATATCAACCCAAGAATCCTTTCAACACTCCTACTTATTACCCTCAACAGCCATTGGCTATATTTGATAATCCAATGTTGTATGAAAAATTCGACATTGATACATTATTCTTCATTTTTTACTATCAACCAGGCACATATCAACAGTAAGTTTAAACGGTATTTATAAAAAACAGGTGTTGATTTGTCATTTAGGTATTTAGCAGCAAGAGAGTTAAAAAAGCAATCATGGCGATTTCATAAAAAGTATTCTACATGGTTTCAACGCCACGAGGAACCAAAGACGATTACTGAAGATTATGAACAAGGCATTTATATTTATTTCGATTATGAAAATGCTTGGTGTCAACGTAAAAAGAATGACTTCAGATTTGAGTATCGTTATCTAGAAGATTCATAAATAAACAACTCTTCTTTACATAGTGACTCCTTTTTTTTATATTGCATTGAGTAACCATCGTGAGAACAATGCTGTCAAATTGAAAGAGGATAACATCATTTGACAAGATTATTCTCAACTTGCTTCAATATGAAACTAAAAGACTGTATATGAAAAGGTGTTTAAAAAATTTTTTTTATTAAACGACGACTCATTTCATATTCCATACTTTTCCTTTTTCTCTTTACTATTTTTCTGTTTTTGAATCCTTTCTCTTTTTTCATATAAAAAAGAGAAGCATCTTTACGGTTTAGAATAGACACAAACTAATATAACTGCAGCATCCGGGTCTCTGGCCACAACTCAATCAAGAAACCAGCTATTTTTATTTATAACAGCCCCTTTCTGTCATGGATAAAGAAAAAACTTACGCCGGTAGCAATCGGTCCATTGATATACGTTCCGACTCTTCCACAATGTCACCCAAAGTCGGATTACACAGAGGATTAAAAGCAAGGCATATTCAAATGATTGCCTTAGGTGGAACCATTGGTACCGGTTTATTCATGGCATCCGGTAAAGCCATTTCAAATGGTGGTCCCGGTGGTGCTTTGGTTGCCTACGCTATTGTAGGTCTCTTGGTCTTTTGCGTCATGATGAGCTTGGGTGAAATGGCTGCCTATGTTCCCGTATCTGGTAGCTTTTCTCACTACGCTAAACGTTTTGTTGATCCCTCATTGGGATTCATGCTCGGTTGGATCTATTGGGTCAATTGGTCCGTCGGTGTCGCTGTCGAACTAACTGGTGTTGCCATGATCATGGAATACTGGGTCAAATCAATCCCATCTGTGGTCTGGAGTATTATCTGTCTTGTCATCCTTGTCTGTATCAACGTCTTCTCTGTCAAAGGATATGGTGAAGTCGAATATTGGGTTTCACTCGTCAAGGTCTTGACTGTCATTGCGTTTATCATTGTTGGTATCTGCGTAAATACAGGTGCAGCGGGTGGTAATCACATCGGCGTTTCCAACTTTCATCTTGATGGTGGTGCATTCCCCTTTGGGTTTCTCGGTGTCTTTAACGTCTTTATTACTGCTGCCTTTTCCTTTAATGGTGTAGAAATCGTTGGTATCACAGCAGGTGAATCTGAAAATCCACACAAGACTGTACCCTCAGCCGTCAAGCAAGTTTTTGCTCGTATCGTTCTCTTTTACATCTTATCCATTCTCATCATTGGCCTCAACATACCTTATACAGATCCCAATCTACTAAAGGGATCTGGCAACGTTGCTGTTTCTCCATTTACCCTTGTCTTCAAGATGGCTGGTGCCGCTTGGGCAGCAGATCTTATGAATGCCATCATCTTACTTACCATGATCTCCGCTGGTAACTCTGGTGTTTACTCTTCTAGCCGTACCTTACTTGCTTTGGCTGAAGATGGATCTGCTCCTCGCATCTTTGCTCGTGTCAACCGATGGGGCATTCCCATCTGGTCTGTTTTGGCTACATGTACTGTCGGCTGCCTTGCTTTCTTGACTAGCTTGTTCAAATCAGGCACTGTCTTCAACTGGTTGACTGCTCTACCCTCGGTTGCTGGTCTTATCGTCTGGGTATCTATTTCTATTACCCACATCCGTTTCCGTATGGGCCTAAAAGCACAGAACATCTCAACCTCTTCTCTTCCTTATGCGGCTCCCTTTTTTCCCATCAGTGACATTTTTGTCATTGTGATTGGTTGCATCGTTATTGCCGGACAAGGATATCAAACTTTCCTTCCTCCTATTGATCCCAAAAACTGTGTCTCTGCTTATCTTAGTGTCATGTTTTGTGTTGTTCTCTATTTTGGCCACAAGTTGGTCAAACGTCCTAGCTTTGTCAAGGCCACTGAAATGGATTTTGTGACAGGTACATTAAAGTATGACCCAATGTCAATCAAGGAAGGAGAGTCACTGGATGATGATATACCTTTATGGAAGAGGATATTGAAGAAGCTAGTAAACATCATTGCTTAGACAAATTGTATATATAATGTTTCAACAACGTTTTTATGTACATACACAAAATACATTTATTTTCATTTAAAAACTATTTATATTTAATAAAAAAAAAGGTTCATTTCTTTCAACAGAAACTCAAAAGGAGCAACATGATCTTTCCTTCTTTCTTATTCTTGTTCTCTGTGTCATTCTTCGAAAACTAGAGTCACCAAATTGTACTCCACTCCCACTTCTTTCTGGATCGATCTGTCCTGTTTCTATCTTACTTAGAATTGATCTTGCGCATTTAAAAAACACATCTTCAACTCCGTCTCCGCTTAATGCACTGGCTTCCAAAAACATCATTTCTTTTTTCATGCTGTTAGTTTCATTCTTTAGCTTCAATCTTAACTTACCATGTTCTTGCGCAAACCGACTTGCTTCTAGATAGGATACCTCTCGTTCATCCGCTTTATCATTTTTGTTACCCACTAAAATGATGACCAATTCAGGATTGGCCAGCGTCCTCACATCTCTTAACCATGATCTTACACCCAAGAAGGTATCTCGACTATAACTGAACTTTAGATATCACATACTCTCTCACTTTCTCAATCTGTCTTTTTTGTTGCTTACTTGCAAACGTCATATACAACTAGTGCTCCAGCAGCACCTCGAAAATAACTCTTTGTTAACGACCTAAATCGTTCCTAGATACATCATATATAAAGAAAAGTCGCTTTTTATTAGATTTTTTTTTCTTACTTGACCAGCTGTATCCCATATCTGTAGTTTAATCGATTTATCGCCAATATGTATAATTCGTGTACCAAACTCCATCCCGATTGTATTTACAGAATCCTTTTTGACTATTCAAGCAAGGTGAGATAAAGCGAGCTGATGTGTATATTCTGGTTTACATTGATTTTCTAAAAAATGGTATAATAGACATGACCTATATCTTTTATTAGATACACTTGTTTATTGTCTTTATTATTTTGAACTCACTTTCCAGTACCTGAATCACCGACCAAGAGTAATTTCAGTAGGAAATCTAATTATAAGTAAAAAAGACAAAGGTTTACTTTATTATCACGTAAGCATAAAGGTATCTCACCATAAGCGTCTGCTAGCATATTGTGTCGTCTAAAGGGTTTTGGAGAGAAATACAAGAGAAAAAGAAAAGGGGGAAAACAAAAGCAAGAAAAAAAAGTACAGTAATCGGAATTATAAATTGAATATGACATTAACCCTCACACACATACACACACGGCTTTTGTCTATTCCTGTTTGTTGATCCTCCTTTTTAAGTAAAATGACGTTTATTACTTTATCAAAAGGAAACAACCATAGTCAAGTCTATTTTTTTTATTATCAATAGGGAAATTGAAATGTTGACTAGTTAATAAAGGCAAACGGATGCAGGGTTTTGTTAGCAAATACGAACATATAAAGTATTGAACACATTAAATGAATAAGTGATCTTGGTTGTTGTTACCAATACTGTCTTTGTCAAAATGAGGAAGACAAAGCTTTATTATAATTTTATATGCAAATAAAGCGTGGCTCTGAAAGCATGTATCACATTGTTCGTCTTTGTTTCGTCAACATTTTGTTTTTTAACTTAGTTTGGCGCATTACTTTTTCATGTCATACGCTTACTGAGATAATAAACGAACTAAGTACTCGAAAATGTAATTTTACCCGGTTTTAGTAAGTCATTGTGTATTTTTTTTTACTTTGTCAATATTCTTGAGTGAATCTTGTGCGATGCGACGCGTCATATATAATATAATTCACTAGATGTTGACAATATTTATTCTTCGAATCTCTTCCTGACTTTTTGAATAAAAACACTTATTTCATCTTATCGTGTTCTTATGCTTCCGAGGTAAAGCTACTTTTTCATCGACAATATCACATCGACGAGCTATGAATACGGTGAAGCCAAGTAAGCATTACAGAAACCAAAAAGCTTTTCAGTATATTAAGACTTTTTGCAATCGTCTTGTTCTAGGTTAAAATCCTCTATAAAGCTTTCTATTCATATACGCATTAAAAGGGGAGAACTCAGATACTATTATTAGTCTATTGGAGAAAAGCATTTGTAAGATAACGATACAATAAGACAGGTCTGATATATATAACAGCATCCTCTCTCTCCCTCTGTATTGATTGTAATTGCATGAATGGAGGAATCGTGTCCTATTGGCTGTTGAATGTGTAAATAAGGCTACCTGTACTACATCAAAGATGCTCTCTACAAAAGACTTTCTTTTTTTTTTTGTTTTTATTAATACACATTTTATACACTTTTTCTTCTCTTTGATTCTATATTTATTCCAAGTTAACAGTAGCACCAACAGCTTCGAGTGCCTTCTTTAATTTTTCGGCTTCTTCTTTAGGAACACTCTCCTTCAATACCTTGGGTACGCTTTCGACAAACTTCTTGGCTTCAACCAAATTCAAACCTGCCAAATTCTTTACTTCACGAATCACTTTAGCTTTTGCAGCAGCATCTACTTTATCAATCTTGACGTTGAACTCGGTCTTTTCTGCAGGCTTTTCTTCTTCAGCAGCTGCAGCAGGTGCGGCACCGCTGCCAGCAGTAGGCATAGCAACGGGCATAGCAATATCTTGAATGTTCAAGCGGGTCTACAAACAGAATGCATAAGTGATTTTTTTTTATCTTTATGTTTCTTGATGTTACCTTCAATTGTGCAACAAGTTCAGATGTTTGCAATAATGTTAAACCTTCAATTTGATCAACAATGGCAGTAATTTTAGGGTCGACAGTAGTGTTGCCACCAGGAGTAGGGAGGGGTTGTTCAGTACTGTAGAAACGTCTGGCACACAAGGCACTGGTCATACTATACATAGTTTAGTTTATACACAAAGTTGATATCAATCAAGTCTTTTACCGAGCAGTTTGTCTAGTGGCAGTAATGTTGACTAACTTGGAAGTATAACGAAGCTATTTTATTTGTTGAGTAAGGCTTTGATTCATAATTAGCTGATGTTTACCATGCTGGCTACTGTTGTCTGTGTATATGAAAGAGGGGTCAAAATATTGACATGTACGGGGCAAGGGTAAAGATTTTTTTTGTCGAAATATCAAGTCACAGTCCGAGAAATTAAAATACCGACACAACGTTGATGCGAAAAGATTAAATCGCCCTGTAGAGAAACAGCCGCGTAAAATATTCTATATTTTATGGCCCTTTATCTATAACAGCTCATATAATTATTAAATTTACATCCACTGAAATGTCTACCAATTTTAAAAGTACCTCCATTTCTATTACTGCTGATTTTGTTTGTCCTACTGTTCTAGATTATGAGGAAAGTGTTCAGACCATCATTTTTACTACGTCTGATAAGTTCGAGGAATGGTTCAAAAAAGACGCGTTCTCCATTCTAAGTGGGTATTTAAACGACAATGTCCCATAACAAATAATCTCCAGTTCATCGGGTAGCTCATTATTGAAGCTTTGCCAGTTCACATCACCTTCTATTTGTGTGATCATGCTGGTGCCGACAAGAAGAACACTAAGAATAGCACATGTACTATTGATACTACTAATTTATCTTCTATAGGTAATGATCAAGGCAGTAGCAGTAACCAACTAGAGGTTATGCGTCCTAAGAAGACCCGTATTACTATGAAGTCTTCTATCAAGATAGGCTGCACTGCCAAAATCACTAAGCATGTCATGACGGACGGCACAATCCATGTTGAATACCACTGGGAGCATCCTGATCATTATCCATGAGATATCAAGGAAATTACGAGCTCTCGTTTGCCTTTTGAGATCAAGTAGTGGATAACTGAAAAGGTCAGTAAAAATATGGACTGGAAAACTATCAAGAAATTTTTATGTATTGATGACGAGCGCCTCATTGAGGTAATAATGCTTGTTTTCATCCTTGTGCTGTTATTAAACATGATAATAATTTAACTTTCTATAGTTTGAAAAGATGTCACTCAGTAGCTTCCCTATGTCACTTTTAGTCAATTACCAGGAGGTAAAGAATATCATCAATGCTCACATGAGCAAGCTATCAAGAAAAAGTTATCGCGATAAGCATAGTTGTGAAAAGTGGATGAAGTATTTGGAAGAAAAAAAAAACTGCTCGACTCTTTCGTATCCATGAAAATAGTCCTTTTCTAATCTCATGGGTATCTGATTGGCAGAAGAAATTCTTTGAAGAAGCTGAAGAATGGTGTATCGATAGCACTCACAAAACATGTGAGTCTATTGCGGGCAGCTCCAAAGATAGCTACCTGTTCACTATCACCGCTCACAACTATACCACGAACAAATGTCTACCTGTTTGTTTTACCATCACTGATATGAAAACCATTCCTACTTTGCATCAGTGGTTAACCTGGGTAAAGACCAACTTCTCATTGAACGTGAAGCGAATTACGATAGATTGTAGTTCTGCCGAGACAGCTGCAATTAGAGACGTCTTTGAAGGCTCTGTTCAAATTCTCATGTGTCATTGGCATATCTGGCGTGCATGGGACAGTACGCTTAAGACTGTATTAAGCATTTTCATATAAAATTCTTTATTTTAAGTGTTCGTATTAATAGTTCTATATGATGTCAGGTTAAAGAGCCTAAGCATACTCATGACAGTCAATACAAACGCAAAGGTATTCGTGCTTGTCTTGGTTTGACGATGGGTGCCCGTTCTGAAGAAGAATTTCTTAGTATACTCACCTCTTTTGAAACTCTTTCAAAGACGAAGAGCAATTCCTTGCTTATTTTAGAACAAGATGGTTGGTCAAAAAGGAACTTTTCTGTAAAGTCTGGCGACCAATTGCCTCTTTCCATACCAACAGCTCGATTGAATCATATCACAACCAATTGAAAACGTTTTACCTTGGCCGCGCTCAACGCAGTCGCTGTGGCTTTTTGATTTGTACTTTGCAAGAAACGTTGATGATTGACTACCGTCAGGAGACTTTAAAATGTTTGTATGGTTTTCAAACAGTCAAATTAAGCCCAAATGATATGAAGAAGAAAAGATTGCATATGCTCTTGACGAAGACACTGCTACTAGTATGGCTCAGCGCTCTGAAGATGATGATGATACGTACGATTGTAAGTCGTTCACTGACAATTACATTTGGTACGAAATTGAATTGAAATATGGTCACCTCTTCCATTGTAACTGCCCTGATAATTCAAAGCTTTGTAAGCATATCTTCTTAATTAACAGAGTGGCTGATGCTCCATATACTCTTCGTTCTGATATTGTTGTTGATGCTGATACCACTGGCTTAGCCATGAAGAACTTGCGGTAACTGGTGTCAATTTCACAGGTACTACTAATGACTCTACCCCGATAATGATATCTGTCAAGAATTGGCCGATCTTAAAAGAAAGAAAATGATGTATAGTTTACAACGCGATAAATTGGAAGTTATTAACCATGCTGCCAAAACATTATATGAACGTCAAAGATAAGTATATTTTCTTTTATTAACACCCTACTATCTTTTTTGCTTTTCCTATATATATATATATATATATGTACATTATTATTATATTATTATCTCAGATTTTAAATAAACAATAACTCAACATTTCTCTTTGATTCACTATGCCCTCTCTCTTTTTTTAAAGTATTTTCACTATCTTGTTATGCATATTACAGTAATATTGTTTCGGATAGGGCTGCTTTTGGACAGGGTGATTTAACGTTGTTCGTCATAGCATGAACAACGATAAAGATAACCGTATTGGACTTCAATGTCATAATATAATATATCATGTGTAAAGGATATACACTGAAACAGATTATCTTCAATCTTTTCTAGAATACCACAAGCAATGTCATAATCAAGATATCAGCAGTTTTCTTCTTTTGCTCTTCTACAGTCAATTTTACAGCTTGAAATCCGAATTTGCAGTTAACAGCTTCTTGATAATAATCTACTGCAACAGCTTGCTATAAAATATACGGTCAGCACGAAGTGAACGAGAAATATAAAAGGTCTTCAATCTGTTATGGTTATGATTCAATGAGAATGTTTGTGTGATAAGTTGAAAATAAACGCCAGGCTTTGCACCATAGGTGTTTTTTGTGGAACCACAGCTCATTGGTAGCCACAGTGTGATGGTAGTACTGTGTATTTTGAAGAATAATGAAATTATTTGAAAACAATGATATTGAATTTCTTTATCAGGATGTACAAACACTATTTTGTTGTAAATAAATACGGTTTCTTTTCACTCTTTTTCCATTTTCTTCTCTATATTTATAATAACATAGGACTACTGAAGACATTGAATAAAACGTCCAAAAGCCTTGATCTCATAGTAAGTGGCTTTATCATTCATCTTCTAGATGAATGTTAACTTGTGTATATAATAGATATGCCAGGTTCAAAGAAAGAATAGGATAGCTACTATGATGGATCAAAGCTGACTAGAGCCCCTACTATTGTAACATCTGGTAAAAGGTAACAAAGTAATGATCAGGGTCATCATAAGCGATCAAGAAGTACATACACCTCGCCAGAACTTCTATGGAAATTATTTAATGAATCCATGAACCATCATCTTATTCTGAAGATTATCCCTTGTGTTGATAACATAGCATCTTTGGGAAGACTTAAGTCAAAGCGGTTAAATGCTAAGGTGCTACCAAGATCGGCAATGATAAATGCTGAAAAACATGCAAAATGTGGGTTGACTTTGTTAGTACGAACTTTGATCATGCTGTGAAGAATTTCCTTGATAACCCTGCACTTGCTAATACTCATATGGATCAAAATCCCTTTTCGAAAATCACCACTGACGATGATGCACACATTCAAGATGACTATCGCATTTGTCCCTTATCTATAAGTAAGATTATTCGAAAAGATCCACTAGCTGAAACAAAATGTATTATTAAGCAGAAACTAGATGATTCAATGATCAAGGTCTCTAACTAAATATCCCAATTTGCATTTATTGTTTACATGATAAAGACCGAATTAAGGAATTGCGTGTTTGACGTGGATCATAGTACTGATAAGCTCAAGCTAACCAGATCTTCGGGATTTAACATTGCAAGCATATTACCAATTGACTTCACCTGCCAACATGATCGACCCATACAATTTACAGCGTCTGCAGCGTCCGAAGATTTCCTTGATTTGTCGGTTTTTACTCAAGGTTTCAATCTATTATCGGGGGCCAGCATTTGGATTTGATTCACTCCTACTATTTTGGAACAAAAGGTTCTAGAGCTGATACACTCGCTCGACACCCAGTTCAAATGACCTTTTCAACATCCTTCAAAGCTCCAGTATACTTCCTAATTCTTTCAATGATCTAGGGTTGTCATCCGCTGAATTAAGAAATGTTCGTGTACAATACGCTGCCAATCTGGATACTATGTGGAATAACAAAAAAATCATCAACAAGCTTCTTGACCGCATCTTAGTAATCTTATTAAGAATACACCTTGCACATATCAGAGAGAAAAAGTACAATTATTGGAGTAAGAAAAACGTATCAACAAAGTCAAGCTCTGAAGCTAATCACATCAACAGAAATAGAATGAGAAATATTCTTCGACAGGAACACTACAAGTCTGAAAAGATTTATAAAAAATGTGCTTCTAGTCATGAACCATACAACATACTGAAGATTTAAAAATACAAAGAAAGACTACAGTTTTTGAAAAGCCATTTGTTAAACGTATGTATATAATAATATCTACTACTTTAAACATGTATATTCATTACTATTACAGCGTAAATCTCAATGTCGTGAAGCTCAGCAAAATTTAAAAGATGATGTTCCAGCCTCTTTATTTGACAACGAAGACGATGGTGATGATGATGCATCCATTAATACTTCAATATCCCCTTTGAAAAAAGATGTATCCAGCAGACGACTTCGACAATTAAAAGCAATTATTAAAAATTAACTCTTTGACGAAAGTCGTAGTAATTCTTCATATATTGATCAGCTGCAGCCTGAAGGGCTCCCAGTATGCGAATTGGTCATTAAGTCATCAAAGTCATACATCCCAAAAAAGAAATATTATTCAATCCTGGCCCATCAATTGTCATTTGTGATTCTTGCCAATGATATATTGAAATGCACAGGTTATGATAAATTCTGTATGAATGTATGCCCGTTACCTAGAGCTTCCACAATCAATGCAATGCGTTTAGATGCTCCATATTTATACCGTATACTGCCCCGCTCTGATTCAGCAAAGTTCCAAATCCTTGATTTCGACAAACATTTAATCGATTCTGAAGATCAAGCTCGCAGACACAAGGATGCCGCCTTTGGCTCAATTTTTGACTTTGCTACCATTACCTCAATATGTCAGTCTTTAGGGCTTAAATTTGCACAAAATATTACTGTTTTTCCTGGATCGTAATCGGTACACTTACTAGGCATGAAAATTAAACAAAGCAAATTCACGCAAGAAAATCAGCAAAATGAACAAAGTCAATTTATAAAAATAGTGCATGATCCTCTTGTCGTTCAAGAAAGCCAAAAGATGATTGAGACTCTTCATCAGAAGCTTGCTTCTTTACAAGCATAAGTATCAGAGCTTACCAACTTGTCAAAAATGGTCGGCAAAGAAGAAAAGTCAGAAAACTATTCGCAAGTGTTAAAGTCACTTCATTCACAATGGAAGAGTAGTTCAGCTTTGGAACGTCAATTATTGTATTCAAGAATTGAGCAAGTTAAGCAATCGCGCAATGACTCATTCAACAAAAGGATTCATATACAGAATCAATTACGTGACAGAAGAGAATAGTTGCATATAAAAAGAATGGCTATTATGCGCAAAAATAAAATGGCTAACAATCGCCTTCCTTATCCGCCTGAATCTGAAAGTCAGTTTACTCATGCTCAAGTATTGATAAAGGAAGCTATGGACTAGCAAAAGCTGAGAATAGTTTATTTTCACCCAGTGTCAATGTTGCTCAAGACTTTACGTTTTCAGGAACAGATAATGACCCTCACACCATGACTGATATGATTGCTTTTACTTTGAAACGTTTTAAATTTCACTTAGAGCTTTACAACCGATACCATAGCAATGCTATTGATTCCGAATGTATGGACCAAAACGTATCTTACCTTGGTTTGCCCAACTCTTTTAAAGTGAAATCAGAAGACGTCGACTTCGGATGCGGAAACTGGAGGAGAAGAAAAAGCCCGAAAAAGATAAAAAGAGAACCGTTGACGGCCAAATAGTACAGAGCATCGAAAATGATTTATCAAAATTCAGTATGGATCACGCTGCTAGTGTTGAAGAAATAAAAGAAGTCCTTTCACAGCAATACGCGGTTCGTGACACTCTTAGAAAATTTTATTATTCCAGCAAAAGAGTTAAAGAAGGGATAACGAAGCAGATTCAACAAAAAGTTTACATTAAAGCTTTGTACTTCAGAACGACGATTCATAGTTGATCAAAATAGTAACAATGCAATATTAAAATCCATAAGAATCTAATCAAAATTTTAGATCAACAACTGAAAACAGAGCTAGTAATGCTCATAGGTGACAAAGGAGCAAGTGTTGGTTCAAGAATAAAGGGCTTTCTTAGATATAGTGGAAAATGAAAGCAAAGGATTCGGGGAAAGTGCACAAACGTGTGCATAACTGACGAATATATGACCTCACAAACCTGCCTGTATTGCTTCTCAAAGCTCGACCATCCTATACAAAGAAAAACGGAGAAAGGAAGACAAATCAGTTTCAAGAGCAAAGGCTCCTTTTTATGTAGAAATCCAAAATGCGTCGTAGTCAGGAACAACAAAGCATCCAAATCAAGAGGTCCTCTCTCTGCCTTAGCAATTGGCATTTCTGGATTGTGCAAACTCTTGTTTAAACAAATTCTTCCTATATTCTCGCCTAGAATTAGTCACTCCAACACTGATTTTATTTCTATTACCTCTTCCTTGCTTAACACAAGAGAATAGCAGGGCCATTGCGATGCAAGTACTCTGTAAGGATTAAACAATACTTTTTTTAAGCCTTGAACTCTTGGCTGTTTTTTTGGTTGGGTTTTAAGAATTTTCGACATTGATGTTGTAGATCGTACCCAAAGGGATAAGAGGATATGGTTCGGTGTTTGTGCTGCCGTATTCCTTCCTTGACCTCTTCCTTTCGTGTACTTTTCTTATACTTCACTGAAAAGGCGGCATATTTTTTTTTTCTTCTTCTCAAAACTTTATCATTAGGGTGCCCTGGCTACAGACGCTATAGTGTAGGTCTCAAAGCAATACTCTGGTTTATTTATTAAGTGGAATTAAAAAGAATGGGCAATGTCACCTTGGATAATACATTTGCAATAATTATTAGAAGAAATGAGGTTTATGATGATGACTTCCATGATGTTCACCTATATGATTGATGCTCAATATTAAAAAATACAAAGAAAAAAGGTGTATAATTACCGTATCCTTGAGGGTATCCACCATAACCTGGAGGAGGGGGATAATACGATTGCTGCTGTTGATGATGCTGTTTATCATTAGTATAATCAATATACATACACAAATATATACACTTACGCCTCCGTGATGGTTATTCATGAGTTTACCCGCAGCAAACCTATACAATGTATAAATCAGCCTCTCCTTCTCTGCTTTATCAATCAATCGCTTACCCAATTAGACCAGCTGCAATGGCGCCTCCAGGACCTAATGTCAGCAGGACGTATTAGTGATGATCTAAATTTGCCAAGCTTTTCGTCTTTCTATTTTTATTTTGCCTACCTTTAAGCATCTTTCCTAATCCTCTATCTTGTTGCTCTCCTTCCATACCAGTAGGTGGATATGGGCTCTGAGGATTGGAGGATCCTGGATAAGGATATGCTTGTTGTTGCTGTCCAGGATATGAAGTAGTGACTTGAGGACTATTGGCATTAGGAAATTGTGGTGGATAACCCGGTTGTTGAGGTGGATAAGATGAAGTGGCTGGAGAGTTATCACCAGGGAAGTTTGAATGATAGCTATTTGCTTCTCCACTGTTCACTGGATTAAAAGACGAGGAAGATTGTGTTGGAAGTTCCCACTGAGTTCTACCAGTTGCTTGTTCTAAATAATAATAGCGTTGTGATCCTTCGTCCCATAAAGCAATCCTTTGATGATACAAGTTAGTTTTTCTCTAAAGGCATAGTTCTCTGTATTGTTTATTATCATACCAGCCTGGAGGAAGTTGTGGAGCGGGATGAGATGGATTCATAATTAGCAAAAGTTGTAAAGTAAAAAAGAAAGAAAGATAAAATTAATTTATTTATTTCCTTTTCTGTTTTAAGCTGCATTTATTTAGGCTTTCTTGACTATTGTCTCCACCAGTTCATCTATTTTGCTTGAATCTATGTATACTAAGAAATATGGGTTCGCCGTTGACCCTGTTGTATCATGAAATATTTCACTTTCTTTGACCTTTTTTGAATCATGTGAATTAGTAAAGAAAATAAAAGTAGTTGTCATATTACCTTTGTTACTAGTGAATCATTGTATTTCCACCATTGGTTTTGTTGATGATCTAGTATATAAATCCAGTAATGACCATAATTCGCTTGACCTTGATGTATAAATACAGCATGAAGTTTATATTCCATTTGCTTATAATCTTGATATTGATTTCGAATATCTGACTTTATAGACCTCATCCTTTCTGTTCCTTCTTCAATAATCTTTTTCGTCTCTTTGGCTTCTTTTTCTAGTAATTGCAAGGCTATCTCATACTTGCCTCGTTCTTCTGTTGACCATTCCGATTTAAACTCTTCCAAAATCTTATAGGTAGCCTCTAATAAGTCAGGCACAGGAAGTTGGCAGGTCTATACGGGCAAGTCAGACTCCATTCCAAACAACTGATACTTTTTTCCTACCTTGAACTTTTTATATTTGCCAATCTGTTGCTTATATACTTCATATTCCCTTCTCCACTTGGCAACCTCAGTTCTCTTGTCCTTTAATCTTTCAAAATTGTCATCCATATAGCGATCAAGATATATAGTCTTATCAAATTGGATGTAGGCATTCGACTTGTAAACATTGGCTGTTGCTCGATCAAATTGTACACGCTACAGTAGTATAAGAATTAGTGACTTTTTAATACATATATATGTGTATAGGCATAATATATATATATATACATGTATAGACATACCTGAACTAGAATCTGAAGCACAGGAGGGAACGATTTTACAGACACTTGACGTGTTGCTTCATGGCCACCTTGAAAGCTCTCTAGCTGGTTTTCAAAAAAGTATTCGTCTAATCCATCATACAGATCTTTTCCTTCTGACGCATCAACAATCACATGAGAAAAGTCTTCTTCCATTTCTTTCTTGATAACCTTTAGTGTTGCATCATCACAGTAAGAAATGATCTGTCTCGCCTTTCCATAAAACAGTTGGCGAATCATATCATCAACCTGTTCTCCATCTTCTGTTTTGGATATAGGCTTTAAAGCTGCTTCTACCAAGTACATCACATTCCCCATACATTCTATAACAAACGTCTTCATTCAACATGTACAAGGTTTATTTTGCTTATTACCTGTCACATCTTGCTGCTTGCCAAACATCATAGCATCTACGCTTGGCCGTTCTTTTGGCTTTGTCGGTGTCTTTTCTTCCATGATCACATCTGTCTTATTTACAACTTCTTCATAAGAAGGGGGTGCATCAGCTGGTGTACTGGATAATGATGCATTATCCGTTGCTTCGTATTCAACTTCTTCTGTGTCCTTTGCTATTGCTTCTTTATCAGTATCAGTACTACTAGTGTCGTCTCCTTGCTGATCTCTTTCATTTAATAAAGCCATATAGGCTAAATCATATTCAGGTGAAATAGCCCTTTCTGATGTATACTGAAGGTTTACGAATAATGTCTTTAGCAGTTCCACAACTATCAAAATAAGAAAATGATGTATTGATACAACCTAAAAACAACTTACATCTTTTCGCACGCTTAATTTCCGACTGGTCTACTTCAATACCACCAATCTTTTTTGGCTCGCTATTTTCATCTTCGATATACATTTCATTATTCATCATGGTTTGTCGAAAGGGTAATAGTGTAAAGTAGTACTACAAATTTTATGAGCTTTCCCCCAAACGGATATGGATGAATATCAATTACCTGTAATAGACTGTTAAAGTAACATGTATTTCCTATATTATTCAATCCAACGGGACTATTGTAGCTTTGACGTTAATGGTTTCTATTATGTTCATTGATGCAACTTACACTGGCGATGTAGGAGCTGTAAGCATATGGGATGGTACTTTTTTAGGATGTTAGCAAAAAAAAAAGACAAATCTATCACTTAATCCTACCTCCCATTATCTGTTGAATGGATTCTATACTTGTTGATGATGTAATTCCTTTCTCAGTCTTCAAAAACTCAACAAGTTCAGTACTGTTCTTTGCTATAGCAATCATTCTCAATTTATCTTGATGTATGTTTCTTTCTTCTGGTTCGTCAGATATCTTTACTTGATAAAGGCCAATCAGTAACTTATCATCCACATTAGAGTCTGGCGAAATGTTGAAATAGGCATACGCATCACCAATATCATTGTATCCTATATTCCCTGTACTCTTTTCGCAAACTACTAGTGTCTCTAATAGTTCTGATTTTGTCACATTGGCGATCCTTGTAAGGTGATCGATAGCCTTGTGAATATCCAGTTGAACTTCATTTATCAATTTTTTATAGATCCATGAGACAAGTTGATCGCTAGCACCATAAACTAATCCAAAGTAATGATATGCTTCGGCAAGGTATTCGTTTGTGGATACATTGGATTGTTCCAAGGCGGGTATGATGCCAAACAGTGTATCTACATTAGCAGGTATTACTTTAACATCCTTTTCTGCATAGCCTGAAGGAACTGCTGCTTCTCCAAGTTCAGATCGTAAAGTATCTATGGTCAACAAAATTTCCTCTCTGATCTGCTTAAGTCGTGCTTCTGATGCTGTGCCTGGTTCAATGTCTGGTGGAACCAAATACTCGTTTTCCAACTTGAATCCAATGGCATATAAAAGGTCCAAGCTTATTCCAGTTAGCCTTTCTGCCGCTTTCATGTTCTTCTTCTTACCTCTCCTTTGTATTGCCAATCCTTGACAAGAAGTGGGGATTGTTCGTATTGATATTTTTTTTGATTCCATTCAAAAGGTCGTGGACATAGATCAAGATGGTTGTAAAAGTGGTCGACATTGTTGGACTTTGCTCTGGTTGCTGCATTGTTTGAGCAAATGACTTTCCTTTGGGCCGAGTTGTTTCCAGTTGCTTAATTAAACTTAGCGGTATGATGGGTGCTTGATATTGAACCTGAAGCTGATACTGACAGCCACAGCATTCATATGCCACAGCCGTAGCATGGTAGTGATGGCAAGGATAGTCGGGATTGTTACATGTATTATTTTGATTAGAAGAAGAAGAAGTGACAAGAAGCCAGATGTGACACGTAGAGCAAGCAAAGGTGTCTTTGTTTTCTTTGTCTGAAATACTCTTAAATACGTGTCGATGGTCGCTTTGATGAGTTTCCAAGTGATAGAACAAGGCTAATGGTGAAAAGAATGAACTACTTGAATTGACTTTGACTAATTGTCTTGGAGGTAAGGCTGGAACTTGAGGCGACATTGTGTATGGTCATGTACAGTA